GGGTAATATACGACCGGACAATGTCCGGGTGCAGTCCGGTTAGGCGTCTCACCAGCCAGGGTTGCAAGCTAGAAACGCGGAAGCGCTGCTAAAGAATCTCTGCTAGCTTGCCTTCTTTAGAGAATCGATGTTCCCCTTCCCTTCCTAATTAATCTCTCCAAATCCAGAAAGCAGAACAAGACCCGGCAAACCCCTCCACAACCCTCCAAAACACGCATCAACAGCGCCGACACCTGGGAAGCCAACTTTTCCCCCGGTAGCCACGCCAAAACGAGCGACTCAATTTTAACGGAATCGCCCCGTTGAGGGCTAATCCGTGTATATGGATGGGTGGCAGAACCATGGGATCCCGGGCTGATGATTAAAATGGCCTGCTGATGAAGAGGAGGGCACATTTTCCGCGGCCCCTGGCCCGGCGGCAGCTCATCATTTCTGGGGTGGCATAAATGCGAGGCGACGCACCGCTGACAAAACGCATTATCCCGAAGTGGGGCATGGAATGAAAATGGGCCGCCTCGGCGAGTTGGTGAGGCCAAGGGGTAAAAACCGCAAAGCGTTTTTGGCAAAATACGTAATGTAGACATCCAACCGAAAAAGTTTCTGGAGCCTCGCTTAAGCCTCAGCCTACGCCTAGGCAACCGTTAGCAAAAAAAACTAAAATTTTTCGTTAGCCTATCGATATGGCCGATTTCCATAGTCGACCTCTATGAGCCTAAGCCTAAGCCTAAGGCTAAGCCTAACCTATGCCTCGGCCTGCTAACGTCCGAAACGCGTCGTTGTGAAGTGGATGAAGGATTGTTGGGGGGTGGTGTGTATGTTTGGGATGTATCATTTGGGACAAGGGCTCCCCCGGGGCGGCTTCCCTCAGCTGCCCGGCACAGAAATACTCAACTCGCCGGGAATTGGCTACCCTCAAACCCGGGAGCGGGTAGAGAAGGGGTTCTCGGGCTTGGGTTTTGGCCTGGGTTAGGCCTAGGATTAGGACCAGGCCTATGACTGACTTGATGGAGCCTCAGACTTTAGCAAGAAATTCGGGAAAATTTCCAGGCCGGCCAGTCACCCAGCTGATTCAGGCAAGTCAAGACAAAACCTGGAGGCACGCGGAAGGCTACGCCTCACTCCGCCATAACATTGTCCGCTGCCAAGGACCTTCCAAATCGAAAAATTTAGGCAGAGGAATTTTTAGGCGTAGGTTTAGGCTTATGCTTCGGTCTAGCCTCCAAAGCGTCTGGCCACGAAATCCCGGCAAATAATGACAGTGCACAAAGCTTAGATTAACTCGTCGATACAACAGTACAAATCTCGCAAAGCTGAAGCGCCACTGAAGCGCCACGCATTGGGCGGCCCCTGGCGCAAAACTCGTAAATCGCCTCAATAAAATCGGTGTCCGCCTCCCGTCAAATGGCGTTTCCAAGGCGGGAAGCCGAGAGAGGGTATATTCCGGCAGCTCTACCACCCATCGCCATGATAAGGGGCGGCTAATTGGGGGTCCGCACTCTTTATAGCTCGTACCTTTTTTCCGAGGAGTATAGAGCCGAAATTTAGTGGAAGCTCTTTGTAATTCGGACCGTGAGCTAAGACTATGTTTGGGTTTTGGCTTAGGAGTGGTCCCCGATTAGGCTTAGGCTTAGGCTTTGGCCTAGGCTTAGGCTTCGGCTTAGGCTTGGGTTTAGGTTTAGGCTTGGGCTTAGACTTAGTGTCGACTTCTAGCTTTCGCACCCATCCTCATGATAAGACACCGAAGTGGAAGCCTAAGCCCAAGCCTAAGCCTAAACTAAGCCTAAGCATCAACCTGAGCCTCGAACCCAGGCGGCACTTGTAAGCACGTTTAACGAACCGTCTTCTCGTCAAAGATGAGCCCGTTCTGCTCTCGTATGGTCGTCGCCGCCTTACCCAACATCCGCCGATGCGCCGATGCAAAGCCGAGCTTGCCAAGTGATGCCCAAGTGTCACCCTTAAAGCAAATCCGGATTTTCTTGAAGTTCTTAAGCATAAACGCGGGAGGTCACGAAAGACGTAGCAACTGAATTAAGTTCCACTAGTAAATTTTAGAACAACGCTGGGTTTTTTTGAAGAACTCTTCATCGACCCCCCAAAAATTCAGAAAACTCGCAACCGAGCCGTGATATGCGAAAAAAAATCGGGAACAGCTGAAAAGAGTTGCACCACCCTGCCCACGTTCCGGAGTTTGGAAGGAAACTTTTGAATTATTTAAGGGGTCGGGCGGCCTGAAGGGGGGTGTCTAACGAATGCGTGGATGTGTGTACTTCGCCAGAAAGATGGCAGAAAAAAGCTAGCATAGTTTTTTTTAGGAAAGGGCAGACCAGCAGAGATTCTTTAGGAAAGGGATAGGCTTGCAGAAATTCGGGGAACCTCATTGATACACCAGCAAGCGAACCGGGAATTTGCTGGACACACACCCCTTATCTGCCTCCGGTCAATCTTTGCGCCGCGAAAAATGATAAAGTATAGTGGATACTCTCAGGCCTGGGAATTTTGCGGGCCGGGCCGGCCCGGCCCGGCCCGCCAGCCCGATTTCGCCGGCCCAGCCCGGCCCGAAGCGATTTTTCTCGGCCCGGGCCCGGCCCGACTTTTAAGGGTCAAATAGGGGGTTGGCCAAAAAACTCCCGCCAAGCTGGTTTAACACCATTGCAAGGTATTTTGCTGTTAATACGGTATTAGTGGACCATTTTTGCAGCACTTCTGTTAAAAAAAAATTAAATTTCAAAGTTATAACAATTTTTAAGAGCTAAATATCGACCAATATCAGGGTAATAATGTTCAATTAAGCCATTTCGAGTTTAAATTCGCCTTATTAATATATATTTTGGGTCTTAGTTTAGTACTACGATACATACTGATACATCTAAGAAAAAATCCGGTCGCGCTGACATAAAAATTCAAAAAGCAAAAAAAGACGCCGGGCGGGGTCGAACCTGGACCGATTTCCTGGTAGGGACTTAGTCAAGAAAAGGACCAAATTTTTATTGAGGCTGTATAATAACGCCAAATCGACTATTCGTGAGCGAAAATATGCAAAATAAGTCCCAATTTCCCCCCAAAAAAGGTATTTTTAGACTATGTAAAAACCCCCGGGCCGGCCCGGGCCGGCCCGGCATTTTTCAATTTCTCGGCCCGGCCCGGCCCGGCCCGAAAAATGCCAACTTTTCTCGGCCCGGCCCGGCCCGGGGCCGGGCCGGGCCGGGCCGGGCCGGGCCGGGCCGGGCCGGGCCGGCCCGCAAAATTCCCAGGCCTGGATACTCTACAGAGGCAGTGAAGTATAGGGTCCATGCTTAAATGCTCGTGAAATCAGTTGATGAACTTGTGAATGAAGGAAGATATCTCTCATATCTCTCTCCCTCTCTCTCTTTCTGTTTCTTTCTCTCTCCCAGCAAAGTGAAAATGGCTCTGGTACTACGTCTAATCATTTGTACTACTTCCACCACCTGAGCCCCCGCTACTTTCTGATGAGATGAATCATCTCCGCAAAAACTCGATTGTTTCGAGGCTTTGTGTGGGAGGATTTCCTCATCTTACCCCGGTCGTGTTTTCTGAGCTTTTCTTCGGCCGAGGCGTCGAGTGGCCCCGAAGGTCTGATTGCACAGAAATCCGCCGCCTCCACTTTTGCTTGGTGCGCGGGAGGGTCACCCGATCCCCCACACTCACTTCGCCTATAAAGCCTTAACCAAGATTGATTCATTGGCTAGACAACGACTCATCCCTAAGTCTTAGTTGGGTTTTTAAAGGGAGCATGCCAGCGAGTTTCAGATGCCTATGTTTATTTCCATCTTATTCTCTCTCTCGGTCTCTCTCGGTCTCTCGCTCTCTCTCTCTCTCTCTCTCTCTCTCTCTCTCTCTTCCTATTTAGCTCTCTCTTAATAAAGATTCGTCATGGCTTTGCAAAGCCATAACTTCTTCAGATCAGCAAAGCCACCATGGAACCGCTTCCGTGCCACGTAGCTGAGTGCGCTTGCCACGAGCTAGGCGGATCTGATGAGCGATGTGTTGGTAGGTGTTCTCGGTGGTTTCACGAATATCGTGTGGATGGCTTGGGCTTAAGCTTATTAGGCTGCGGCCGGCTTAGGCTTACGTTTGGGCTTACATTTGGGTTTAGACTAAAGCTTAGGCATAGGCTCAGGCTCAGGCTTAGGCTTACTACGCGATCCAGCAAAACACAAACAAAGCCGGATTACTTCGCCCTTCCCGATCCAGTGCAGGAACCTGACCTTGACTTTCTACTCAAATTCATACGCACGCTTTTGTGCTTAGGTTTAGGCACGATCGCCTCGCCTAAGCCTAAGCCCGAGTTTCCGGCACGGATTCTCATCAGGCTCTCAAATTCCTGACTCATTATCATCAAATCTCACGCATCACGTCTCGACTTCCCCGCCACATCATCCAAAGTGTGAGAAGAGCTTCTCGCAAAATACACATCCAATCGACAGACAGACAGACAAACAAATGGACCCCGCCCGCGGCCGGACATTTCGATGGGGGGCGGATATGGGGGGAGGGGGTGCAGTCAGCCGGCTTCTTCTTGCCCCAGAGCTTCTTGAAATCTCTGTTTGCGGATCTATTTACGCCGTGGGTCCTCGGTGGTAGACCCGGTCCTGACGCACCATCCTCTCAGACTTCAGCTATAGGTGTCCAGTAGCATGTCGCGTTTAAATGGGCTGGGAAGCGCTCGGTTGATCAGTAGCTCGTGATTGCTCAGTAGCGATTGATCACTTAAGCCTATGCGTAGGCTTACGCGTAGGCACAGGCATAAGCATAGGCTTAAACTTAGGCTTCCCACGCGATCCAGCAAAACAATCCCTTCCCTTGCCCTTCCCGATCCAGTGCAGGAACTTGTGCTTCCCGCGCTTCCCAGTCCCTTTAAAAAAGCTGTAGCCTTTATTTCCAATTACGACATCATTTTAAGTAGCTTTATACCTTTTAAGGTGGTGAAATTGTAATAAAGATGTAGTTTTCTGAACATCATGCATAATTTTGCTTCAGCCATGTCCCAGGAATACCATCGACCCCGCCCGCACGGCCTGGCAGCCGCCGTCCTGGATAAACAGGTGAGAAACCGAGCTTGCGCTTACAAGGCTTGGGCTTAAACTGCTCATAAAAATCGTTTAGGCCCAAAAATTCAACGAGCCCGAGGCGAAGCTGCTGCTGGAGTGGTGCGCCGGGCTAGCCGGCGAGGAGTTCGACACCGCCGGCACCAAGGACAACTTCCTGGAGCGGCTGAAGGATGGGCAGGTGTTGTGCAAGTGGGTGATTTGAATAAGGCTGGCTACGCGATTTCACGTCTAAAAAAGAGAGAAGTATTAGTAAAATAGATTTTCTACAGTTACATATAATTTCAGGGTGATCAACGGGCTGAAGCCGGGCACCATCAAGAAAATCATGAAGCCCATCTCGAACTTCAACTGTCTCGAGAATATCAATCAGGTTAGTGCCGAAAGGATGTCAGAGGATCCTAAGCCTAAGCTTAAGCCTAAACCCACATTTTCAGTTCTGCACCGCTGCCCGAAAGCTTGGGGTGAAGGACGAAGAAACATTTCAATCGGTCGACCTCTTTGACGGGCGGGACCTCTTCTCGGTTTGCGTCACCTTGCAGAGCCTCGGCAGAATCGTAGGTTTTCAAGCCAAAGGGCTTGATTTTCTCAAACGTCAGAATCTACCCCCGGCTGGCACTATAGGTATTCTCAGTTCCGCGATACATCAAAAGACCTTGAAACTTTGCTTTGTTTACAGACCCGGTGTCATTTGACGTATAGCGTAGCTCTGGGGACCTAGCAAAAGCAGGGGTCGATTCTGGTACTTCTTTGTATCGTAAATATACTATCAAGTCAAAAACAGTGGCGTCTTTAATGCTTAGGCCTAAGCTGATACAATTTTCGTTGAGCACTTTCATTTTTAGTTCACCGATTTCGTTCCGTTCCATTCCTAATTCCGCCACCCCCATCAATCGATTTTCCAAAAAAAAACATTTCGGGAAAGCACTCGTTCGCCCTCACGTCTCCACACCAAGCCAAAAAATAAGCTAATAGTCCCGCGCCCGACCCGTCGTTCCCGGCAACATTTTCTCAAGAGGTGGAGGTAAAAAAAAGCGACCCAGCTCTAAAATTTTCCGCGAGCTCATTGATCGCAAAAAAGTTAGAATTTCTGGAGATATCCGGGTCTAAAAATGACTTCTCAAGGGTTGGTGGGATGGAAATGGGCTAAAAAATTGGAAAACGGCCGAAAGCCTAAGCCTGTGCATAAGCATGACTTTATGTTTGTTGGCCGAAGTCCCTGCGTAGCTTGATTGGGCTTAGGCTTATGCTAAGGCGTAGTCTAAGGCGTCGGCTTAGACATAGGCTTCGGCTTAGGCTTAGGCTAAGGCTTATGCTTAGGTTAGGCGTAGGCGTAGGCTTGGGGTATTTCCCCTATCCCGAAATTCTGTATCCCGAAATTCCGTATCCCGAAATTCTGTATCCCGAAACTCTCTATCCCGAAACTCTCTATCCCGAAAACTCTCTATCCCGAAAACTCTCTATCCCGAAAACTCTCTATCCCGAAAGCTCTCTATCCCGAAAACTCTTTATCCCGAAAACTCTCTATCCCGAAACTCCATATCCCGAAACAAGTTAGCTAGCTTTAACGTACCGAACACCAGACTAGATCTTTGAAGTAAATAGTTTTCCGCTATTTTTCGGTTTCGGAAATATGATAAAATGATTTTCCGATGCCTTCAAGAATGTAGGGCGTTAGGAAACGCAAAATACTGAGTTTCGGGATAGAGAGTTTTTGGGATAAAGAGTTTTCGGGATAGAGAGTTTTCGGGATAGAGAATTTTCGGGATAGAGAGTTTTGGGATTGGGAGTTTCGGGATACAGAATTTCGGGATTGGGCGTTTCGGGATACAGAATTTCGGGATAGAGAGCGGTATTCCGTAGGCTTGGCTTCATCTTAGGTTTATACGTCACGGCCCAGCTTCTAGCATCCCTCAAATTTCCAAAAACGAGAACAAAAACACTCCGTCCTAGAGCCAGCAGGACGCTTTTCGGGAACCCTTTTTGGCGGCCTCTTTCGCCGGGTATAGAATACTGTAGGTCAGTGGCTCTTTTTAGCAAAACAAGCAAGATTATGACGAAAATCCCCTGCTCTCTGTCGCCTCTCTGGCCTGTCGCCCCCTCCTGAGTCCCCGCCTGCATCCTAGTCAAAAGTTAAAAAATTGGGGTCTGGACTGTTAGCGCGGGTTGGGGGGGGTGGCAGGGGGGAAAACAGCTTTCGGTTTTTGCAAACGACCTGTTGACGATACTTTATGTATTTTTGTGGTGTTTTGAGTAGTTTTTGATTGCTAGAAAGTTATAAAACATAGTTTCGATTCGACTTTTTTTGGACCTTTTTCACACATTTTTGGCCAATAACTCAAAAAATTTCGAAATTTTTAATTATTTTGTATGGTTTTTCTGTACTTAAAAATTATATAAAATGCTATAAAAATGTTTATATTTTGTTATAGGGCCGTAGAGAATCACAGGGAAAAATTTCGTTCCCCCGCTAACCTCCCCCATAACAGTCCAGAACCTAAATTGGATTCAATGCTTTCTTTGCAGGTGGAAAAGACACTGGGCGTGCCCGGACCGAAGTCGATCAGTAAGGACCAAATTCTGAATCGCTGAATGGGATGGATCAGCCACAGTACGCTGGAAAGACGATATTTTCTCAAAAACCCCCATTTGCCCCCCGATCCCTACGTGGTATTGTGTATGCGGTTGGTCAATAAAGTAATTTTTTTTCCTATTAGTGCATGGTCAAATGGTGGACACGGTCCGTTGAGGTCGCTGGATGCTGAAGGAGATCCGGGGACTGCCGAAACGTTCCGAACGGAATCTTCGTAGTGAACCCCAACGTTTCGGCACCTGCAATGCGCATATCTTTTTAAACAAATTGAGAAGGCAGGATATAGAAATGATCACGTTTTCCGAAACTTTTGGCCTTTAAAACAGCTTTAAAGGACCTAAGACCCGACCCTACCCCCGAATCCCCCCTTAAAAATGTCAGCCCTTTTTTTAGAAAACCTCAGCCATTGAGCGGGCAATATTCACCATGATTTTTGGAATCTGCATGCAAAACTACATCGGAAATTCTTTGAAATTTGAGAAGACGAGGGCGAGGGGGGAGATAGAGAGAGTGAGAGCGAGAGAGCGAGAGAAAAAAAATACAGTATCCTACGCTTTACGCGCTTAAGCAATTTATCCTGGCCTGCTTTTCCTAAATAATCTCTGCTACCTTGCTCTTTCCTAAAGAATCTTTGCTGGCCAGCGCCTAGGAGGAACCTCCTTACCTCCCTGAGCTGCTTGAGGTTGATCTGGACATCCTTGTGCGGCCTCTCCTTTTTCCAGAACGCTCTCGCCACCTTGTCGAAGAGCACACGCTCGCGAAGCACCTGAAAATGATGAAAACTTTTTTTGGTGAAAGCTTAAGTTGTAAAATCACGGGCAAAACTCCCACATTATAATACCCAAGCCGGCTGCCCGTGGGCAACGCCAAGAAGGGGCGGCATAGCCGGTCGGTGGTGCTCTTTGTCGAGATCTCGCGCACCTGAATAATGGCATTACTTTTATTACGAATATATGGGGATTCTAAGTATAATCTGTACTTGATTGAGCGCCAGAAATGCTTTGCCTAACACCCGCTCACAGCCAATCTTATCCCGCTCGATCAGCGAAGCCGATAACACGGTGCCATTGGTGAAGAAGCCCTCGTCGCCCATTAGGCTGAAATTTTTGATGTTGATGCACGATTTTAATGGATTTAATGGAAGCCTCAGCCTAAACCTAAGCCTTACCCTGAGCCTAACTCACACTTGAAACGCCTCGCCCCATTTCGGGTTGCCGCTGACCGGACGATTTGATGTCGTAATTGGTGGGAAGTGATGTTCGGAGAAAACGGTCTTTGGCAGCAGCTCCAGCCGGACCGAGATTTCGGCCGACGAGCACAAGGTATTGAGCGGTTGCGGGATACGGGCCTCACGGACTGAAGAGGGGACGTGGATTATGTGGCTGCGACGTACCTTTGATGACAAAGCGTACCTTGTCTTCTTCTCGACTGCGTACGTAGGTGGCCTAGAAGGATTGATGCGTATGCTTAGGCTTAGAGAGAGAGAGAGAGCGAGAGAGGGAGAGAGAAGGAGCGAGCCGACCTGCAAACAAAGCGTGCTCCCCTCCCCGGTCGTATCCTCTTGATCAGCCATCGCCGCATAATAGGCAAGCATCAGATCCTCAGTGGCAAGGCTCTAGGGATCAGCATTAAAGGGATGCCGCCAGCTAGACCTATGCCCAAGCGTGGGCTGGTCAGCTTAGAAACCCACCTTTAATTGCAAGTCCTTCGCAAATTTTGATGGATTTTTTGGACCATGTAGTTGCTCGCGAATGATTTTTAGTGCCACCTATACCCTAGTAAAAATGTAAAACTTCCATACGTAAATATTTCGATAATATTCGTGCGTTTGGAACTCCTTGAGGCTTCGGGCCAACTCTGCCTCGAAGAAGTGCCATAGACCGGTGAGGATTCGCTGGAAAATGGATTTTACGAGGCAGTGGCTAGCAGAGATTCTTTAGGAAAGGACAGGCTAGCGGTAATTCTTTGGGAATGGACAGGCTAGCAGAGATTTTGCTGGCTTGTCTAAGAAAACCATAATTCAAAAGCGCATACCTTTGCCCTCCGAGGATAAAAATCCTTCTCCACTCCCTCTACAACTTTTTCCATTGCATTAATGATCGTCTCCGAGTTATGAAAAGCATCTATGCGATCCCGGACATAGGATGCCAAGGTCTTCGTATACTCCTGTCGATCCAAACAGAGCTGCCGCGCGTACTTGACCGTCTCGGCCCGTGTGTCGCCGTAGTTCTTTGCGATTAGCCGGTCGGCCAGGCAATCACATTGCTAAAATCGTCATCTTAAAAAGAGGAATACGTAGACAATAATCCGAGCCTTGGAAATTTGGCCGACCTCCTTGCAGGTGCGCAGCATGGCCTCGATGGTCACGCGGATTTTTTCCGCTTCGTTGGTGGCGAGCATACCTTCGATGCGCTGAACCCGTAGTTTTTCCGGGGGGGGTATAAGCGCCGGTGCAGGCTTGGGCGCAGGTCTAGGCTTCGGTTTAGGCCTAGGCTGAGGCTTAGGCTTAGGCTTAGGCTTAGGCCTAGGCTTAGGGTTAGGCTTAGGCTTACGCTTATGCTTAAGTGTATGCTTAGGTCGAGGCCTAGCGGTTTCCTAAAGATCTCATCCTGGCACCTCTACCGTACCTCCCAATCCGAGAACTTGACCCAGTTCTTCTCGATGTATTCAATGGCGTGATCGATTCCGTTTGCCGCGCGGACCGAGCGCACGCAGTCGCATTTCCTCGAATGATTCTGAATTTGTCAAGTTTCATGCAAACCCGCCTCCGCTTTCACCAACCTTGCAGGTGAAGTCGGGGCGAGCCTCGGCGTATAACTTCCGCGCATAGGCAACAAGGTTCTCGGTGAAGATCTAGAGCGAGCAAAAGATAGGCGGAGGCAGAGAAAACGAGAGATAGAGAGAGAGAGAGAGAGAGAGAGAGAGAGTGAGTGATAGAGAAATCCAACACGAACATGAATGATCCGTAGCGTGACCAGTAAGGCATGTTGTGGGTACTCAAGGTTCAGCGTCAAGATGTCGTCTGGAACAACATCTTTGCTTTTACGTACGTCGCTGTAGCGAACAAACCTGACAAGCCCTTCTGAATACACAGGAAAGAATACAGACCGGATGGCAGTTTTCGATCCGAATCCCCGAATTCTCTTTGTCGTCCGTCTGAAAGGATGGTAAGTTGGTAATGGCACGGAGGAGCGCGAAAATCGACCTCTAGAGGTCGACCAGGAGTCGACACCTTTAACTGCATTTTTGACTGACCATCTTCGTCAAGTGGCGTCGTCCTGGAGACCATCAGGAGCGAGGTTTCTCTGGATTGTTTAGTAGTTTTCGGTTAGTTCCCGCTCTTTAGACGTATCGCTTAGCGCTATTCTCTCTCTCTCTCTCTCTCTCTCTCTCTCTCTCTCTCTCATTCTCTCTAGCTCTCTCTCTCTCTTTCTCTCTCGCTCATTCACTCTCTCTCATTCTCTCGCCTTCTCTCTCATTTTCGCTCTAATAAGCCGCACCTCCAAGCCGTAGTCCAAAATACAACACATGACGAGAAGCAGAGCTCAAATTTGGAGAGCAGTGGTACCGTGATGCTATAAATACGACACCTCTTGCTCAACACCAGAATCAAACTTCGAAGCCTTCGCAATCTTCTTCATATTGCTCACTGCAGCATAGGCCTTCATCGTGTTCTTACTGTACACGTCCAACTTCTCATAATCGCGCGCGTTCAGCTCGGCAGTGGCCGTCTCGATGATGTTGCGGAGGACAGCTTCGAGCTGCAGGCTAACATGCCGAGCTTTTCGGCCAGTCCACTTACCGGTACGTCCAGAGTCTCGTAAACAATTTTCAGGTAGTTGATTGAGAACTGTTCAAAGTAGACAGCGTAGGGTTTGTAGTTGAAGTAGATCGATCTGGAAAAATGGGCGTAAGCTTAAGCCTAAGACTTTGCTTAACCCTATGCATAAGCTTAATCTTAGGCTCAAGCATCGGCCTAGAGCTGAACCTAAATAGAGCTCTTATTCTGCGCCGGCGTCTTCAGACCGTGCACCCAAAATCTACGCACCTGACCAATTTTTGGAGATGTGTGCATAGGGAGTGGACATCTTGGGATTCGACAACGAATTTCGTCTAAGAACGTGAAAATCCGTACACATTCTTCTTACCCGCGACCAATGCTGTACGGAGAGTGCGATCAGGATGCGCAGCTTGTTCGCCAGGTACGCGGCGGGGTCCAGGAATTCACAGTACTCCCACGCGGTCAGAGCACAAATGTGGGCGACCGGGCTGAAACAGTTTTTCTAAAGAACCTCTGCTAGCTTGCTCTTTTTAACGGCCTCTACTAGCTTGCCTTTCCCAAAGAATCTCTGCTAGCTTGAGTTTCCTAAAGAATCTCTGCTATCCTGCCTTCTCCCAAAGAATCTCTGTTAGTTTTCGTTCAACGTTCCCAACGTACAGCATCATCTTATGGAATTCCTGCATAAGTGGTCCTTCTTCCGGCGGGAATACTTGAAGCCTTGCTGGTAAATCTTAAGAAACTTGTAAGAATCCCTGCGAAGCTCTACCAATCAGCTGGTCGAGCAGCGTGACCGACTTCCGCTTCTGCGTGAAGTTGGGAGGAAGCTCCGGATGGCTCTCGTGGCTTTTCGAGATGGCCGATCGGATAGAGGGGACACGCTCGAGCTTTGGATGTGGGTTATAGCTGAGTGATCGCTTGAGAAGGCGTTGCTTGGCTTGGCCTGGAAAGCTTGGGATTAAAATATTGATCTTTAAGATTTGCAAAAACACGAACCTAGAAAGGATTTTCGACGGTCCGCACTTTCGGGGTGGAGCAAAAGGTTGCCATTTGAATTTTTGGAACCTGCTGGGCTTGGCGGCTGATTTCTAGATCGAACCGAGGCTTCGGAGGGCTGTAATGAGGTGCGTTTCGTAGTGATGCGTTGACTAGGCTAGCTAGGGTTAAGCTGGGCTTTGGCTTAAGCTTGGCGTTGGACTGAGGTTTAAACTTAGACTTAGGCTTAGGCTTTAGGTTAGGCCTAGACTTGGGCGAAGTTTCTTACCCGTCGCTCCAAAATCGAACGGCTTTTCTTGCTCGTCTGGCTAGCTGCCGATGTATTCGAGAGTATCGAAGAGCTCCGCAGCTTCGTCACCGAGTTGGAGAGCGACGACCTGAACAAGGAAAAGTTAGGTTACGGGGATCCCACTTTGATTGGTCGGACTTTTGTCGATCGACGGTCCGATGTATGAGGTTGGCGGACGATTGGGACGTCGGCAAGTTCAAGCGGGTCGGCCGTCGAGGAGGGCCGCCTTTAAGGTAAAGGTGACTGGTTTTAAGGTAACTTTAAGGTAAAAAACGGGCTAATTACCTGACGAAATGGGGGCCAGATGGTCGTCGATAACGCCGATCAAACAATCGAACAGGTATTCCATGCAGTGCGTCTAAATATTTTAGTAGATAGCTCAAGGGAGTCACGCGTCGCGGATCGCGATGCGGCACCAGTTTCAGAATTCTGTGGTGTGTACTTTTGTACGTAACGGCAAATTAACCTGCGTGTACGGATGGTACACCGCTTTAGACGAGGGGGAGAAGAAGAGTGAGAGAGATGTGCCACTCACAAATGTCCGACATATTTCCGGCTGTTCCTGATGGCGCTCAATGGTGCGAATGGCTGAGGGCAGCACCCCAGCAGCAATCGGGGCAATTGAGTTGTCCCAAACCAAAAACACGCTGAGGGATCTGAATCGGGGGTGTATTTTAGGGTTTGCGTCGCGCCTGGGAGACTCACATGAGCTTCAGGTAGATTGACGGCATTTGATAGTAGATGAACGTTAGGTGGAGAAGGGTGTACGACCGTTCCTGGAGCTCTCCGGAATAGGCGGGCTTCTGAAACGTCGCCAAAGTCGATTAATTGGGGCCTGGGCTTCAGCTTAGGCTTAGGCTTAGACGGAGGCTTAGGCTTGGGCTTAGGCATAGGCTTGGATTTCGGCTTAGAAATAGGCTTTTGCTTAGGCTTAGGCTGACGTGCCTGCGTCGGCGCCTCAAACTCGTGCACCGTGCGCACCAACTCCACCAGGTCGTCGAATTCGATGTTGGGCAGCGGCCGATCGCTCATCTGCTTCTGAAAGCCTTTCGTAGGCTGGGAGTTAAGAGCCAGGATCTGACCGTCATTTTGATATCGGCGTAATAAGTCGTGCCCTTGGCGGTGAAGCTCTTGCGCAGCTTCTGATCGAGTGGGATCGTTCGGGCCGAGACATGCTCTTCAGTTTCTTCCTTGTCGGTTAGGATTCTAAATTGGTTGGAACCTAAAACCAAGCCTAACCTCCTGAAAAGCGTCGTCTTCTTCAGGACGGCTTTTGCCTTCTGACCGTTCAGCTTCACTACCTGGCAGGTGAAATAGACATCTCGGGAAGGGCCGAGATCGCTAGAAAACACTTGTTTATATCTTCTCACAATTCTCAACCCACATTTCGTATGTTTCGCCACCATTTAAAGTATGCTGCGTCGATGTCTTGCCACTAAATTGTCTCTTAACGACCTGAGGTATTTCCTAGCTTGTCGACCACCAGCAGCACATTTTTGGTGTGCGGAATGTCGACGATTGTCACCTCGAGCACGTAGGTCCTCTAAAGTGACCTTCAAAAAGTCGAAAGGATCCCACATAAGAAAAACACTCCTGCACCAATCGATCGTGCTTCTGAAGGGGCATCTTGAAGATCTATAAACGGTTTTGTTTCTGTTGGGCTTAGGCTAGGGTCTAGGCTCAGGCTTAGACTTAGGCTTAGCCTTCGACTTAGGCTCAGGCACAGGCATAGGCTTAGGCTTAGACTTGCTTAGGCTTAGGCTTGATTTGGCTTAAGCGTAGTCTAGACTTTGGTCTAGGTTAGAGTTACCTTTCTGAGGTGGCTGAGCAACAACGTGATGTGTGCATTCTCCTTCTCGCTGTCATGCGGGTAAGAGAGGAGCACGGATGCAATTACCGCCTTGTAGGCTTCATCCCGCATCTAGAAATTACAATAAAAAAATCTAAGGCCAAGTCGCCGGGCATTTTAGGACCAATGCGCTAGCAGAAATTCTTTAGGAGAATAGGCTAGCAGAGATTTTGGGGAAACGGAATGAATCTGGAAAAAAAATCGAGAATGTTTAGTGCAACAATGCGGGACAAGGGTGATTGGGATCAATTTTTTCGGGGCTTTAGAATGGCTCAGCCGGTGCGGGCGATTGTTTGGATTGCGATAAGAAACGAGGGCCGCCATCCACTGCAGGGAAAAGCCGCCAGAATGGCGAGCAAGTCGACAAGTTTATGTCATGCCCTTTAAAGGTCGGTAGGGAGAATGGTTAGAAAAGCCTTTGAAAAATCTCTTTACTTTTTTTTTTGGGGGAGGGGGGGGGGGTTAAAAAAAAAAAGGTTTTTTTTTTTTTTTTTTTTTTTTCGCCTAAAATTAAAAAAATATTTATTTTATTTTTTTTTTCTTTTTTTTTTTTTTTTTTTTTATTTTTGGTTTTCAAAAATTTAAAAATTTTAGAAATTTTTTATTTTTTATATACACAAACTGCGTAAAATGTTATAAAAATAGTTTCTATTTTGTTATAGGAGCGTAAAGGATCACTGCTAAAATTAGTCTCCCTTGCCCACCCCCCGTTAACAGTCTAGTACCGATACATGACAGAAGCAGTATCCAGAAGCTGTTTTTGGAAGAAAATTTTTGCATAGCGTTACTGCAAATTTGCATATCGACACCGTTTTGTCGGCCCCAGAATGTAGCGAAAAATCCGAATACAAAGCTCATTTTCGTCTTCTCATTCTCATCGAAAAGGATGCCCGGCTCGAAAACAAACCTCGCCCTCAAGGCGGCCGTCGAACGGGAGAAGAGGTTTCGGCTTTTCTCTGACGCCATCAATCAATTCTAGTCGCGCAAAGCCGTCGGCCTTGGAGATGTACAGCAAGAGCAAGTCGAGCACCAGCTCTCGTGGCAAAGCGCCGAAGAAGGGAAAGCCCCGATGCCATGAGACGGATTGTGACCATTGCGGTCATCCCTGTACTCAGAAGAAGGACGGCAACAAGAAGAACAAGCCCGGCGTACGCGCTCGTGCCGAGCCTGCCGAGTTTTGGGTGAAGACGGAGTTTGAGGTGGCTTCTTCTCTCTCTCTCTCTCTCTCTCTCTCTCTCTCTCTCTCTCTCTCTCCCTCCCTCTCTCGCCTCCCTCTCTCTCTCTCTCTCTCTCTCTCTCTCTCACTCCCTCTCATCACATTTCTTGAAGATCGCCGGCTACGGCGTGCTGCCCGTCCTGAAAGGTGATCCGAAATGGTTGCCCGACAAAGTGCAGGTAGATGAGCATCAGTGACAGCCCACCTCTCCTAGGCGTTCATCGCCGAGAAGGCGCGCGTCATGACCCCGTCCGCCATCTTCATCTGCAACGGCAGCGTCCACGAGGCTGACGAGATGATCGGAATCCTGACGAAGCAGGGTAAGATGCAAAAAGAGGGCTTCACTTAAATGCAGTTTATCCCCCCCGCCAGCCGACCCCCGTCTAGCGTATCTCGGCTCCCTGTTCATCTATAGGTGTGTAAGGTAAACCAAAATGTTCGTCTTGCTCTGGCGAGTATTTTTGTATACTTGTAGATGACCTTTAGATGAACAGGGAGCCGAGATACGGTAGGTGGGGGTCGGCTGGGGGGGGGTTATCTGGAGTTTAGCCCAAGCTCCAATTCAGGCATCATGGAGCCATTGTCGTCATATCAAAATGTCCACTTGGTGCGTACCGACCCGGCGGACACTGCCCGATCTGAGCAGGCCACCTTCATCAGCCATCGGGATGTGAATGCCATCCTCACCGGGTAGGGTGTGGCCTCGCTACCGTAATCTCGATTTCAGAGGCGTCCCCTCGCCTAACGGACTCATCCAATATATGGCCCCGGACCGGATGGATCGCGAGCTGGAGCGCCGATTTGCCGGATGCATGCGGGGACGCACCATGTAAGAGACGGCGAAAGCGATAAAAAGCGAGAGAGCGAGAGAGAGAGAAAACTGATTGCCATACCTTTCAAGGTACGTGCTGCCCTTCTCGATGGGCCCGGTGAACGGGAAGAACTCGATGAACGCGGTGCAGCTGACCGACAGCCCGTACGTCGTGCTGAACACGCGGATCATGGCCAGGTGAGCAGCGTCGCCGACGACGCCAGCAAGGGCACGGCTTAGGCTCGTCGGCCCGGTGTGGGATGGCATCGCCGGGTCGCCCTCGTTCGCCCGCCTCATCCACTCGATCGGCGTCCCGCGACCGCACTTCCGGGCTTTGAAGCAGAATGTATGTCTCCCTCTCTCTCGCTCTCTCTCTCTCTCTCTCTCTCTCGCTCTCTCCCCTACTGCCTTCCATAGTGGCCATGCGCGGTGGAGCGTCTCCTCGTTGCCCACAGTCTCGAGGACAACGAGGTGTGGAGCTTCGGGAGTGGGTACGGCGGGAACTCGCTGCTCGGCAAGAAGGCGCTCTCGTTGCGGCTGGCCTCTTGGAAAGGGCACAGCGAGGGATGGCTCGCCGAACACGCTGCACTGCTCTGCGTCACAGGTATGGAGGGCTGGCTAGCAGGGATACTTTAGCAGCCCAATCAAATAACTTTTTTTTCAGATCCGGCCGGCAAGGACCATTTCATCACGTTCCACGCCCCGTCCGGCGGCGGAAAGACCGACCTGGCGTTTGCCGAGCCGACGATTCCGGGGTGGAAGGTGATTTTAAAGGGACAGCGCACCCAGGATTTGACTTTGGAGTTGTTCTAAATAGTTTTTTACTATACCTAAACGTCAACTTTAGAAACTTTTGAAAACAACAATATTAAAAAATATCGAGTTTTCAATCACAAAAGGCCAATCCTACTATATATAAAAAAATAGTGTTTGTGTGTGTGTGCCACTTTGCATGCAACTTCCATCAGCGTGTTCCAGGCGTATCTCAAGAAGGAGAGTAGTTAGGGGCATGATGGGCGTAATGGGCTGGAGATGACTGCACGCATATCAAATTTATCAAAATGGCTTAGTTTCGACATTAAATTTTAGTTTTTGTTGAAAAATCCGAGACCCTCTTTGTTAGGAATCAATTAGCATACACCGGAAGTTGTGGTAGCCTATATAAATGAGCAGAGAACGCATTTTTCATTTTTTTTAGCATGGGTCGGACCGAATTATGCAAAGTGTAAACTTTCATTGGTCCAAAACAGGGCCAGGGTTGAAAAGTCGCGAAGCGGCTTTTGAACCCTGGTTTTTGATAAATTCCGACTTTCGAAGAATGTTTGCTAAAGCTTTTAGATAGTTTTAGCTAAAAAAAGATAGTTATAGCTAAAATTAATAAAAACTATTACAATACTTTCTACATTCTAGTCATACACAAAGTTAGGTCTCCCGATAATGCGAAAGAACTCGTGCGAGATTTACAAGCTCCTTTAATCCTGCCCGTTCCAGATCAGCGTGTTGGGCGACGACATCTCGTGGATCCGACCCGGCCCAGATGGGAATCTCTATGCTTCAGCGCCCGAGTCAGCTTACGGGGAATTTTTAAGGGACCGGGAAGGCTCGACCCCACTTGCTGAACCCTTTAAAGAAGCTGATCTAGAAACGGAATGTTCGGCATCGCCCCCGGCCTCGACCCGAAGATCCACCCGTCCGCTTTCAAGGTATCCGGCTTACACCTGCAACTTCAGCTCTGTTCAGCTACTCGCCAAGGACGCGCTGTTGGTCAACACCGCGTCGACGAGCCACGGCAATATGTATTGGAAGAGTTGTAAGGGATTAAAGGAGCTCGGAAGGGTGGTTGGAAAGCGAAGGGGCGCGCTGAAAAAATGACCTCTGGCGCTTCCTTTCAAACCGCCTTTGATCCAGGTGGAGCCATCTCGTTGAGCGGCGAGGAGGCGGTGCGCGATTGGCAGGGCATCGAATGGGGCGTATCGTCCAAGACGTGAGTGCTTAGGTTTAGGCTTAGGCTTATGCTTAGGCTTAGGCTTAGGCTTAGGCTTATGCGTATGCTTAGGCTTAGGCTTAGGCTTAGGCTTATGCGTATGCTTAGGCTTAGGCTTAGGCTTCACCCGCTCAGTCCCAATTTAGCAACCCGGCCCACCCGAACGCCCGCTTCACCGCGTTCACCGAGAACAGCCCGAACGTGCACAAGGAGTGGGACAACCCGCAGGGGGTCCCGCTGACTGCGTAAGTTGGGTTAAAGGAACCAGGAAGGCGAGAGATTTTGGAACAACTGTGCTTTTGAGGATGATCTTCTGCTCACGGCGTCCCGACGCGTTCCCGTTGTGTCTGGAAACGAACAGCTGGGCCGAGGGGGTCACGCTGGCCGCTGGGATGCGAGCCGAGGCGAGCGCTGGAAGCGGGATGAAAGGTGGAAACCCGTTTAGACTGTGACTGTGACTGTGACTCTAAAGAATATCTGCCAGCTTTCCCTTTCCCAAAGAATCTCTGCTAGCCTGCCGTATCTCAAAACCAGCTTCAGCCGGCTCGCTGCTGAACGACCCGATGGGAATGCGCCCGTTCCTCGCCTACAACATCGTCAACTACCTCCAGCACTGGCTCGACGTCGGCGAGAAGGCCAAAAGCGTACCCTACAAAATACAGCCTGCACAAATTGCTTTTCTATGCTACAGCCGCCCAAGATCTTCCACGTCAATTGGTACCGCACCGACGACCAGGGCAAGATGCTGTGGCCCGGGCATGGAGAGGTTCTAAAATTGCTAGAGTTGACATGACTCTGGGCTGTTAGCGGGGGGGCAGTTTTCGGTCAAGACTTTCGAAATTATAAAACTTTAACAAATTTATTTATTATAATTTGGATTTATTTAGAACTTTACACTAAGAACAATAAAACTACCATGTATCATCAACAGAAAGAATAGGTGGAAAAACAGAACGTGGTCCCCCATTAGCAGTCCAGAACCGGGATTTCGAGATTCTGATAGCGAATCCTTACCCCTAGCATTTTAGAATATCCGCGTACTCGAGTGGATCCTCGGCCAGGCCACCGCCGACGCCGCCAAGGTACTGTAACCGTAACTCATGAATGCTCAATAACTTTTTTGCAGGCCGCGGAGAACGCTGTCAAGAATCCGCTCGGGCAGATTCCGAAGTCGATCCGCGCTGAGGTACTCTAGACATTAGCTTAAGCCTAATCCAAGCCTAAACATAAGCCTAAGCCTAAAACCTTTTCCTCGCGAATCTTTCAGGGTCTCGAGGAAAAAAACGTGAAAACCCTCCTCGAGTTCGAGGCGCCGTTCTGGGTGAAAGAGGTCGGAAAGTCCCACTTTGTCTACAGTACTCCCCTGTCTTCAGGTGGCCAGCATGAAGGGGTTCTTCGCCTCGGAGATGGGCAAAGACGTCCCGGCCGCCATCAGCACGGCCGTCACGCGCTTCGAGAAGGACCTCGGCGAAGCCCGCTAAGCCCAACCCCCCATTAATTTACACTCCCCACATCTTCTGCCTCTTCTACTATCGCCCGAATGTATCTAACAATTCCAGTGTGCATGTGAAAATCAACCTATGAAGCGATGAAGTTTTGTACGAATAAAGTGTTTTGATTGTCGCTGGTTAGGAGTTGAGGCTTAGGGTTAGACTTAGGTTTAGGCTTAAGCATAGGCTTAGGCTTAGACTTAGGCAGGCTTAGGCTTAGGCGAACAGAGGTCGACCATGGAAATCGTCCATATCGATCGGCTTAGGCTTGGTTTCACACTACTACGCAAAATTTTCGGATTTTCCTTTCCGCTGCGGTCCGCCAGGGCTCTAGGCGGATGGCAAGTGGGTGGTTCTTAGACTTCTAGATTCAAGGAAAATCTACAGCGCTGCTTAGAGGGGCTCTGTCAAAGAACCTTATTAGAAACAAAACGCGTTTACCAATTCCTTCGTAATCAATGTCTCACAGCATTTCCCTCCATGGGCGGGGTGGATATTTTGGGGACATCTGGTTGGCCAATTTTGGAGGATATGTGGGTGTGGGTTGACCTGTCGGCCCTCTGCAGACAATGGCCCTCCGGGATACCTAATCGATTGACCCGGGTGAGGTTTTTGGGTGGTAGTCTCCCCGGAGGGCCTTTTGCCTCATCCCCCATCCAGCCTGTCTCAAATGCCCGCTATGGCCTGTTGAACCAGCTCCCTAAATTAATGATGACGGGACGTGGGGGTGTCCCCCGTCCCTCCTCCAGCTGTCCACGAGGCGCCAGAAGTCGATGCCACTCAATGCATTTTATTTGCGATCGGCATTTCGTTTGGAAGACTGCGACCGCGCGCCTGCCAAATTGAAAAATGAAAGACCACAAGAATGGCGTGCAAAAATCGGTTGTCTATATTTACAGGGCGTGCCAATAAAAAACCCCGTCGGCATTTGGCCATCTTCGATCCGATCGGAACCGAATATTTACCAGAGATTGGGACCCCATAAAAACCGTATGCATCCTAATTTTCAGAGTAAAATATGGTAAAGCAAAAAAGTTACATCGAAATTCAGGTTTATTTCGGGTTTTTTTTTCTTTTTACTTGGGTTTTGACTGGTTTCGGGTTGGAAATATTTAGCAAAAATGAAGAGCGCACTTTTTCTACCGCTCCGAATTTTTGATTTACGAGAATTTCGCGGAATTTGGGACTTCCTAGCAATTTTTATTATCAGAATCGGCAAGGAGAGAAATGAGAGCAAAGAGAGAAAATTACTCGAAATCCGCATTGCGAAAGCCTTAGAAAAACGAATACCAACTTTTCCCAAAAATGAGTTTTTAGCGATAACTTTTTTGTTTTGAAAACTTTTTGTTAGAAAATTCGGCTGCATATAGTTTTTAGGTATCTCCATCGCTGATAAAAATTTGGTCCCGATTGGATAGAAGATGGCCAAATGCCAATGGGTTTTTATTTGGGACAACCTGTAAATACGGTGCTGCGCGTATATTTGCATATGAGGAATATATCGTCTTGTAAAATTTATAAAAATATAGCTGGAGCATGGCTTGAAGTAAAAATTGAGGATTGAGAATTGAGGAGATAATTTGCATAACGCTGACAACAAATATCAATAATTTTAAAACAGGCGCAGTGGCCGGTTACAGTACACCCACATGCCTCCCGGGTCCCAAATGTTGACCGAGTAAATACTGGGCTGTTTGGATGTGGGGTAGACTTATTTCGCGCCCTCGACCAGTTCAAGGACAACCCCCGGGTGGCAGCAAGGTAGACCTGTGGTTTATTTTCATTTCAGCACTTATGGTGTCTTTACTAAAGAATCCCTGCCAAAAAATCCTCACTAGTCTCCCCGCTTTTAAAATATTCCAGACGGTTCCATTTCGATCGCACTGCCGGCATCTGGGCTGTTTTGAGCCAAACTTATCATCGACAGCGATCTCTGGGGGTGGTGGGGACCGGGTGGGGGAGGAAAAGATCCCGAGGAAATGTTGACAAGACCACAAATATCATTGTAAAATTTGCGGGAATCTGGGAAAACAGCGGTGCAAAACCCTTTCGAGGAAGCCAATTCTTCTGACAGTGCCAGAAAACGCGCAAATTTCCGAGATCGAGCAGTTCAGAGGCATCTGTAACCCGGAAATGTCGTTTTTCAAGTTACCTAGCTCTCTCTATATCTTTCTCTGTGTATGTGTCTCTCTCTCTGTCTGTCTATCTGTCTGTCTGCGTCTCTCTATCTCGCTAGCTATCTCGCTCTCACTAGCTCTCTCGCTCTCGCTCTCTCTTTCTCCCACACGCTCTCTCTCCCTCTCCCTCGCTCTCTCTCCCTCTCCCTCGCTCTCTCCCGCTCTCCCTCCCTCTCTCTCTATCTCTCTCCCGCTCAGCTTGAATATTTATTTGATTACCAGGGTTGAAAAGCCGCTTCGCGACTTTTCAACCCTGGCCCCGTCTGACCCTGGAATAATCCCCACTTTGCATGATTTTCCTGGATTCCGATAAGCAAAAATGAAAAGCACTTCCTCTTTCCCGTTATATAGGCGATCGCCACTTCCGGCGCATGCTAATTGATTCCTAACAAAGAGAGTCTCCAATTTTGCAACAAAAACTGAAATTTAATAGCGAAAATAGGTGATTTTGTTAATAACATATGCGTGCAGTCATCTCCTGACCATTACGCACCTAATGACGTATCGAACATACCCCTAAGTACTTCCCTTCTTGAGATACTATTGAAACGGTGACGGAAGTTGTATGAAGTGACAGAACACAACACTATTTTTTATTTATTTGATTATTATTTCGGGAAGGGTAGGATGGCAGAGATTCCTTAGGAAAAGGCAGGCGGGCAGACCTGCTGCCTAGCAGAAAACGGGCAAGTGAATAAGCCCCGGCTCAGCCTGCAGCTCAAAAAGCTCAGCGTAGCCCGTAGTTTTCGGCGGAGAAAGGGGCCAAAAGGTCGAGCTCCTGGGCAGGGCCACGGGGTTGTGGTCAGCTGTCCGTCTCTCTCACTCTCGCTCTCGCTCTCTCTCTCTCTCTCTCTCTCTCTCTCTCTGTCTATTCGTGTTCGTTCGTCTGTCCATTCGTGTATACTGGATGTGTCGAAGGGAATGGGCAAAGAGGGTAGAGGGGCTGAGACTCCATCCCCTCGCGGCCCCACCCCCACTTACTCCTTCCCCCAGCCGACCCGGCCCGTTTTTTTTTCGTTGCCGACCCGTTCACGCATTTCTCGGCCATTAACGTCGCCAGGCCGCTTTGGTCGGAAAATCGCTCATGCTCACGAAAACCCCGAAGAAATGTCGATATTTTGGCGCTTTTTTATTTTTACGGCATTGTGCCGCGCTCGATCGCTTAATTTTGATCTGTAAGGGTTTACTTTACCCCCGCCCCCCCCCGCCCCACAGTTCTCAAATTTTTCGATATTTTCGCTTATTTTGTCGGGATTTTTGCAACGCCATTCGATAGAGCGTCGAAAAATATACCATAAGTTTTAATTTAAGTCTACAATAACGTAAAATAAGAAAGTTATAACCAAAACATTCCGGCTAAGGGGTGGGGGTGGGGTAAAGTAAACCGTAGCCCGAAAAAAAGAGAGAACCACGTACTACGTACTCGAGGAAACGATGCAGCCACCCTGTAAATGCAAATTTCCATTTTTAAAAGGCTCAAATTTTTACAAGAAACTTTTGCTAACCTGCTTTTCCTGAAGAATCCCTGCTAACTTGCCCTTTCCCGAAGAATTTCTGCTAGCCTGCCCGTTCCTGAAAACGCTTCTAGCCTATTCCCAAGGAATCCTTGCTAGCTTGCCTTTCCCAAAGAATCTCTGCTAGCTCGCCTTTTTCTGATAAACTTTGCAAGCTTGCCCTTTCCTAAACCATCTTGACCGCCCTGCCCTTTCATAAAATTAATTGAGCTTAATTCCAGCCACCCCTTCAATGGGCCCTGAGTGAGCACGAGCGAGAGAACATCGACGGGTCAGAAGCTACCTCACAACATGCCGAGGCTCAACATCGGCGCCTTAATTCTGCTACTGTATATATTATTATGCTATTGGGTTCCGCCCAGCTGCCAAGCCTCGTTTCAGACACCCCAAAATGGGACCGGTGAGGGCTTACCACAACAAAATAAATAAAAAAACCCAGGAATCAGAAATGACGAAATTACCTTTTTGAAGCTAGTTTGGATGCCACGTCTTTTGAAGTCGCTATTTTGTCGGGATTTAGACGGTCGGAATATGGCTGTCGGTATTTTAGCAATCGGGATTTTGGCATATTCCTTTGTCTCTCCATAGGCCTCTCTGAAAGAACGAGTCTAAAATACCGTTTCTCCAGCTTCTCCATGCTTAGTGTTGCGTGTATTTGGGTGTATTTTCGCTCGTTTCAAGGCCATTCCCGGAATGGGCAGGTTCGCGCGCGCGCGGGGGCACAGATCGATTCGCGCCGATCTGCAAGTTGCAACGAAATGCCGACACGGCCTCGTGCAGCTGTACGTCCTTGAGTGTAATATGCGAAAATGGCCAACAAAAACCTGGCTAAAAGCTTGTACGGAAAACTGGGGGCAGCTTAGACAAGTTAAAACGGCATTAAAAAATTAGTCGCTCCAAAATGCCGACAAGGTAACTCTCGCAATCCCGAAATCCCGACAAGGAAATGTTGATAGCCAAAATCCCGATAGGCGAAAACCTCTGCAACCATAATACGGACACTCCCAAATTTCGACGCCGATAATTTCGTCGCGAAAAATACCACCAGGAAAATCCCTACGCTTTAAAGCCCGACAGGCATAATACCGACATCTTAATCACGACAGCAAAAAATGGAGAGACACCCCAAAACTCCGACACTTCAAAATCCCCACAGCTAAAATCCCGTGAAGATCATACCGATAAATACCGCTTTTGAGTGTCGGGGTTTTCCCAATTTTCCGTGGTAACCCATTACGCGATGCAATTGTTCCAGGATGTGCCCCTGGTCTCTTTCTATGCGACAAACGGAGCCGTATCTCAAAATGTATCCCCCAGAAATGGGTGTGCGACGGGGAGCCAGACTGTCTGGACGGGAGCGACGAACGACAGAACTGTGGTTGGTCTACCGGATCGGGATTCTGTGTTTTCGAGGCGAAGCAACCACAAAAAAAGTAACGTTTAGAGGTGAAAGAGTGCCAGGGCGAGGAGTTCCGGTGTTTGAAGTCGGGTCGTTGCTTGCCGGCTATCTATCGGTTCGTCGCCTTTTTTCATTAAACTTGCATGGAAGTGCAAAGGGTGATATCGTAGCGACTGGGACGTTATATACTACTTAGGCTTAGGATTGGGCTTGGACTTGGGCTTGGGCTTATGCTTAGGCTTGGGCTTAGGCTTAGGCTTAGGCTTAGGCTTAGGCTTAGACTTGAGCTTAGACTTTGGCTTCGGCTGGGCTTCGGCATAAGATTAAGATTGGGCTTGGGCTTGGGCTTCGACCTAGGCTTATCCACTAACTCCAACTTACAGGTGTGACCGCGAGCCGGACTGTGGAGAAGACGCTCACGGGAATGTCGACATTTCTGATGAAGACCCGGATATGTGTGGTTCTCCCCTCGCCTGCCCCCCAAATACCCACCGATGCCTGACCGTCCAGAGTTGCGTCCCGTTGGAAAAGTTTTGCAACCGCCAAAAGGATTGTCGTGACGGAAGCGACGAGGGCCCTTTCTGCGACTCGGGTTAGTTGAGCGTTGTAATTGATGCATTTTATGCCGATAATTCAAGCTTCACCAACGTCTCATTTTAGTAAACCCAACCATGTGTAAATTCGGGGGCTCACCGACCGCCGATTCCGGTTTTAAATGCTACTGCCCGGCAGGACAGGTAAATATGGAAAAAATTCCAGTCTTAGCTGTAACTAGGAATTCCGGGACGGAGACTGCGTCGATGAGGATGAGTGTCAACGACCCTTGAAGGGTGCGTTTTTCTCCTGAAAGATTATTAATTTTCCAAAGAATCTCTGCTAGACTGCCCCGTCCCAAAAAAATATTTTCTTTCCTAAACAATCTCTTCTAGCTTGCGTCAGCCAAAGCACCTCTGCTAGCTCTTGCTTTCCTCCAGAATCTCTGCTAGCCGTTCCTTTCCTAAACAATCTCTGCTAGGAATTCCGACCATCTCGCCCTCTGCGAGCCTTTTCTTTCCACAAGAATCTCTGCTAGCCTGTCCTTCCTCAAGAATCTTTGCCGACCGCCTTTCTCCTAAAGATTCTCGTCAAGCCTGCTTCTTCTAGTTCCAATTTCCAGGCTTCATCCCGGTGTGCAGCCAGAACTGCCAGAACGTGGCCAATACCAACACGTCCACGCCGAAGTTTGAGTGTTCGTGCAGCAATGGTTTCGAATTAAAAGACGGGAATCGTTGCGAACCCATTAATGGTGTGTTTTTTATTTTTTTTTGATTTTAAAGGGACGTAGAAGAAAAAACGACCACCTCGTATCATTACAGGCCAAGCCTCCTGGATGTTGCTGGTCAGCGAGGGCGAAGTGAGGATGCGCCAAATGTCCGGGCTGCACGGCCGCGACGAGGATAGGCAGTATAAGAAATTTGTAAGCAATTTTAGGCATTTTGGGGCTCAGCTAACAGAGATTTTTTTGAAAAATAGAAGGCTACAGGCCCGTAGCGGAACCGAAATTTCGGGGGGGCCCAAAAATTTTGGCGACCCCCCCGTCGCCACTTTTAAAACATCCGAACATCGCGTCAATAACAGCGCCGCAGGCAAAAAAAAGCAAAATAGCGTTCGCTACACTCAAATTCGTGTGAAAACACGGCAGAAAAGGCGCCGCAGGCGAAAATTTTCTATGAACAATTGATTCACCAATAAAAAACCAGCGCCGCTGGCAAAAAATTTTGAAAAAATAGGCTTCATATAAGTAAAAACTGTTTGAAAAACAGTAATAAACAGCGCCACAGGCAGAAAAATTTTTGTAACTAAAAATCATAAGGGTCCCCCTTATGAATTTTTCGGACCTCGACCGATTTCGGGGGGGCCCAGGGCCCCTGGCCCCCTCCTACGGGCCTGGAAGGCTAGCAGAGATCCTTGAGGAATCTCCCTAGTAATTTCCCGAATCTTTACCAATTTTCCAGAATTTCAATGCCTTCGACGTGGACGTTCGTAAAAAGTCGGTCTGCTACATCTACAACGTAGGCCAATCCTTGGAAGCATATCTTGAAAATTTTAGCGACTCAACGATGCGGATTTCGGGTCGGTCGGCGTCAGCGACGAGTCGGTATTTGAATGCGCCCCGTTCGACGCGTCGACGGGCGACATCAGCAAGCCGACGATCACTATTGCCTCGCAAAGCTATGAATTGACAGGTAAGCCGAAGCCCAAGCCGAAGCCTAAGCCTTAGTCTGGGCCTAAGCCTAAGCTTATGCCTAAAACGAAGCCTAAGCCGAAGCCTAAGCGTAAGCCTAAGCTTGAGGTCGTGACGTTAATTTTCCCATTCCAGGCGTAACGAGCATGAGACTCGATTGGATTTCTAGAAATTGGTACTTTGTCGACGCCGCTTCGAGGGTGATCATCTTGTGCAAAGAGGGCGATGTAAGTCTTTTTTTCCGTGACACAAGCTTTCCAAGGATATCGAGTGTGATGCATTTTCAACATACCTTTGAAGAGAAACGCTCCTTTGCAGTTTTCCTCCTGCAAAACCATCGTGCACAACGGGCTCGACAAGCCGGCTGCGATGGTCGTTGACCCGATGGCCGGCTACTTTTTCTATGCCGACAATGGGGCAAAACGGACGGGAATCTGGCGTTTCGACCTTGATGGGCAAAATCGGAAGAACATGGTCGATAAGGCGGTTGTTCTGCCAAGAGGTACGAGAGAGAGAGAGAGAGAGAGCGAGAGAGCGTGAGAGAGAGAAAGAGTAAGATAAAAATCCCGCTTTCCAGGTTTAACCCTTGATTTGAACACGAAGACCCTCTACTATCTCGACGCCTACTTGGAATCCATTCGGGCCGTTGATTATGAAATGAAAGGAAAATCAAGGCTCGTAGTGGCCGGAAAAACGGTTGGTTTTGGGCTATCAACCGGATGGCAGGCTAGCTGAGACTCTTTAGGAAAGGGTAGGCTAGCAGAGACTCTTCAAAATGTTCTCAATTCGCGTCTTTTCAGCTGAAATCGATGAACAGCATGCTCATTTTTGGCTCGCACCTCTACTTGGTCGGGCGGAACAAAATCGCCGAGTACGACGTGATGAAGGTGAGGCGGGATACCGTAATCTCACCCCTTTCAGGATGAGAAACAGCGCCCCGCCCTCTACGACAGCTACAGCTTTGACGACTCGGCGCACTCGCTTTACGTGGTCGATTCGACGATACAACCGGAAAGTGGGTGTTTTTCGGGGTTTATTTTTCATTGCTCTCTGCTATTCTGACTTTTCCTGATAATTTTTAAAAGTCTGGCTTGCCTAGAAGGTCTCTGCCAGGTTACCCTCTCCTCAAGAATCCCTGTTACCCTACCATTCCGAAATGGCTCGAAATTCCCCAAATTTCAGCTGAAAGCCCATGCACCAAAGCCAGCAGTATCTGCTCATCGATTTGCATCACAGCCCGCAAAAACGGAAAAGACGGACAGATCGGAACCCGATGCCTATGCCCGGAAGGTTTGGAATTGTTACGTTTTTTGGGATATTCGGAGAAATTTAATGGTTATCCAAGTCCTTCAGGATACACAAATCGCAACGGAAGGTGCGAAATTGGGGGTGTGAATGATCCGCTGCTGATTTTTGCCCGAATCCGGCCGGCCAGTATCGCCGGAATACCGTTAGATATCGGGCAAACGGCGAAGAACTACACACAGGTTTGACTATCCCAATTTAGGCTTAGGCTTAGGTTTAGGCTTAGGCTTAGGCTTAGGCTTAGTTTAGGATTAGCTTAGGTTTATGCTTAGGCTTAGGCTTAAGCTTAGGCTTATTATGAGCTTCATGTTTACCATCAACTTTCAGGTGGAGCAGCTTATGCCTCCGGTGCAGCACCTCTTCCGCCCCACCTCACTTGTTGTCGACTCCCAACGAATGCACCTCTATTTCTCTGATGCTAGGAATTTTACAATCTACCGCCGGGGCATTCAAAAAAATACGAAATTGGAGCCGGTCATTACGTCAGGTGAGGCATTTTCCGACGTATCCTACTATCAACTATAATAAAAAAGTTGAGACGTCTGTCCGTCCGTGTGTCTGTGTGTCTGAAGCCGAATTCAACTCGAAGGGGAAAGGAGCTAGAGCTTAGGTCTCTTCGGATTCGGATAGAGCGTGGTCAGAAACCCCCAAACTGATAAAAAAATTATGAAAAAGTTTTAGTTTAAATTATTAAAATTAACTTTGAAAGTTTTTTCCTTAGTAAAAGGGGTCGGGGACGGAGGTTGGGGTGATTTTGGACATAGTGAGCCAGGTCGCGCGCGTTTCGTGGATGAAAATTTTCACGGGGGATTTCATTTCTTTTTTTCTCTCATTCCATCCGGTCGGTCGTTATTTTTGTTTTTTAAGGGGATTTCGGCTCGGGGAGGTATCTGAAGCCATCAGGAAAGTATTTAGGTAGTTTTTGAAGGGGATTTCAGCCATGGGGGGTATCTGAAGCCATCGGGAAGGTATTTCGGTACTTTTTGACGAGGATTTCAGCCATGGGGGGTATCTGAAGCCATCGGGAAGGTATTTAGGTAGTTTTTGAACGGGATTTCGGCTATCGGGGGTATTGATGGAGGTGGGAAAGGATGTGGTGGAGTGGGACATGTAGGGTAGCCCGAAGGCCAGATGGTTGCAGTCGCGAAGCGACTGTAACCATCTGGTACTATATATAAAAAAATAGTGTCTGTGTGTCTGTGTGTGTGTGCGACTTTGCATCCACTTCCGTCTGTCTGTCCGGAGGATATCTCAAGAAGGGACGGGTATTAGGCTACGTATGATACGTCATTAGGTGCGTAATGGTCTAGGGATGACTGCACACATATCAGATTTTTAAAAATTTGCCATTTTCGCTATTAAATTTAGGTTTTTGTAAATACTTCTTTGTTAGGAATAATTAGCGTAGAGCGGAAGTGAGTGGTCGCCTATATAAAGAGGCAGACGGGGTTGTTTTTCATTTTTTTTTTGGCTGAATGAAGGACAATTATGCAAAGGGCGGAATAGCATGGGGTCCAAGACGGGTCCAGGGTTGAAAAGTCGCGAAGCGGCTTTTCAACCCTGGTTCTTCATGAAATAGTTAATAAAGCCTTGCTCCGGGAGAGCAGAGATTTTTTAGGAAAAGGCACGCCAGCCGAGATTATGTAGGAAAGAGCGGTCTGGCAGAGATGCTCTAGCAAAGATGCGGTCAGCTAATTCTGAACTTTTAGGACTCTCAAACTGTGAAGGACTGGCTTTCGAGTGGACTTCCGGCAATATCTATTACACCGATCAAGTAAGTGATCTAGAAAGTATTTTAGTTTACAATTTTGAAGGGACTTCGACAAATCGGCGTATTTTCCACGCGAGACCCAAAGCTGAGAAAGGTGCTCTTCAGCGACGGACTTCGAAATCCAAGATCGATCGCGGTGCATCCGATGAAAGGGTAGGTCGTAATTGATCTCTCTCTCTCTCTCTCTCTCTCTCTCCCTCTCATCCCTTCCACCCCTCTTCCAGATACCTCTTCTTCTCGGACTGGTCGGAGAACCCAGAAAGCAAGGCGAAGATCGAGCGCGCGAAGCTGGACGGCAGCCAAAGAAAGGAGTTGATCATCTCCAGGTAAGTTCTTTTTACGCAGACTAGAGGGAACCTTTAGAATACAATGGCCGAACGGGTTGGCCATCGATTATGAGAACGATTTCCTGTATTGGTGTGACGCCTTCTTCGCACATATTGAGCGCGTTAGGCCGAATGGGTCGGATCGACAGGTTGGTGGAGGAACAGAGAGCGAGATAGCGAGAGAGAGCGAGATAGCGATCGAGAGAGGGAGAACGGGAGAGATAGAGAGAGCGAGAGAGTGAGTGAGAGGGAGAGCGAGAAAGGGTGAAACCATGTCTTTCAGCTCATCGTCTCCTCCAGCTGGGCCAATCATCCATATGGCATTTCCGTCTTTAACGGCTTCATCTTTTGGTCAGACTTCAAGGTGGCCACGCTTTCCATTCGAGTCCAGCCTTCCTTTGCTATTTACCTAAACCCAGGGCAAGTTAGCATGGCTCATTTACAGGAGGGCGTCATCCGGCGGGCTCGCCTGTCCAACGACCCGAAAAATGCGACCGACGTCGTGACGGTGTACGACGAGACATCGCCCATTTTTGAACTGCAGATCTACGATCAAGGGCTGCAAAAGCGTAAGTCTTGCTCAGAAATATGCCGGGAACTCGGCCGGTGGGGGTCATTGGGAACAAAGATCATCCCAGATGCGCACAGCATTCGGCAACTAGGGATGGTGTTTGCTCCCAATGTCAGCCCCATCGGGGGGGAGGGGGGTACGGTAGGACGGGCATACGGTACCTCAACGTCAGTAGGGAAGGTTGAGGCTGCCTCTCCAATGGATTTTGGGTGAATCTAGCAGTGCGGCTCAACGTGACGAGTCAAACCGCGTACCCTACCGTACCCCGTGTCACGAGGCAGTGTACGGGGCTTTGACTCGCCAAATCGGCGTTTGGGGGGGAGGCAGTGAAGCCAAGACCAAAGCCTTAAGTCTAAGCCCAAGCCTAAGCCTAAGCATGAATACTGTCACCAGACGCGATCCGCCTTCAGAAGAACAGGCGCTGATCTCGTCATCACTAATTTGAGAGGAGCTCAAGCGCATGCCCTCCCGAAGGGGCGCATTATAGTGATATGGTTCTTAAACCCGCTATTATTGCCCCGAATCGAGTGGACCGTTGAGCACCGAAAGCTTCAGGAGGCTCGGCCTCCGCTTTCGGTGCGGCAACTGCGCACTCGAGCCACCGGCTAACGGGGGAGCTTCATTTTTAGAGGGAGCACGAAAGGGCTTTGCATAAAACCGGTGACACTTAGGCTTAGGTTAACGCTACGATGAACCCGAAGCAAAGCAAAGAACGATTTTGAAATCGAATTTTGAATTTGAATTTTTAAAATTAATAATGCAAAAAACGACAACAACCGAGCTCTTAAATGCGTAGAACCTTAAAAACTAGTATAAAGCGTTAAAATTCGCTCCCGTAGATAAATTTCTGGCTGGAATTTGTAGGAAACGGTAGTGCCGGGAGTAGAGAGTTGTGTTGAGGAATTTTCTGAGGTCCATCACCGCTCGCCCGGCTTTTACCCCGTCGAAATGGGGGCGGAGTCGGTGTGGAGAGCCGACTCCTCGACCAATCAGCGCACGGGTGGTGGCAGGGATGTCAAAGTCTGTGCGGAGGGAGCATGAGCAGATTGAGGAGCAGAGAAGCGCTGAAAATTCTGGAGTTTTTTTGCGTCTTCCGTAACTCATTCGGATTTGGTCGCTGATAGAGAGAGGGAGTGTGAGAGAGAGAGAGAGAGAGAGAGAGAGAGAGAGAGAGAGAGAGAGAGAGAGAGAGCGACAAAGGGAGAGGGAGATAAAGAGAAATTTGATGATATATTTTAACAGCAACGAAATTACGGTACCTGGTTCCCTAATTAAAGGAATCAGGACGGCCCGTGTCGATCAGGGCTCATCGATAATTGGCAGATAGATAGCCAACCTGTTAGAGACGGGTGAAAGAGCGCGCCTATATGAGAGAGAGAGCAGATGAGTCCGCCGATTTCTGCAAATTTAGACAGTTTTATGGACAGCCCTGATCCCTTTAGAGCTCCAAAACAGTAGGCTGGCGGGTTGGCAAAGGTCCTTGAGGAAACGCTCCTAACATAGCTTCTCTGCCAAGACAAATTTCGACCCGACCCCCCGATGTTTACAGTCCGATGGGGTGCAAACCCAAAACTTTTTAGGGCGATATCAGCGGCTGTGATCTGGTGTACTACAGTTTGCGGACATCGCAATGGGCCTTTGTCTCGCCCCCAAAAGCCCCGAAAAAGCCGTTCCGAAACCGGGGGACCTCGGAGGGGGTCATTACTGTAATGGGCATTGTGGGGAGGGACAGTTTGTTGGCGGGGTCTTTCGTCTTGCACTCAAGGGTCTAACGGTTAGATAGATGCAAGCCTTCGGTTAAGCTTTAGGTGTTTTGCTTGGGCTTAGGCTTAGGCATAAGTTCTGGCTTAGGCTTAGGCTTTGTTTAGGAGTACTAGGGAAGTCTTTCAACTTGGCATCGAATTTAATAACGTCAGATATGTCATTCGGCGTGCCTTACCGAGTTGATTACGAATTTGTAAAAAAATTAACGCGAACTCTATAGGGGGAAAAGTTATGCGGCTTCAAAGGCTTTGTTTAAGCTTAGGCTTCGGCTCAGTCTTGAGCCTAGCGATTGACGACATCAACATTTTCAGAAACATCAGCCTGCTCGAAGGACAATGGAGGCTGCGAGCAGCTTTGCTTCCCGATGGGGTAAGCTTGATTTCTAGCTGTTATCGCATAATATTTAACTGTCCAGTCCATGTGAACACCGCCACTATACGAATTTTTTGATTCCAGAAACGAGGAATCATTGTTATTACGTGTCCTCTTGAGTGTGGACCCTGACCCCCTCAGGGTCTCGTCACCCTCATCTATTATTCCAGAACCAAAAAAAAACAGTGCGGGCACAGAAGCCCTTCCAATTGGCGTAAACAGACGATGAATCAGCGTGCCGCGCCTGGGCCCATCTTGATAATGTTTTGCCTATTGCAGCTGCAAGGGGACCGTCGGATGCGAGCCGGGAAAGTGTGGATGTGTGGACGGGTGGAAGACGGATCCGGGAAATCGTAAGAAATGTATTGGTAAGTTGACAAATGATAATTACTTTCGCGGAATAATCACTTATCTCTTGTCATTTCCTAGCCCAGTAATCTCTGCTAGCTTTCACCCGTGCTCCTTGGCGTCATTCCCAAGATTGATACCCCCCCAACCTTGCTAGTGAGCGCTGACTCATTATGCAACCACCAACGTTGGACCGGGGGCGTACCGTATCAATTCTATCAATTATTCAGAGTTTCCCATTCAACTTCTATTTCTAGGATCCCTCAGACTAGCAGAGAACCTTCAGGAAAGCGCGGGCTAGCAGAGATTCATTAGGACAAATATATATATTGATACCACATTAATGAAATCCAGCAAGCCCGGCGACTACCATTTGGCCGGCCATGAGGGGGGAATCCGCTTGAGGGAAAGGGCTCCCGGAGCGCCTCCTCCCACAGTGGCCGGATGGTCTAGGGGTATGATTCTCGCTTCGGGTGCGAGAGGTCCCGGGTTCGAATCCCGGTTCGGCCCAGGCTTTTTGCTTTTTGGAGGATAGTTATGGGGTTGGAAGATAATCAGGTGCAAGAGAGAGAGAGAGATTTCTCTTTTTGTTTAGCCGATCCCGACTTCAAGCCGAAGCCCTTCTGCAGCGAGGCCCTATTCAAATGCGCGCGGCAGCAGAAATGCATCGACAAATCACGAGTCTGCGATGGGGAAGATGACTGTGGGGATGGTAGCGATGAAGACCCAGCGACGACGTGCAGTGAGTTTTTTGGTGGTCAAAACGGAATGGGTTCCTGTCTTTACAGCTCCTTTAAACCCTAGCGTTCCCACCATTGTAACTTCCCAAGACCCAGTCAAATTCAGAGGACTTCAAATGCCTTGACGGCAGGGATTTCAAATGCGACGGCACGCTGTGCATCGACCAGAAATGGGTGTGCGACGGTCGTGTAGATTGCGGCGATCGCTCGGACGAAGATCCGACGAGGTGTAAATGTGTGTATCGTCTTGGAACTTTGGGAAAACTACAACCAAATGCTTTCAGACAAGAAAATCGACTGTCCCACGAATCACTTCTCATGCTCCACGTCGCAGCGCTGCATCCCGCAATCATGGGTCTGCGACGGGCAGTATGATTGTGGAAATGGTGATACCTCGGATGAGAACAGCACGGAGTGTATGGATGGTCAGTCTATAAGACTACGAATAAGCCTTAGCCTAAGCCTAAGTTTAAAATAAAGGCTAAAGTCTAAGCCTATTTTCAGCACGAAAAGCCGGCACGAACATCTGCAAGGCTTCGCAATTCAAATGCAACAACGGCAAATGTCTCTCAATGCGATATGTTTGTGATGGGGTAGCGGATTGTCGTGACGGCAGCGATGAGATGAACTGTGAACAGGTGTGCAGTGGATGGATTGGGTACCATTTAGCATACGCCTAAGCCTAAGCCTAGCCTAGGCCCTATTCAATGGCATGTTTAGGAGTGCGTCCCCGGTCATCAATTCCAATGTGGCCCCGGCCAACCATGCTTGTCGGCCAGCTTCCGGTGCGATGGCTTCAGCGATTGCCCGGATGGTAGCGACGAGCAGAACAGCATCTGTCGTAAGTGTCCAGGGCATTCTCCAATTTCCGAAGAGCCGACTTGCCGAGAGCTTTTGGAAAAGCAGCTACCGTAGCAAGTATTTTTGTGTTTTGCCCTTGCAGATATTTTTTAAAGCTGCCATTTCTCGAGTTTTAGCATCGCTTGTCCTCTTCGATAATCGCGATGGCTGCCCAACAAACCTATTTACGTGCTCGCGCACCGAATGCATTCGGCCGCACTTGGTGTGCGACGGAAAACAGGACTGTCAGAATGGGAAGGACGAGGATGGATGCGGTAAGTCAAGCATCGACCTAAACATAGGCTTAGACGTAGGTCTAAGCCTAAGCTGTCCTTTAGCCTGCATTTATTAAGTTTTTCAGGCCTGATATGCGACAAAGAAACGGAGTGGACGTGTGTCGATAAGACGCGCTGCATACCAAACGTGTTTTTATGTGACGGACATTTCGATTGCGTTGACAAGAGCGATGAAGCACATTGTGGTCAGTTGACGGGCGCGCTAGCAGAGATCATTTGCGAAGCCGCGCGCAAACAAGCAGAGCAGAGAAGCAGAAAGGTGAATTTTCAAATTGGAATCAATTTCAGCCATCTCATCCAAGTCGAACCCACAGCGCTGCTTGGAACCGAATTTCCTCTGCAAGAACGACACCGCCTTCACCTGTTTGCCACCGGAACGGGTCTGCGACCTGAACCCCGACTGCCCAAATGGGGATGACGAGGGATTGCTTTGTGGAGAGAGGTCTGAAGCCATCGAGAACCCATTGGCAAAAACACAACAAGAAGGATAAACAAGCAAACATAAAACAATTTGATAATAACGGTACTGGTTAGTTAGCGGGGGAGGGCATTTTTTTGTCAATAGCCTCGCTTATCTTAAACTATATTATGTTGAGTTGTTGGTAAAACTCTCGAGTATATTTCTTTGATGCTCTATCGAATAGCGTTACCAAATGTCGAAAAATATCGACAAGCCCGAAAAATAGCTTACCAGCTTTTGCATTTGCTAGAATTTTTTAAATTATTGTTTTGATCTAGCATTAAAATCCTTTGTATATTTTTTGATGATCTACCGTGTCGCGATGATGTAGTCCCCAAAAATGATGAAATATTGGAAATCTACGCCATTAATCTGCCTCTTCCCCGCTAACGAACCAGCCATAATAACTCTTTCAGGATGTGTCTGCGCGGGTTCTTGTGCGAGCAAAAATGCTTCGACCGCCCGACCGGATACACGTGCTCTTGTGACGACGGATTTGCCCTGGATTCGGATGGGAAGACCTGTACAAGTAAGTGAACCAGATCTGGGATATGTAGATTTCGGCTTAGGATCTGACCCGTGCGCCTTTGGATCATGTTCTCAACTCTGCAAAGCACAGGGTAGTCGCCCGTATTGTTATTGTGCGAACGGGTATGAGATGAAAAGTGATCGGTAAGTTGTTGCTTTAGACAACGGCTGACTAGCAGAGGTTCCTTAGGGGGCCGATTGGCTTCAGAACTCTTTAATACCCCATTTTTTAGCTTCACCTGCAAAGCCTCAGACGCTTCCCCGCAACCGTTCCTGCTTTACACGAATCGGCATGAGATCCGAATGCTGCTCTCTGGAACCTCAGCCTCTGTACCATTGATGTCATCAATGCGCAATGCCATTGCTATCGATTACTACTACACGGACGATGATAATATCACGTTATTCTGGACGGACATCGCCATGGATTATATCTATTCTGGGGATTTAATCAATAAAGGTGAGTGAGATTAGAGAAAGAGAGAGAGAGAGACAGACGAAGAGAGAGAGAGCTAGAGAGGAATAGGGAGACAGAGGAAGTGAGAGAGAGAGGCAGAGAGAGAGAAAGGAAGAGAGAGGAAGAGAGAGAGAGCTAATTCGTTAAAAATTCAAATTTTTTAGTGCTGCTCAACGCGCGCCCTATCGTAAAATACGGAGTGTGGACGGCTGAAGGACTCGCGGCCGACTGGCTCGGGAAGAACATCTACTGGGTCGACAGCTTCTTGGACCAGATCGAGGTAGGTTATTCGGCTTCTTAAACAATTTTTCCAGTTCTGCCCTTTCCTAAAGAAGCTCTTTCTATCTATCTCCCTCACTAGCCCTCTCGTCTCTCTCGTCTCTCTCACCCAAGCATCTTTTCCCGGTATTTCCAGATGGCCTCCTTTGACGGGAGCATGCGAACCACCGTGCTTCGGGGCGATATGTACAACTTGCGGGCCCTCGCCCTCGATCCGAAGAAGGGGCTCATGTTCTGGACTGATTGGGAGGAATCCCGGCCTCGAATCGAGCGCGCAACGATGGCAGGCAACCAGCGGAAAGTCATCTTTTCGGTGGGTAAAGTTTCGGCTTATGCCTGGGCTTAGGTTAGGCTTAGATCACGCTTGGACTTATGCTTAGGTTTAGGTGGCGACTTAAGCCTAGGCTTAAACCTTGCCTTAGGCTTAGTCTAGGCTAGGCCTTGGCTTGGCTTAGGCTTAGGCTTTAGCATCCCCAACCAACATCCTCTATCCTTTCAGGTAAAAGACGTCAAAAACGGCGGCTGGCCGAACGGAATTACGGTAGACCCGATCGTGGAGCGTCTTTATTGGCTTGACGCCAAATCCGACAGCATCCACACGATCGACTATGATGGGAAAGGCCACGTCGAGGTGCTGAGGGATAGCATCCATCTCGCACATCCCTTTTCGATCTCCCTGTTCGAGGGGGATGTCTATTGGACGGATTGGCGGATTATGGCCATCGTTAGGGCCAACAAATGGAACGGGACCCGGGTCCAGATCATCGAGTCGACATTCTCGCAGCCGTTTGATTTGAAGATTGTGCATCGATTGAGACAACCGAGGTATGGAATGCTAGTAGAGATTCTTTCGTAAGGGGATGCTAGCAAATATTTCTTAGAACTTGACTAGCTATCACGCTTTCAATCGGAAAGGCCCAATTTGTTCAAAAAATGTCAAGCATAAAAAAAGATTTATTGCAGAAGCGAACGCAGCAACCCGTGCGCTTCCGGAAATGGCTGTTCCCACCTATGCCTACTTGACGGTATTCGTGGCCGTAAATGCGCATGCCCGCATTTGATGCGGCTCGACAAGGACAATCAGACATGTCTTGCTGTAGAGCGGACACTGTTCTTCTCGTCGAACAGCTCGGTTTGGGCCCTCGACTTGGCCCCGCCCAACAATCCAGTCTTCCCCATCATTGGGATGAGGGGCCATGAACGTGAGTTTCTGGGAGATAGAGAGAGAGTTCTGTAGAGAGAGAGAGCGAGAGAGAGAGAGAGAGAGAGAGAGAGAGAGAGAGAAGGAGAGTAAGAGACAGATCGAGAGAAATCGAGAGGGCGGGTGAGGGAGATACAGAACGAGACCGGGGTGAAAATTTCGATCTGTGTCCGCCTACAGTCATGTATAAAAACTAGTGGTTAAAGGATCCCTCGCCCCTTCAAAACGCATTTAAAATGATCTTTTAGCTATTCGATGCCTTACCAGCAACAACCACTCGATCTTCTACGTCGACACCCGAAGAAAGTCGGTTTCACGGGTCTCGTTGACCTCGAACGATGGGGAACAGCCCGTGTGGACCGGCGGCGAAGTGGAGAACATCATCTGGGTGACACACCACCCGAGTTTGCCCCTCCTCTTCTACGTGACGAACAAGACCGATGGGACGCATATCATCTCCGTCACCGACTCGTTTGGAAATTTTAGGTGGGAATGACATTTTAAAGGGCCTAGCAAGCGTCAAAATCGATCGTTGAAGTCACTAAGTGTCGGCAACTACAGATCATAGGGACCCAGATCAACTTTTCACGCTTCACTTTTCAGGCGAGTACTGGCGACGAGCCGTGAGCAGCCGGTAATGAAAAACGCGTTCAGCCTGACGGTCGTCTCCGACAAGGAGGCCGAACTGTTGATGCTCGAGACACCGGAAGGGAACTGGGCCCTAGACCTTAAAGCCGAGGTGTTGCGGAAGAAGTGGCCAGACTCGGAGGAGAGCCAGCGGAACCATTGTGGGAATCTGACGCTGGAGGATTGCATCCGGAGGGCCGGATGGGCAAAGTGAGTACGAGGGAAAATTATGACAGGCTTACGCCTACGCTTACTTAGATTTGACTTGGACTTAGGCTTCAGTCAGGTTTAGGCTTAGGCATAGGCTTAGGCTTGGACTTCGGCTTAGGCTTGGGTTAGGCGTTAGGCTTGGACTTGGGCTTAAGCTTAGGTTTGGGCTTGGAATTTTGCCCTAATACCACCGATTATGAAATTTGCAAAATTTCCTGAGAATTCGTAATTCGATGCTCTTTAGACTTTGGAAGAGGACCGATTAACTGAACTGAAACTAACAACCCTATGCAAAATTTGCGGTTTCGCAACTCATAAAATAATCCTTTGCTCAATACTTATTTTAGGTTCGATTGGCGTGCGCTTCGCGTGTTCGAAGTGGAGAACGGGACACTGGTCGCCTACAAGGGCTACGGTAATTACCGTATCCCCGACACCTCTGTCGCCCCAATACCTATGCCAATCAACGGGCCAATCGATGGGCTAATGGTGCACTACCAGATCCAGAACGACTACGATCGCCTCAATATCGACGGCTGCAAAAAGGCGGCTTGCGCCCATCACTGTATCCCCATCTACAAGGAGAAGAAGGTGGTCACCTATCAGTGCGTCTGCTCAAACGGATACAGAGAAGAGGGACCGAACTGCTTGCCGCAGTTGAACATGCTCGTCTACATCACCGACAACTATCAAGTACGGACGATGTCTATCGACGATCCAACGTCCCCCCTCGATCCAATCCTCCTGAATCCCACCGTGACCGCAAAGAAAATCCATAACCTAGCCATCGACGCCGTACGCGACGTCATCTACCTGTACGCCGGGGAGAAGAATGAATTATGGAGGATCGATAGACAAACATCAACCTACAAGCTCTTAATCGGCCCCGGCGCCCAGCGGATCACCTCCCTGGATGTAGATGAGGTTTCCGGCCTTCTGTTTGCCGGATTCCGATTGACGGCAAATTCGGGGTTGATCCAAGTCGTCAACCCGGTGAACGGGACGACGCTGGCAATTCTGAAAGACGAGGAAAGGGCTCCGGCAAATGTGAAGGTCGACGCGGAGGCCGGGTACGTCTTCTGGAGCTCGAACGGCACCGTGAAGAGGGCCAACCTTGACGGCACGGAGATGGCCATCATCCGCCGGAAGCCTGTGGAAGCATTTGCCGTCGATGGAAAACGCTTGTACTTTGTCACCTCAGAAAAGTCAGCCATCGACTCGATCGATTACGACGGGAGGGAAGAGGAGAAAAGTGTGCACTCGTACTTGCCGCAGACGTCGGCCATCCGAATAGCTTTCGACACGAGAGCTGGGAAGACTGTCTTCTACGAACGTGGACGCACCAACGGCAGCTTTGTCATCGGTGAGGGGGCCTCTGAGCAGCGAATCTATCTTGGGAAACCAAGGCTGTTGGAAGTGAGGGTCTTCGCCAAGTCGGAGGTGGTGAAGAAGAATGGATGTGCGGCAGCCGGATGTGAACATCTTTGTCTATGGGCTAGAAAGCCGGTGTGTGCATGTTGGAGCGGAAAGGTTGAGGTGGAAACTGGACGGTGTGTAGGTGGGTGATTGGTTGTTCAAGCTGGCATCATGATGTCGGTCTTTCGGCAGCAATACACTTTTTTGCAGACCACGACGCCTTCCTGGTGTTCTCGCGCGCCCGGTCGCTGAACTTCCTGCAGATCCAGGACTCGAAGTGGACAATTAACCACCCGAAATTTGCACATCCCCCTCTCGCCGAGCCGTCGTTGATCAGAAACGCGGCGTCGGTTGCGGTGGACGTGGATCGGGACCGAATTTTCTATTCTGATTTGGTATTGAGACGGATTATGGTCTCGGCTGTTGATGGGAGCGACGCGTATCCGATTGTTGAAGGTACGTCTTGTTGCTGAGCCTAGGCCTAAGCCTGGCCTGAGCCTAAGCCCAAACCGAATCCTCTTTCAGGCGTCTCCGGAATCGAGGCCATCTCTCTCGACACCCTCAACCGTTACATCTATTACACCACCTCAACCCCACCGGCCATCTGGCGCGTGCCCGTCTTAGAGGACGACCCCGACAAGACCCCAAAAAGACCCGAGCTCCTCCTCATGCTCTCCGTTAGCGATAAACCGCGCGGGATTGCCGTCCACCCCTGCCGGATGCTGATCTTCTTCACGAATTGGCAGCCGCAGCAGCCGGCCGTCGAGCGCGTCTACTTCAGCGGTTACAAGCGCGAGCGGATCATCACCGAGAATCTGGTCTCGCCCAGTGCGATTGCGGTCGACTTCGCAGCCGACAAGCTGTACTTCACGGAGGCGCAGACCGGGACAATTCAGAGGGCTGATTTCGATGGGACACATCGGGAAACGGTGCTCACAAATTCGAACACGACGGAGCGGAAGAATTCTCATCCTTATGCGCTGGCGATTCTGGACGATACGATCTACTTCAGTGATTGGTTCCAGAGGTCGGTATGGAAATACGCCTACACTCTCTCTCCCTCTTTAGCATTATCTCTTGCGCTCTCTTTTTCTGACGCAATCTCTCGCTTTCCCACGTAGATGTTTCGTTTCAGGGCGATCATCCGTATCAACAAGTTGGACGGCGGGAACCGCAAGATCGTCTACCAGAATATGTCCGACCAACCGATGGGCATGGATGTTTGGAACGTCAAACGAGAGCCGATTTGTAAGTCCATAGAAAAGAGCGAGAAACGGAGAGAGTGATAGATATTAGGAGCAAAAGGGAGAGAGAGAGAGAGAGAGAGAGAGAGAGCGAGAGGGAGAGAGGGAGAGAGAAATGTATGCTGCTTCAATTTGCTATCGTAATGTCGCAATTCGTAATATCGAAATTTGATAATGTTCATAATGTCGAAATTCGTAATTTAGACGGTCGGAATGACAACATTTTTGCATGGGCTTGGGGATTTTCCGGGAAAATTATCTTAAGTAAATTTCGCCATTATGAATTTTGGCATTTTCAAAGTAACCCATCCGTTTCAGGTACCAATGATCCTTGCGACGGCGCCGACCTGAGATGTGGTGATCTTTGCCGGCTTTCCGCCGAGGGTGTCCCCCATTGTGCGTGCAACGGCGAGCGTACCCTCAACGCGGACAACCGCACCTGCTCCGGTGACCTCTACGCCTCAAAGTGTGCTCTCAACGAATTCCTGTGCGCCAAAAGCGAGCGCTGCATCCCGTACGAGGAGACATGCGACGGTGTGCGTGAATGCCCGGATGGTGAAGACGAACAGGTCGACTTCTGCTTCGATCGCACGTGTCGCGATGGCTATTTCTCATGCGGCGATGGACTCTGCGTGGACTTGACGAAAAAGTGCGACGGGAAAAACGATTGCCCGAGCCGGCGTGATGAGATGCAGTGCGAGTGCTCGAGTCGACAGTTCCGATGCGAGACCGGGGAATGTCGTCCGCTGACCGACCGCTGCAACTTTGTCAAAGATTGTCTGGACGCGAGCGACGAGAAGGGGTGTCCGAAATCGAATTGTTCGCTAGAAACGTTTGGGATGGCGAGGCTGATCAACTGCGAGCGGACGACACAGTGTATTCAAGTTGGTTTTCATTCTCTCTTTCTCTTTCTCTCTCTCTCTCACTATCTCTCGCTCGTTCTCTGTATCTCTCTCTCATTCTCGTTCTCTCTCACTCTCTCCTAGGGAAACGCCAAAGCCCCGACATTCAAGATACAAACCATTTATGCGCAAAATGAATGGAAATAGGACATTTTGCGGTCGGGATTATGGCTAGAATTCTTGTCTCCTCTGTCTCTCTCGCTGCTCTCTCGCAATCTAACCTCTTTAGGCTGCTTGGCTGTGTGATGGTAGTGACGATTGTTGGGATGGATGGGATGAAGAAGAGTGCTTTGAACATCTACTCCCCGTCCCGAAGCGACCGACCCCAACTAGCCGCCCGTGCGATGCGTCCGAATTCAAGTGCAAGCTGACCGGGTCGTGCATCAACCGTGGCTGGGTATGCGACGGTCAGACCGACTGCGCGGACGGCAGCGATGAAGCCGACTGCAAGAACGCGAAGACCTGCCCGGGCTTCCAGTGCACTTCCACCAAAAAGTGTCTGACCATCGACCGGAAGTGCGACGGGAAGAAGGACTGCGAGGGCGGGGAAGACGAGGCGGGCTGCGACGACGAGTGCACGGCCGATAGTTTCAACTGCACCAACCACCGCTGCATTCCAATGTCGTGGCGATGCGACGGCACTGACGATTGTCGCGACGGCGGGTCGGGCGCGGGATCCGACGAGAAGAACTGCAAGACGCCGGATACGAGATTTTTTGCTTGTAAGCCGAACGAGTTCCGGTGCGGGAACGGGTCGGACGTGCAGCTGATGCCGGCGATTACGCAATGCATTCCAAAGTCGTATATCTGCGACGGGTTTCCGGACTGTCGCGACGCAACTGACGAACGAGGGTGTAGTAACCGGGATTGCTCGACATGGGAATTCAGGTGGGTGATAGCTGTGCCCCGGTTTAGGCTTAGGCTTGGGCTAAGATTAGGCTCAGGTTTTGGTTTAGGCCTAGGTTTGGGCTTCGGCTTGGGCTTAGGCTTAGGTCGACTTAGGATGCTCAGGCATATGCGTAGACTTAGGCTTACGCTTAGGCTTGGGCTTTGTCTTATGCTTAGGCTTAGGCTTAGGTTAGACTTAGGCTTAGGATTAGGCGTATACTCTCTCTGGCACGAATCTTAAGCCACTTCAGATGCGACAGCGGCCAATGTATCCCCCGTAACTGGACGTGCAACGGCATCTCGGACTGTGCCGATCGGACTGATGAAGCCGATGCTACATGTTTGGGGCCTAGGCGGGGCCAATGTTCGGCTGGACAACACCACTGCGACAATGGGATCTGCATTGATTCGGCCCTGCTGTGCGACAAGAACAATGACTGTGGCGACTGGTCAGACGAGAAGAAATGTGGCGTCAATGAGTGTCTTAGGTTCGTGGTTGAATTGGGGGCTTGCACACGTCAAAAACCCTCTTCAAAATCGGTATTTTCAGAAGTTCCCCATGCCAAGAAGGTTGCCGCGACCTTAAGGTGGGCTACGAGTGCTTCTGCGTACCACCTCGACGACTCTCGATGGAAGACCGCGTATCATGCACCGAGTCCGACCCGTGTGCCCTCGCCAACTGCACCCAGGGCTGCGTCGTCAAGGGCGAGAGACCTCTCTGTCTCTGCGCTTCCGGCTACACGCTAACCCCAGACGGGAAAAGCTGCAAGCACAAGGACGCGGTGAACGCTGAGCTGCTGCTCGTGACACGGCATCGACTCGTACTACTCGACATGAACGGTAATGAGAAGGCAGTGTTGTTGACGAACATCACCAATGGGGTGGCAATCGACTACGACTTCCGGAGCAGTCGCGTCTATTGGAGTGACGTGGCGGCGGGGAAGAAGTTTGGGTTTATGGGCATGTACGCCCAGCCGAAGAGCTACAAACTATTGGCGGGGATCAGCAGTCGGAGTCCGGATGGGTTGGCGATCGATTGGCTGGGGAAGAATTTGTATTGGGCGGATAAAGAGGATGACAGCATCAATGTTGTTGATATGAAGGGAATGTATCGGAGGAGTTTATTAAAGGTCAGTGCTTGAGGACAACGGCTAGCCTTCCTACCTAAAGAATCCCTGCTAGCATGCCCTTTCCTAAGGAATCTCTGCTAGCCTGCCTTTTCCTAAAGAATCTCTGCTAGCCTGCTCTTTGCCTACAGAATGCTTTCCCAAAGCATTTTTGCATCCATGAACTCCGATTTCCAGGGCCGCCCCCTCCAAGAACCACGTGCCATCGTCGTCGACCCAATCGAGGGCATCCTCTTCTGGTCGGACTGGGGAGATCGAGCTCATATCGGCCGGATGGGGATGGACGGCTCGGCACTAAAGATCATTCTGGACACCAGCCTGCGCTGGCCGAACGCGCTGGCGTTAGACGCCCCCGCGAAGCGGCTCTTCTGGGCCGATGGAATGCTCGACTACATTGGATCCTGTGACTATTGGGGAAAGGAGCGTCGCGTCGTGATGACCAAGCCGATTCGACACATCTTTGGGCTGACGCTGTTCGAGGATTTCATCTACTGGACCGATTGGAACAATAGGACCGTTGAGAGGGCGCATAAGCTCACGGGGGAGGAGCACAAGGTTTTGTTGCAGGTGGGCAATTTTTAAGGCCTCAAAAATTCGGGCTTGCCTCAGGTGCAACACCGCCCTATGGGCATCAAGGTCATCCACCCACTTCTGCAGCTCGTCGGCCAAGAAGCCGATAAGCATCCCTGTAAAGATCGCCTGACATGTGACAACCTATGTGTGCCCAAGGGAAAGAGTACGTCTTCGACTTCACGTTACGTATGCTCCAATTTTTAGACGATTACATCTGTCAGTGTGCCGAGGGCTTCAAGGCCGAGGGGACGGCGTGCACGTCGAGTTGTAAGAAGTGGGTCTTTCTCTAAGGACGTTTGGCTGCCTCTTCTGAAAAAGGCATAACAACAACTGGGAATGTATTGCCTAAAGGGCTTTGTGTCTTACCAGGCTTAGACTTGGCTTAGGTTTCAGTTTAGGCTGAGGCTTAGGCTTAAGCCTAGGCTTCGCTTAGGTACGGAAAAATATCTTCTTCCATGTTCGAAGCTTTAGAAGCGACTTCGTCTGCCACAACGCCTACAAGTGTCTGCCATTCTGGTGGAGATGTGATGGTCAGGATGACTGCGGGGATGGCGAAGACGAACTGTACCACATCAGCGGAGCGTGTCCGGAATTCAGATGCGAGCCGGGGCAGATGCAGTGCAGCCAGCCGCGGATCATCTACCCGCGTGGGGACACGACACCGGCTACAGGTACGTTGCGTAGTTTAGGCTTAGGCTCAGGCTTGGGCTTGGGCTTAGGCTTAGGGTTTAGGTCTAGGATTCTTCAGAGTTAGCTGAATGATCCATTTTTCAGTGGCGCTGAACGCTACGTGCCTGTACTCCTCACAAATATGTGATGGTACGAATGATTGCCCGCTCGGAGATGATGAGTCACCAGAGCTTTGTTCCGCATACGAATGTCACGAGTCGCAATTCAAATGTCCGAACGGCACGAAATGCCTCCCAGTGACAGCTGTATGTGATGGACATGATGACTGCGGGGATGGAAGTGATGAGAAGGATTGTGGTAAGGGCTTAGGAACTAGATCCTTTAGGACAAGGCAAGCTAGCAGTGATTTTTTGAGATTTGAGATTTAGAAGAAAGCTTCTAGAAATTTAATCAATCCAATTTTCAGAAAAACTCCTCTCCAATTGTGGCACCCAGCACTTTGCCTGCACCAATGGCAAGAGCGGCCAGGTGGAGCGGTGCATCTCCAGATCCTGGATCTGCGACGGGGAGAAAGACTGCCCGAACGGCGAGGACGAGCCTCCGACCTGCAACACACGACAGTGCGAGGCAGCTCAATTTCGGTGCTCCAGCGGAAAGTGCATCCCGAAGACCTGGAGGTATATCTGCTTAGGCTTTGGGTTACGCAGGCTTCGGCTTATTATAGGCTTAGGATTGGGCTTCGGCTTAGGCTTAGGCTTGGGGCGTAGGCTTAGGCTTAGGGTTAGGATTAGGGTTAGGCTTACGCAGGCGTGGGGCTTAGGGCTTAGGCTTAGGCTTATGCTTAGGGCTTTTTTTCTGCGGCCGATTAATCTTTTATGTTTGAGATGTGACGGCCAGAATGACTGCCTCGATGCCAGCGACGAGAAGGGCTGCGACGAGAGGAAGCCGGGAAAATGCAACCCAAGCCAATTCCAGTGCGTCGGAAGCGAGAAGTGCATCGCACAAAAGTGGGTCCAGGGTTTCTCACTAAAAATTTTGTTAGTTGGGTTTGCGACGGGGAGCAAGACTGTCTGGATGGGTCGGATGAGACGGATTGCGAAACCGAGACACTGCCCGACTGCGACCTGGGAAACTTCAAGTGTCTGGTAGGCTTGATTACGAAGTTTAACAGCTTTTAAGGCTAGCAGAGATTCTTTCGGAAAGGGTAGGGTAGCGGAGACATCTTGGGAAAGCGCAGGCTAACAGAGGTTCCTTAGCATAACTCCCCAAACTTGCGATTCAGGACGGTCGCAAATGCATCCTAGCACGCGAGAAATGCGACGGCAAGCTAGACTGCGACGACTCGAGCGATGAGCTGGAGTGCCCGGGTAAATTCAGCAACATAAGATTTCCAACCTAAGAATTTGCAGCCTGCACCAACGGCACATTCCACTGCACGTACCCCTCGTCAAAGTGTATCGCGCCGGAGAAGTTCTGCGACGGCATCATCGATTGTCCCGACTTCAGCGATGAGAGCTATTGCCATTGTGATGATAATAAGGTGGCAAAGAATCTCTGCTGGCTTGCCCCACGCCAATACATCTGGATCAAAAATCTTGAGTTCTGGACTGTTAGCGGGGGAGGGGTTTAGCGGGGGGAAACGACGTTCTGTTTTTCCACCTAACTTAAATGTTGAGGATATATTATTGTGTGATTTTAGGAGTTTTTGATTGCTAGAAAGTTATAAAAAAAATTTTAAATCTTGCAATTCGCAAATTTTGACCCTTTTTGGTCATTTTTCATACATTTTTGGCCAAAAGTCAAGAAATTTCGAATATTTTTATTATTTTTTATATCATTTTGTATCCCAAAACCTTCTAAAATTCGATAAAAATGGATTGTAGTTTGTTATGGGTTCGTAGATAATCACAGGGAAATGTCTGGTCCCCCCCTCGCTAACAATCCAGGAATGAATTTCGGACTTCCGAATTGCCTCAAATATTTCTATTTTTCAGGACGCAAAAGTCGGGGAGGAGCCAAAGTGGCTGCGCTGTTTCGAGGACGACAAATCCCCGACGGAGGCCAAGATTTGCATAGCCGGCGATCGATTCTGTGATGGGGTTCCGGATTGCCCGAATGGACACGACGAAGACCCGAAGACTTGCGAGCGTCACACTTGCCCCTCCGGGTATTTGAGATGTCGAAACGGGAGCCAATGCTATCCGCAGAGTGGCCATTGTGATGAGATTCCGGATTGTCCGGATGGAAGTGATGAAGATCCACACTTTTGTGACTCGAAATGCGCGGGGAGGATGAGATGCGCAAACGGGCGGTGCATACCTTATTATCGGTTATGTGATGGGAATGACGATTGTGGCGATGGAAGTGATGAGCGGCATTGTGGTGAGTGGAGAGAGATAGCGGTGAGGGAAAGAGAGCGAGAAAGGGAAAGAGCGAGAGAGATAGAGAGAGCGCGAAAGAGAGAAAGGGAGAGAGCGAGAGAGAGAGAGCAAGAAAGGGAGAGAAAGAGAGAGCCACTTCATTCTATTAGAATATTAAAATAGCGACATTTTGAAAACGAATCAGGTAGAAGACGTGATTTAGGTTCCGGGCAGATCAATCTTCCTCCTTACAGGCAACTCACCGTGCGAACGTTTCGGCACCTGCTCCCAGTTGTGCGTCGAAGAAAAAGCGGAACTCGGCCATCGCTGCGCCTGTGCCCCCGGCTACACGATGAGCTCGGCCAGTCTGGGGCGTTGTAAAGCCGACGGCAAACGAAAAGCCGAAGTGTATTTCATGGACGGGAACGCGCTGCGGCGCGTCGAGCATACCGAAAGCCTAACACGCATCCACAGCGAGCTGTTGCGCATCGGGCGCCGGTACCCGGTTTCCGATTTTGATGTCGTTTTCTTGGATGCTGATGCCCCGCCCGTTTATGTGTGGATTGACGTGTTTGCCGGGCAGGTGAGGATCAAGATACGTAAGCCTACGCATCAGCATAAAACTTAAGCCTAAGCCTCGGCCGAAGCGTAACCTAAGCCTAAACCTGAGCTTAATCCTAAGTCTCACCTAAGCCTAAGCCTAAACTAAGCCTATTGATGGCCGATTTCCATGGTCGATCCGTGTTAGACTAAGACTAAGCCTAAGCCTAAGTAAGTCTACGCCTAACACGAAGCCTCAGCCTACGTCTGAGCCTAAACCTCAGCCAAGCCTGGACGTGAGCCCCTTCTATACAGGGTGTCCCAAAAAAAACGACCCATCCGGCGTTTCGCCGTGTCACATCGAATCGGTCCCAAATTAGGACCAAAGGTGTATCAAACCCTAAATAACCCCAATCCTGACTTTTAGCGGCGTAGCTACAATAGTTCTCGAGTTATATCGAAAAAACTGTTTTTCCCGGAATTCTGAACAGTTTTTTTCGGCTATCTTTTTGGGCTTTGCATCGATTTGCATCGACTTCCGGCTGTGAATCCCTAATTTCGCTTAAGAACCTGGGTAATTTTGCGTTGTAAAAATCGCTTAAATCAAAGCTTATTTAATTAATTTTACTCTGGAAAAAATTTTTTAAGGTAAAGAAGGCCTACCGGATCATTTTCACTTAATGTTTAGGGGGTCTAATTCCACGAAAACCCTATGAAAAATGGAAAATAAAGTTTGTTTTTGCCATAACTTGAGAACTACTATAGCTACAAAGCTATAAGTCAGGATTGTTGTTATTTGGGGTATGATACACCTCTGGTCCAAATTTGAGGCCGGTTGGATGTAACACGGCGAAATGCCAGATGGGTCGTTTTTTTTGGGACACCCTGTACACTCAGTGACCACTCAACATTTTCAGGTGAAGCACGGCCAGTTCGACGACTTCATCGCCGCCGAAGCGAAACGTGGGCGTCGCGACCTGGCGGAAGAGTCCGACCAGCTAATGCCGCTCGTCGATCTCCCGAAAGCCCGAGGGCTCGATGCCTTCCACCAAGAGGCCCCTTCACTTGCCGTCGACTACATCCACCGTAACGTCTACGTCGCCCACATGGCCATCACGTTCACCGACGCGAAGAGCCTGATCTCCATCGCCCCACTCAGCGAGCCGAATCGATTGATTCCGGTCGTCGAATACCATCTGGAAAGCGTGACGTCGTTGGCCGTAAATCCGGTGGCAAAGTGCGATTTTGGGATTGTATCAACAATTGCTCTTAATGCAGCGTTTATAGCTACCTTTTCGGCAAAGGGGCACTCTAGCAATGATCCTTGAGGAACGGGGCTTCTTACCTCTAGACATTTTAGGAAGCTTTGCTGGACCGTCCTTCGCCCCTACCCTGCAATCGAGTGCTCAGACTTGGGCGGAGGGCAGAGGAACACCTTGATTCTCGATGACCTGTACGCGCCCGACTCGCTGGTGTTTGACGTGCCCAACGACCGACTCTATTGGACTGACTTTAAAAAGTCAACGATCGAGACGATTCGAATTGGTGTGCTTTGTATCGATATCGCTCTCTCTCTCTCCCTCTCTCTCTCTCTCTCTCTCTCTCTCTCTCTCTCTCTCTCTCTCTCAATAACACCGGCTAAAAAAAAAAAAAAAAAAAAAAAAAAAAAAAAAAAAAAAAAAAAAAAAAAAAAAAAAAAAAAAAAATTCATTACAGATGGAAAAGACCGTCGCGTACTGGAAAAATACCCGCACGGCCACGACCGTCCCTACAAACTCGACGTCTTCGAGGACTACATCTACGTCTACGGTCGGCCCCTCGGCACCTTCTGGCGCACCGCCAAGTTCATCAAGGACGACAGTCTCTTCCACTACAAGACCAACAAGCACGACATTGGCCTCGCGAAAGTACGCATCGTACACCCCGCAAAATCGTCTGGTGGGTGTTGATGCTTATAACTGGGCCCGGGTGGTCAAGACTTGCTAATAACAAAAAAATAAGGGGATTACGGTAGTTAATTGTTGGTTAAATTATCTGGGCCAAAAACTCAAGGCGAAAACGAGAAGGAAAGAGCCGTCGCCTGATTTAGCAAAACCCGGCGAAACGCATGCGTGTAGTTCGGAGCCTTGTGGACACTTTGCCTGTATTCCGTTGGAACAATCGGTGAATGGTACCGGAAAGGAGAGGTGGGCTGCTTTGATACTCTCGCTCCCTTCTCTCTCTCTATCACTCGTTATCTCTCTATCACTCTTTTTTTCTCTAACACTCTTTTTTTTTTTTTTTTTCCCTCCCTCTCTCTCTCTCTCTCTCTTTACTTCTGAACTTACAGTATCTACCGTTGCGTGTGCGGAGCGGGTTCCCATTGGGACGGCGAGAAATGCACGCATCTGAACGTGATGCACGGCAAAGACGCACCGTGCGGCCCGAACATTTGCCACAACGGCGGTGTCTGCATCGACAAGGTGTACGGCCTCTGCGAGTGTCCGGGTGGCATTGGCGGAAATTCGTGTGAATGGGATCCGTGTGAGAATGCGTGTCTCAACGGCGGTGTCTGTCGCTTGGAGCGGAAGAGATCGTTTTCGAGGTTGGTTAGGGTCAGAGGAATTCCGGGGCAATGATTACAAGGAAATCTACAGCAGGGCCAGGACGAAAATCCAAAAGATCCGGAAAGATCTTAGCCAGAATTTTTTGCTAATGAAAACGTACCTTAAAGAATCTCTAATCCGCTCACGACCATACTTGAAAAGTGACGACGCTTTAAAGTGTGAAAAATGCCCAGATCCTACTATATATAAAAAATAGTGTCTGTGCGCGTGTGTGTGTGTGTGTGTCTATGAACTTTTTAGAATTTCCAAGAATTTTAAAAATATCGGTATAACTTTCTAGCACTCAAAAACTACTAAAAATAATATGTCTTGTTAAATTTGACTTATTTGCCTCACGCGCGCTTCGCGTCGTCGAATCCCGGAACGCACACTAACGAACCATGTTTAGCTTCGAACCGACCTGCATATGCCCGTACGACTTTGCCGGGCGGCGCTGCGACCGCTACAAGTGCACCGGCTACTGCCTACACGGCCTCTGCTCCGTTCACAACGAAACCGGACTCCCGAAGTGTCGCTGTGAGGTCGGCTGGAGCGGGCGTACGTGTGATATCAAGGAGACGAACTGTGACCACGATTTCTGCTTCAACGGCGGATCATGTAGAATGGATGGGGATGGATATCCACTTTGCGATTGCCCTAAGGAATATCATGGTCAGTATCATCAAGAATTTTAGGCCAAGACAGGCTAGCAGAGACCCTTGACGAAAGGGCAAGCAAGCTTAGAATCTTTAGGAAAGGGCAGGCTAGCAGAGACTCTTTAGGAATGGGCAGGCTAGCAGTTACTCTTGAGGAAAGGGCAACCTAGCAGAGACTCTTTAGGAAAAACTAAGCAACAAAGACATGTCTTAAGGCCGCCGCTGCGAGAACTGCAACACGTACGCCGGGGAGAACCTGGTGTGCATGAACGAGGGGCGATGCCGAAATCGCGACAAGTGCACGTGTCCGTCCGGCTGGTCTGGTGCGACCTGTGAGGTCGACCTGTGCATCGGTACCGTAGTTTTGGCCACTGAATTCCGGACGTATTCCAGGGTACTGTAAGATGGGCAGCTGGTGCGTACACAACACTACCTCGCCCAACGGGCTGGAGTGCCGGTGCCGAGATGTGGATAAGAGTGAGTCATCAAGCTATGGAGAGAGGATGAGCTGAACTTTGAGAGCAAGTGCTAGCATAGACCATTGAGGAATCGAGGGCAGGCTAGCAGAGAGCATTTAGGAGTCGAAGGGTCATGGCAGAGAATATTTAGGAATCTAAGGGGCATGCTACCGAACTTTTTGTATAAGCTAGAAATGCCTAGTAAGCCAATAGACAGTGTTTGAATAGTGTTTGTGGCATGCATAAGTATATTTAAACTAGAAAAACTATCGAAACACTTTAAAAAAGGTTTAAAAAGTCTCATTTGGCCAAAAATCGGCTCGTTTTTGTTCGAAAAATCGATATCTTTAATATTTTTTAGGAAAAATTTGTAAAGTGGCACGTCTAGGAATGGTCAAAACTAGGAAAAACACCTTTGCAATTTATATTTGCAAAATTATATCTTAAGAAGAAAGTTGGTCCCCCCCCCCGGTAGTGCGAAAGAACCAAAGAAACTCTCGGCAGGCCAGCGGAGACCCTTAGCGTACTCACATTGCCTTGGACTACGGTAGAATATTTTAGTGAACGTTTCCAGACCCAGCCGGTGGCAAATGTTCTCCAATCTGCGCGCAACGACGGAATTGGTGCAAAAACGGAGGGGAATGCGTGGATCTGCCCGACTATTCCTCCTATTGCCAATGTCCACCCAAGTGGGGCGGTCCGCGTTGCGAGGAGCCGCGCGGATGCGACGATTTCTGCGCCCAGTCGAGCCAATGTGTCGATAGGAATGTGACGCACTGGGAGTGCCGGTTCGGAATTTTGGGTTTTGCGATTATCTATAACTGGAATTTCTGGATGGCTATCATAATGTCGAAATTCAGAATCTCGGCTTTTTTGCATAGGGTTCGGGCATGTTCCGGTAAAACTAGCTTAGGTAAATTTCGACATTATGATTTTCGACATTTTGCACGGAAACACGGAATTTCTAGATGTTCGCGCGGCTTCTCGGGGGACCGCTGCGATACGTTTGACGGTTGTTCACCTCCATGCCAGAATGGGGGAACTTGTCGAAGGGATGGAAAATCGAACAATGGCGTCTGTCAATGCCCAAAAGGGCTGGGGACTAACGAGTGAGTTTGCAAAACTTCGTGGAATGTAGTGACTGTTACTGAAGCCGTTCCTAAAAAATCTCGGCTAGCCGGTCCTTTCCGAAAGAACCTCTGCTAGCCTGTCATTTCCTAAGCGATCTCTCATTCTCATTCTCATTATCAGCTGCTCCCTCGTCACGGCCCAGTCGTGCGGCCAACTTGAGTGTGCAAATGGCGGAATCTGCACGTCCAGAGGGCCATCTTGCATCTGTCCCCTCGGCTGGGCGGGGCTCGTATGCAGGTCTGTCCTTCGGATAAGGCCAACAGATTGAGTCTGTCCTCCGGAAAAAATATGCCCTTTAGGACCCCGTCATGCGATGGCCTGTGCGTTAACGGCGGCCAGTGTGTCACGTCTGAGAATCGAGCAATGTGCAGGTAATTATTGGGCCTCTCATTTTCCGTTGTTCTCTCTCTCTCTCTCTCTCTCTCTCTCTCTCGATCTCCCCTCTCGCTCTCCCTCTTCCTACGAGTAATTTACGGTTTTAGATGCTCCGCGAAGTACGTGGGCTCTCGCTGTCAGTACGAGTTGATCCGGCAGCCGGCCGAGGAGACCGACCAGAGTCGTGCGTTTCCATCTAAGATTAAGACTAAGATGAAGACTAAGATGCCTAAGCCTAACTATGTCTAAGCCTAACTCTAAGCCTAAGCATAAGCCCACTCAATCCAAAACTTACAGGTTTCTTGATCGTCTACCTGCCCCTTGCCCTCGTGTTCTGTCTGGCTGGCTTTCTACTGTACATGGTATTCATGCGTAGTGACCGGTGGGACATATCGAAGTAGCAGACTGACGTTCCCCATTTCTAGCTTGCGCCAATTCGCGCAATTCTCGCGGGCCCGCATGGTGGAGGAGGGCGGGGATACGGCGCTCGAGGAATTCCATAACGTAATTGGATACGAATTATCGTGAAAGATGCGTTTTAGAACCCAGTTTTCGATCCTAACGACGCTCCGGACGGCAATGAACAGCGCCGGCTGGTTACTAGAGAAAATGTGGGTTTTGCAATGGCTACTTATGGGATCTCGGGGATGAGATTCTTGAGACACTTAGATGGTTTGAGATAAACTACCAGATATTCGTTGCCTGGTGCTAATCTGCTAGCCTGTCCCTTTCCTAAAGAATCTCGTTTCTGAACAGTTAGCGGGGAGGATTTACCTACATAATGCCGATTCACAGAATGCCGATTTACAGAATGCCGATTCACAGAATACCGATTTACAGAATGCCGATTTACAGAATGCCGATTCTACATAATTTGGGTTTTACATCAAAAATACAGACCGGATCCCCGATAAAAACATTATCCGACTTGGACATGCGAATTTTTACGAATTCTTTTTTTCCGCGTAGGGGTCGGGGATTACGAGGAAATCGCAAGCCTCGCGACAAGTTTTAACGCATGCCTTTTTCGCTGGTCGCCGACGCTTCCAACGTGCTCAGCCGCAGCGACAAAACTCGACGATTCATTATTATTTCTGGTTCTGTTCTATTTCGCGGGGGGAAACTGTGCGGGGGGGAAATGTTCTTCGGTTTGTTATAGCTCTTTTATATTTTGCTATTTTGAGTTGTAATTAAAACTCTTAGTATATTTTTTGACGCTCTATCGAATGACATGAAAGGAATTTTTAAAAAATATCGAAAATGTCGAAAACTAGCTTTCGACTCCACGATCCCATGTGGAAACACCGTATAAACCTTGTTTTTGCTATAACTATTGTATAAAACAATATTTTTAGATGAAATTAAAACTCTTAGTATATTTTTTGATGCTCTATCGAATGACGGGTTCAAAATATCGAAAAACGGGCGAAAATGCCGAAAACTAACATTTCGGCACCAGTTTCAATAGTTTTTTTTGTTTTTGCTATAACCTTTTTATATTACAATATTTTTAGCTAAAACAAAAACTCTTAGTATATTTTTTGATGCTCTATCGAATGGCGTTGCAAAAATCCCGAGAAAATAGCGAAAAGATAGAAGTTTTGGCGAAGCATATTTTCCCCCCCGCACAGTTTCCCCCGCGAAATAGAACAGAACCTTATTTCTTGGTTGAGAATGCCCGGCCTCACGTCGAGAGGAAGGGAAAACTGTTTTATAGAAGAATTTATTTTAGTAACCCATGGGCGGCCGCTTGGTAACGTGGAACTAGGGTTTCGCTGAAAAAAAAAAAATAGTAAAGCTAGGCCTCAGGTCTGGCGGTTTCGCCATGTCCAAGTGGGATAATGTTTTTTTTCTGGGGATCCGGTTTGAATTTTTGGATGTAGAACCCTAATTATGTAAAATCGGCATTCTGTAAATCGGCATTCTGTAAATCGGCATTCTGTAAATCGGCATTTTGTAAATCGGCATTCTGTAAATCGGCATTCTGTAAATCGGCATTTTCTAAAATCGGCATTCTGTAAATCGGCATTTTGTAAAATCGACATTCTGTAAATCGGCATTCTGTAAATCGGCATTCTGTGAATCGGCATTATCAGCCTATACCAGCGGGGAGAACCATTATCTGTTTTTCCACCTATACCTTATTAATAATATATGATGTATTTTTATAATGTTTTGTAGTAGTTCTTGACTGCTAGAAAGTTATAAAAAAATAATTTTTTGAAAAATTTTAAGATTTTTGGTCATTTTTCCAAAATTTTTGACCAAAAATACAAAAATTTTCGCACGTTTTTATTGATTTGAATTTTTTTATACCTAAAAACTATGTAACCTGCAATAGTAATGACTTATATTTTTCTATAGATCCGTAGAGAGTTGCAGGAAAAAAATTTGGCTTACCCTCCGCTAACAGTCCAGAACCAGAATTTCCGCTAGCCCACCCTTTCTCACTTTTTTGGACAACTCATTTCCTCCCTTTCAGTCGGACACGTTCTGCAACCCGGCTTTCGAGGAGGACGTCTACAACGATACGGTAATCCGGGGCGGCCGCGAGCAGGCCCAGCTTATCCCCGGAACCTCGGAACTACGCGCCAACACCTAGGACATTATGCTAATTTTAATTTAAGTTTTTGCGTTTTTTATACTTGATAGAGTCTGGGCCTAACTGTAAGCAACAGAGTCGAAAACACCCGGCCCGAACTCGATTTTTATGCGTTTCCAAATAATTTTCATTGCTCTAGTCTTGTTTTCCAATGTTTGAATTTGAGAAAATCCATATATTTTTTGCGTGTGTTGTTCTCCTGACGATTCTGATGATTTTTCTCAGGGTTCACCCTCATTTTTGGTGCTCCCCGGCTTTCACATCCACTCACATAACGATTTCCTTGTTATTGCCTTTCGTAGAACGCAGCGAATCGCTTTATTGCACGACCGGTCAGCCATTCAAATCTCAGTTTTGAGTGGTAAACTGGAAAGTCGCGTCATAGTCTGGAATTCTGAATTCTTGCTAGGCCTGGGCATAGGCTTCCAGGCTTAGGCTTAGGCTTAGGCTCAGGCTTGGGCTTAGGCTTAGGCTTACGATCATTTCCATTTTGGCCGCACTTTCCTGTATATCACATCTCCATTTAATCAAAACTTTGCCTTTGCCGATCCCCCTATAATCCGCCCTTACGTGTTGTTCTACCGAAGCAGCTTGCCCTACCATTAACACAATCGTACATTTGTCTTGCCACCCAAATTATTTCAATTCTCTTCCATTGAATTTTGCCCCAATGTCGGTGCTGGTGATACTAAAATATATACGATACAGTATGCGGTGCAGCTGACACTTTAAATATTTTGAAACATCTCTGAAAGCTCAAGGTGATCGGTTGTCATAAATGAAGTTTTCGCCAAAAAAAAATAACGAAAAATGGAAGAATAGTGGCGGAAAGGAAAGGTGCTTTTGCAAAGCGAACTAGCTGAAATTTTTCGGGAAATCGCATCCAGCAAAAATTCTCTCGGAAAGGGCAGGCGAGCGGAGATTCTTCAGGAAAAGCGGGATACCGGAAATCCTTTGAAAGAGAGGCTAGCAGGGGCGTTTTCGGAGAGGCGATGCTAGGAGAGATTCGTTGGTAAAGGGCCGAGACTTGCAGAGAACTCTTAGGAAAAGAGAGCCAGCAGAGGTTATTTAGGAACGGCTTGGCTATCACTGCTTCGTGGCTAAATTGGATGCCTGCAAGGAGCTTTTGAACGCATTAAATGGCAGGGCTCGTATGAGACGCAGCGGTCACCGTATCTGCAGCATATAACCCCCACCCATTACCCCACCGAGCATGCGACTTTGTGAAACTTTAAAAAATAACAAGCAATCCGTAATACTGGCCGCAACGACTCGTCTTCCTCCACATCCAAATGTATTGCCTGCAATGGTTATTACCGGTCTTGCTGATCCCTAAACACTGGCTACACCCCAATTTTCTGATGGAGCAGGCGCTTTTTATGTGGTTTTATGTAATCGGCTTTTTCATGGAGCGAAGGTGAGTCCTGAGACCGAGGAAACAGATCCAGTTTCCGGGTTCTTCCTGGTTCCTCTAACAGCTTGTCTTTTTCGCGCCCTGCTAGGTTTTTGACAGTCAAAAGCAGCCAGCTTGGCTTCCGAAAATGAAACATCATTTTATGTCGGCCCGCCTGACCAGCCCTAAATTATAGACCCTGTCACATCTGCTCAGCCATCTTCTTCATCGCCCTCGGCTTATTATGTTACAGTGACAGTGACAGTTGCATTTTTTGGCCAACTTGTGACAAGAAACTGAACGGCGAGGTTAGCTTTTATCTCTCAGTTTGCCGCTGGCTTTTCCGTGGTTCTCCGAATAATTCCTAAGCGGAAGTACTCGTTTCGAGGTTACAAATTAAAAAAAGTTATTTCTAGATGTGCACTTACGTCTACAAAAGTATTTACGGGGATAAGACGGACGCTCAATAAGCGCACTCACACGGGCCACAGACAACAAACCGGGTATAATAAAGTGATTCGACTAATCCAACGACGGAAATTTATTAAACAGAACAAGTCCCATTGCTAACAAAAAGGGGATAACAACTGGCAACAAACGCGGAACAAGCCAATCATACAGCTAGTAAGGGGTAAACAAAGAACCGAAGAGATCGTTGCGTTTTTCATGCGACCAAGAGGCAGTTGACGGAGTAGCGGCGTGAAAGTTGACGAGTCGTGGAATGGCCTTATAGCGAATTTTCCGTCCTTTCGACGCACCCACATCCACCTTCTTTTTCGTATTTCTTTGTTGCAGTTTTTGGACGTCCAGCCATTGTCTAAAGCAAAGAAGTTTATCCCAAGGCAGCTTTTAGCAAACGTTTTCGCGCAAACACTCTCACCTAGTCATTGAGGCCGAATCTTTGCTGGTAGCACCTTTCTTTTCCAGCAACTCACGCAAGATCACGCCATAAAAATCATTATCATCGAAGTATTCAGGATCGACCGTATCCTAGAACGATAATATATTGGAAACTTTGATGAAATTACCTCTGACGCATGGCCAATTCTGCCCTGGTCAACACGTCGGGTCTGTGTGCGGGCCAACAGACGTAGTTTCTGCTCGGATAGTATCTAAAAAGAAAGTTCCGCAACAAAAATCAAGTTACCTGTTCGACCTGTTTCAAAATTCCCTTCCGGTCTGCGCGAGGAGACTTATCAGCAACTTGGGCGAGTGATGTTCGCTCTTCCCATTCACTCACAACCGAATTTCTAGGGAACGCAAATTATTTTAGTGATTCCCGGATCCAGTGTAAAGATTAAATATTTACCGATATGAGCTGAACTCCTTCTCATTTTGTTCTAGTGTCTTTAAAGCGCTGAGCCAGTTGAAAGGTTGCTGTCGTGCAGTTCGGGATCCATCTTCTACAGCTGCTTCTTCCACTGGTTTCCCTGACTGCGACTCATCATCCGATGATTCAATTTCTTCGTCATCTATAACCAAGCTTGACTAAGATTATCCAAAACTACCGTCACGCTTTCCGACTTTTTTACGCCCGGCCAATAGCTGCTTCTCGACGTCGCCAAGGAGAACAAACAGTTGCTGGGCGTAGTCGTGCGCTAAACAATTGTGTCTCTGGTGGAAAATGTGAAAGAGACTAAACAGACTAAAAATACCTTGGTTATAATCGTCAACCACACTCTGATCCGCTTCCTTCAGCAGGATTTGCAAGGTTGGTCCACGCGGTAATTCGTTATAGTAGCGCATCGCCGTGTGCAGCTTGATCTTCAAGTACAGGAGCTGCTCGAAGATCGTGCACTGTCGTTGCAAACATTCTAAACAACCCAAAGTTGCATGGGAATGAAACGGAAATTTGATCGTGATAGCGGCGGCAACGATAAAACATCACCCTTTTTCTCGAGGCTGCCATCCTGCGTCGCTTGAACAATTTGCATCACTCCTACAAAAAGACAAAATCGAATGGAGTTTGGATGCGGCCAGGTACTCAGATGCATTTCGACATTCCGAGCATAAATCGAATTTGTAGGCGAAACAATTTATTAGCATTATTAAGTGATTTTTTTGACCAAACCGAAGCCGAAATCACAAGAATTACACAGGAATTATATACACCGTAACATTATGAACCGGTAATCCATTCAAAGCTAGAAGGCATAGGCGGAACTTCGATCTCTTTCAATGGTGTCGGGACTTGCAATAGCCGCAGTCGCAGTTCGGTGGAGACGAGCCGATTCACAAAGTTGGTCGTCTCCTGGCTGAAACCCAATATTATGTTTCCTATACTGCCAATAACCTGAGCTTGTCCTTGCCGAGAATCTCGCAAATGCCGTCGAGCCACGTCCGCATATCACGTTCATTCTGCGCGCAAGCTAAAATGGAACAATTGTCTGCTTCAGGCCAGTGCTCACCGATTAATGCTTCGTCTTTCTTGTCATTGCCCTGCATCACCAGACGTATGCCGCGCGTGTATGTATCGCCCTTGCGCACGCCCTTCTCGCCTTCATCGCCGAATTGCACATCTTTGATATCTTTGATCGCTACTGAAAAAAGTATTATTTAATTAATTGATAATACCATTGCATTGTTTAATTCTCAAAATACTTACTCTTACGAGAATGCGGTGCCGTGTTGCTGTTCCAAACGTACTTTTCGCTATCACAGTCGGCTACCAACAGGAATTTCTCGTTCGCATCCAGCTTCCAGAAGAAATATTGACCTTGCTCTGAAGACATGCATAGAAAAAACCTTAAACTATCAAACCTTTTAGAGGTGCCTTTTTGCTACCCTTCTTAAAAACGTATCCTTGCTTCAAAAAGTTTTTTCGATTTTGTCGGACCATCTGTTCGCTGAGCGGCCGCAACAGCTGGCAAAGCTCCCTAAATCAGACGTCGGAACTAGGAAACTCCCCTACTTGGCGAAATCGGATTCGAGCTCGGCCACCTCACGCTGTGATTCTTCATTTTTCCAAATTTCCTAAACAAGCGTTTTTGCGCAGGAAAGTCAGCTACGTACTCTCATTTTGCTGTATGATAGTAGATCACATTCTGCTTGAAACCGCTCGAGCTTGGTCGGTTTTCGTGCAATGACACGGCGCACCTGTTCTCGGACGACATTGGCAACCTATAAAAACATTTTGGGTATCTGAAGCTATCTTGCTACCTTGACTGTTTCCGTTGTTACTGCGTGCATCTCTCGCCAAGTCTTGTGTAGGAGCTGCAGCACGGCGATAAAGAGGAGCTGAATCGGCTTCTCCAGCGAAAAGACCAGTTCGATTAGCTTGCCCACATTTTCATCATCTATAATTTACCGGGTTTCTAATCAAGGGAAATTAACCGACCCGATAGAACCTCGACGACGATGGCCATGGCCGTATCGCAGAGAGCGTAGATATCCCAGCGGCTTTTTACGTCTCGCATCGCATTTTCCGTTAGCATCTAAAATTCAACTTTTTATGTACACCATACGAGACGCCAGATCAGACTAGCTCGGCAATGGACGGACGATCAAGAATCCGAGAGAAAAACGCCAAAGTACCAAAGTGAGTTCCGTGGTCGCCGAAACTACCGCCAAAAATAGCAGCTTGCCGTTGTCGCTCTTCTCCAGTAGACCGCTGAGCGAAGGAGCGGCATAGCGCGCGTACCAATCGACTTTCTAAACCTGATCAAAATGTGTTGCAACAAAATTTACCTCTAGTTGCGAGATGTCTTCTTTCGAGGTCGGTAAGCGGGCTAGATGGATTTGTTTATCCAAAAGTAGTCTCTAAACTGAGTTTATAATGAAACTGGCTGTCAGACCTGCAAGGGAATGAGTTGCTCAAGTAGATTTTGATCCCGGGCACGGCCCTCTCGAAAAATCGAATCGACGATTGCATTCCGGAAGGGAGCAGTCTCTAGCTCGATCTAAAACTGGATTGGTTTTCCCCGCCAAACGCTATTCCATCGAACTTCATAAAAATGTGCAAGGCTCCGGTTCCGGACCGGAAATGAACACCAACAAACTGAAGATTACCAGAATGGAGCTTTTCAGCTGAACATTAGCTCGTTTATGCATGGTATTCATCAACGTAAGCGTCGCAAGTGTTACCCGCTCATCGGACCTGTAAAATGAGGATCAACAGCGAGACGGGTTGCACCTGGCCAGATGGCGAATCAACGATCGAAACGTCACTTCCGCGAATATTATGTCGTGAAGAGCAGTACTAAAGCTCGGAAATACCAAAGTCCATCCGATAAATATTGCTCACTTCGTGGAGGTTGACAACAATTGTACCAGGCTCCACTCCGCAAAAAGCACCGCCTCCGCATCATCTATTTTCGTGCGCCCGGTAACCAAAGAGCATAGCGAAACCAGCACCTAAATAAAACCCATCAGTGCCGAACCTTGATTCTCACTGTTTCCGGTAGCGAATTCCAAGTCGGGCATTCTCTCAAATTCAATTCCATCATCGTATAGAGTGATTGAAGCAGCAGACTAATAATCGATTCTCTAAATTTGAACATGAATATGCTAACATAAACTCACACGTTATCCATTTCGTTTACCAAGATATGGTAAATCTCGTTGATATCTTGCGTGCGAACGTATTCACGAACAAAACTCGGGTCCTGAAAAACACGTTGTTCAAATATCAGCATAACAAACTTTCTAGGCTAGGGAAATCAGACCTGGGATAATTTCAGAAAAGTCTCAAGCAGGGGTAGCAGCTTTTCTTGATTGTTCAAGCGCTCCTTCAAAGCCTGACTGATCCTTGCTGCGTAAGTGGCCTGGAAAATCATCAGCTGCGTAAAGCTTGCCATCATATCGGTTCAATTCTTTCCAAAACCATACGGGTGAGGCAGTCAATTTTAGTAGAAATCCCTGCTTCAGCCCACTTAGATTCTCGTTACAAAGGAAGCGCGCCGTCTCATCGCATAGTAAACCAAAGCTAAAAGAACCAGGAAATTGAAATAAAAAGAGAAGCTGCCAACCTTTTTTCACGGTTACGAATGTTCCTCAATAACTCTTCTGCAAGACGTATAATGAGATCTTCGACGTCGTCGCTCTGGAACTTATTTGGCCAGCAAGGACGCAATACCTCTTTGTTTATTGTGATATAGGTTGACGTTTTGCAAATCTCAGCGCCATGTTGGGGCAGCCATTGGAAAATGCCTTCATCTACGCAGATCGCACCCTCAAAATGGCAAAAATTTATTCCCTGATTGCAAGATTGAACAAACCTTTACTAAATTTTCTGGAACTTTATTATCGTACGGCTTCAGTGGATGTGCTGAAGTGTGAAAGTGAGCGCTCATCGAACGACGCCTGAGAGTCTGAACCATTTGCACGCGACCTCCATCGCTAACAGAACGTACGGATGCACGCGAGTAAGGAAATTATCTTAAGGCTGTGTGAAAACCACCGATAGCTATAGATTTTCATACATATGCCAAAGCTACGACCACAAGCTCAATGCGCCCGATATCAAGGTGCAAACTGCTGCCTACTCTGTGGTTCACAATACAACCGTATAAACGCGTGTTCTTCAAATCGAATGCTGTACGACTCCTCGTATTCTTTATTCATTTAGAACAAAATAAATCGGAAATGGGAATGGCCGAGAGCTCACAAACCTTGATTTCGCAAATGCTGTTTTATTGGGGGGTTCTTTGAAATATCGGGGGGAAACAGGCACATCAGAATCGCGTAAATATATATTTAGAATAGGACCCAGAACGCAATCTGGTGATGCCAAACAGTATCAAATTAGCAAAAACCAATATTTGTGAGCCCGTGCGTGGCCTATTTGCCCTGTTGATTTGTAGATGCGGGAACCTTTCTTCTCCGTCTTCGGAAACAGCAGCATTTGACCTCGCCGCTCGACGAATCCTGCCTGTCGCCCGCACCGCCGGCCGGGGCCCTCGTCAGCTCATCGACGCCGCCGACTTCACCAGTGTTGCTGTTGATGACTTGGGTCGAGCCGAATTGATTGTTCTGGTGCTGGGGCCGCAAATCTTCACGGCGGGAACCCTGCGCTGTACGGCCGCGCGCTTCTTTGCCCGTGCCGGTTTCCGAGGCGTGAATGGAGCCCGATGGCGTCGACTGGAAAAAAATCGATTTGAGGCGGATAGCAAATAAAATTGGATACAGCAAGCCTCACTATCTTTCCATCTAATAAAATCTATTGATTTATCGATTCTCTAATTATTCTCAAAAAGCCAAGATGCGAGTAGGACGCAAATTCTGGACTTCCAACGGGACTATGCTATTCAAGTAGCAACTTTTCAAAAAGATCATAAACATACCACACTGTTTAGCTTTGGCGTCCAGTCGAACTCGTAATCATAAGTGAAACCCAATCGCTCCAATACCGCCCTAAAAATCTAAATTAAAAAGCAACACGAAGCACCGACTTGAACAAATTGTAGCAGTACTCGTAATCCGGCGTCTCGAAAAAGTCCAACCGGCGGGCATAGCGTAGATATTGGGCAAATTCCTCTGAAAATAATATTTATAAATAAAAATACATAACAGTCCTTACCTGGGAACCCTTCACACAACACCTCGATCGGCGTCGAGCGCTTGGTGTCGCCGATCTTCTGGTATCGTTCCTTCAGCGTGTCGGCCTTCAGACCCTGCCAGGGCAGCGATCCGCGCAAAAAGTACATGAACATGTGGCCCAATGCCTCCAGGTCGTCTCTCCTACACAGAAATAACCGGCTTGCAAATGTTGGTTACCGGCTTTGCTCCTTGCCCAAATGTGTGTTAATCGACATGTAACGCGCCGTCCCGGTCAACGACTTGTGTTCGCGGTAGGCAATATGTTTACCTAAAAACAACTATCCAAACACAAAATCGATGAACTGACCAGTATCACAGTCAATATACTCCTTGGCCAGACCAAAGTCAATAATGTGAAGAATGTGTTGTTTCCGCGTTGAGTACCGGCCTGCAAAACAAAACAACTCCACACCAGTAACGTAAAATTACCTATCAAAAAGTTCTCGGGCTTGACATCGCGGTAGATAAGGTGCTTCGAGTGGACGTATTCAATACGACGTATCTATCAAAAGTTTTTTCCAGAGTTTTCCCAGAATTACGAGCTATCTAACCACGTCCGAAGATACGAAACGAAAAAAGATTCCAGAATTCTGAGCACGCATGGTTTGTCTGCCAAAAGATGTTCAAACACTCACCAATTGCATGGCAATCATCGCCACAGTCTTCAGGGAGAAGTGTCGCTCGCAGAGATCGAAGAGGTCTTCAAGCGAGTGTCCGAGCAGCTCCATCACCAAGGCGTTGTATTTGCCGCATGGGCCGAAATAATGCACTTGCGGCAGGCCCTCTAGAAAAGGATAGTAGAATTATGGCGGACACGTAAACAAGAGGCATGACGAAAAACTCACCCGTTTGGCCTAACAATTTATAGAAGCGGTATTCCAAGTGTAGCTGGGGTGCTTTGCTCTTCATTGGCTCCAATTTGATAGCCACGTGTTCATTGTTGTAGAGGTTCTTGCCAAGGCGCAGCTCGCCAAAATTGCCAGAGCCGATCTTCTTACCAACCTGAAACGAAAAGTAAAGAGTAGAACCTTAAAAAATAACCTTGAAGTTGGGGCCGACCATCAATACACCTTGAGAAGCTGAGGTGGGCTGCCCTCCCGATGTAGAACCGGACGGGCCACGACCGCCAACCTAAATATATGAATGAAATAACGCCGTAAACAGAAATCAAATCTTTTTGCTTACATTGGTCATACTGATGAAGGTAGAGTTGTTCCCGGACAACGGCCACTGAATTCCCTAAAAAAAGATAGAATGGCTAATTTCCGGAATATACCTGTAAGAGGCCGTGGCCACGGCTCGTATTACCCGCGCTGCGAACGCCCGAAGATGCGCGCCTAAAATAACACATTTACATTGGGACCAAACGAAAGCATCAGGCTGCGGCAAAACACTTTACAATCAGCTAAGGCAAGCAAGCACGAAATTAACGTTAGGAATTGAAGTTGGCTGCCGCGAAAATGCAACAACTACGCGCGTCAATAGTGTAGGGAACTGTCCAGTAAAAAAAATTATCTAAGTCAAAAATACCATCAAAACGTGTTTGATTTAAAACTTAGAAAAAACACTGTTTATATCACCGCTTATAAAAAAAATACAGCAGGGTCTTGCGAACAGCCACTACCCAAATAAATTATCGCAGCACGGATACAAATCCCGAAACACAAGCACACATTTTGGTCGTCACGTGCGCGCGCGCAGATGCAGCCATTTGCGCAATATCAAAACCACAGGCAGCGTTAGTGCGCTGCGCATTCGCTCGCTTCCAATTCTCGCAAAAGCCGTAGCTACCGATCGTTTCCGTCGCCCTTATCGCGCTTCTCCTGCATACGCAGAAGCAGCATTGCTTAAAATATGGATTAGAAGCCAGAAACTGGTGCGCCGCCGGGCCAAAACAGTGCCGATATTACAAGTTGATGACAACCGGAAAACCCAAATATTAGGTGTCCTATTTTTAGGCACTTTTTGGCGCTTGTTACGGGGAAATTCTATGAAAGTTTGCGGGCATTTTATGTTTGAAGCGCAGGGTAATGTAGGCGTGCCCGACGGATATGTATGATTGATTGGAAGAAACCTACGGATAAGCATAAGCTAATCCTAAGTTTTTAAATCAGCTATAAGGCTACGTTTAGATAAGTTGGTCGAAAACAAAACGGGCCCCCTCCGACTTGAATACTACCGAAAAATGCTACCTAGCAGCTACGGAGATAACCGGGAAAGTTTTGGGATGTTTTCGTCAATTCTTGTGCATCATTGTAGGACGAAGGACAGCAATTGAAATCTGATCAAAATCAATACAGGCCCTTCCGGTGAGTGTCCGGACGAGGTCTCAATGTCAAACAGTCAATTCTGGCTGAAAAGCACGCGACGCGCCACGCAACGCGAATCGATTGCTCTTTCGCGATTGAACGCCTAGTTTGCCAAGAGATCCCCCCACACACACAGCAGCGCCCGGCCCGGCCCACACCTCTCCCGGTTCACCCGGATTATGAATCGGTCGCTGGGGCCACGCAACCGCCGGGCAGACAAATCCGCGCAAAATCCGGAAATTCCCATTATCCCACAAGGCAAGACAAAAAAACGGGGGCCGCCTACCTTTCCCGGGGCCCGTGTAGCGCCCGCCCACATCCTGGCTAAAGGGACTTTGTCTATGCCCCGAATTTTCCTAGCACGAGCCAATCATATAAAATATTAGTATATCGCTGGTAATCAGTATACTGGGTGGGTTGATAAAAAGGGCCGAAATATGTCGGGGATGACGGTGGCTGAAAGGATGTTTTCGATCTGGAAAAGACAGGTTAAAGTTTTGAATTTTACGGCGACCTGCTAGTTTTTTAATATATTTTTTTATGAAATAAAGTAGAAAACCTTAGCGCGAGAAAGATAGAACTTTTTATTTATGAGTCGGGGGGAATTGAAGGGTAGCAAACAAAAGTGTTAGAAGTTTGACTCCCAACCATTTTCCTAGGATTACTGAGGTGTCAATAGGACAAATCGGACTTGCACACATAAATCTGTCAAAATTGTAGTGAAATCGGAAAAATAGACCTAAACTTAGCTATAACCTTTTTTTTGTTTTACATTACTTTGCTGATAAAATTCGGCACCACATAATTTTTGTGGGTCTCTATAGCTGGTACAAATTTGGTCCAGCAGCGAAAGGCGGAGCGTTTTTTGGGACACTCTGTATATCAAAAAATGTTATAACCAGGTTGACTTGAAACGTTCGATTATGCAGTGCAAGCCTGTCACAAGCGTGTATTTATTCCATCGAAACACATCTCATTCCACCTTTCGCCACGTCGAAAATTTGGAGAAATTGCATGGGAGGCCAGGGAAAGAAGGAAAGAGGGAAGGGGCTTCATTGATATTTAGATGATACTTGGGTCTAGAAAGTTCGAAGAAACGGTTTTCCAGAGCCAATAGGTCGAGGAGCATTCAGATGGAGGGGAAGAAAACGGCTTCCATCCCGGCGGCGGCTCGTTTCCCGAATTGCAGCGGTCGATATTCTCGTTTTCCAAACTGTAGGGGCCGGTATCCGTCGCGTTTTCCGAACTGAAATGTTTGGATTGTGTAAGTTAATGTACGGTTACGCACTCGCGCCGGCCTTCTATCACGGTAACGTCAAACAAGGTTTATTTTGAAAGTCCAGGTGCAATCGGGCATAAATGAGCCCGCGCTGACGAAAAATATTTATAACTGACTTGCAATGGCCGATAGTCCCGATCTTGCCTGTCGAAGGTCTGCTGTTGGGCCTGAAAACTAACGTTGTTGGATTTCGTTCGGCTTGGCCAAACGGCGCAGTTGGAATTTTGGCTTCGTGCTAGTTTCGTGACCTAGTGCGAGACGAAGACTGTGTTGCGTCAGTTTTGTGATACGACATAGCTCATTTGATAAAGCTCGACATTCCCAACAAATCCCATATTACGAAATTTGCCCGGACGACTACGGTTCTGAAAAAACCTGAATAACTGAATTCAGAATAACCGATATATTTTTTTCAGTTTTGGTCGCACTGCAAGAAATTTCAACTTTGTGGAACTCTCTCGAACACCGTTGTCGTCCAATTAATCTGGAAAGATGAGATCTGTTCTGAATTTCAAGCTATATCAAATGAGGATGCAAATGCACTCCGGGAGGGGGCAGTCCGGATTGTGACTACAAGTCGCTCCAAATGCCTTTTCTAACTCTAGGCCACTGGAAAGCCAAGCTAAGCCTAAGTCTAGGCTTACAAGGAGACGTTTTTGAGTGTCGTCGGGACTTTGGCATGGGACCAAGCCTATCTTGTGCAGAATTTTACGCTGATTCCGAATATGGTAACCGTTTTTGCGGAATAGCCATTTCTCGTAAGTTATGAACGATTTAAACCTCAAAACAGTCCAAAATCGGCTACTTCCGATAATCATAAAAGACATCGGAATAGGTTTTAGACAAAACCAGATAGTGCATAGTGTTCAGAAAAAAATCCTCTATAAAATAAGCTACTTAACTCAAAAATGTTGGAATTTTGAAAATTTTTGTAAGAAGAGGGTCCTCCCAATTAATCAAATTTTTCTAACTTTTCAATGATTTTGAAGAAGATAATACATTTTATAGAGAATTTTTTTCTGAACAAGATGCACTATCTGGTTTTGTCTAAAACCTATTCCGAAGCCTTTTATGACTATCGGAAGTAGCCAATTTTGGGCTGTTTTGAGGTTTGAATCGTTCATAACTTTCGAGAAATGGCTATTCCGCAAAAACGGTTACCATATTCGGAATCAGCGAAAATTATGACAAGAAGGTTGGTCCCATCCAAAGTCCAGACACTCAAAAACGTCTCCTTGTTAGTTTCATTCAAACGACGCCTAAGATCCTACTATATATAAAAAAATAGTGTCTGTGTGTGTGTGTGTGTGTATATTTGCATGCACTTCCGTTTGGATGTTCCGCTCCTACAGCCTCGGGGAAGGGTTTTTTAGATAGGGAAGAGCGACAATGGGTTTAGTGGCCCGGAATCGATGCACACACATAAAAATTTTGAAAATTGCGGTTTTCGCTATTAAAAATAGGTTTTGTAAAACCCTGTTTGTAGGGGAATAGCATGCGCCGGAAGTAGGAAGAGCCTATATAAAGGGACAGAGGAGCCTTTTTCACTTTTTCTTGCTAGAATTCAGGAAGAAACATGCAAATTAAGGACTTTCACAAGTCCTGGACGGGGCCAGGGTTGAAAAGCCGCGAAGCGGTTTTTCAACCCTGGTAAGTACTAAATGACCCCATTTCGACCTCGTGAGCCAATTTAAGGCTTAAGAAAAGCTTAAGTTTGGGCTTAAGCCTGAGCCTGAGCCCAGCTAAGCATAGTTAAAGCTAAGTTAAGCCTAGGTGGCCTAAGCGGGGCGCTGTCTTAGCTCGAGGAGACGTACCTGGATGCCCAGGAAGAGCAGGCAGAGGGCGAGGAGAAGCCCGTGGAGCTGCATCGAAGCGGGTGCGAGCCAGGAATGAAGCCCAAATCCGCTCCCTACCATCCTCGTCCAAGCCGGCTGGCACGCCCACATTTTGCCAGCCTCATCGTTTCTGCTGTCCAATCCTCTACGGCAATCTATCCGGCGGCTACGGTGGTGAATTGGCTAAAACGGGTGGCGGGGACCCAGCTGTCTGCCGATTGGGTCGTAAAGTCGAATTCGGCGCCCCCGGCACATCATTCTATACTTTGGCAGGAAAACCGAGGAGGCTGGGTACGAGACGCAACTCTCTGTCTGCCGCCCACGGGGTGATCGCCTGTCTTTTTGGAGGTGCTGCAAGGAAAAGAATCCCATGTGAGACACAATTCGGGCCGATCTGACGTCACGGGGACGTTTGCATGCCACTTGCGCACAGAAATTTTCCATATAAAACTTTACATCCTTCACCGGAGAGGTGTATTGCGTGAAAATCATAACTTTTCTGAATCTGATCGACGACTTTTTACCAATCGATTAGTGATGGCATCCACATCATCGCCTCAAGTAGGACTTTGATAAAGGGCTGAGCTTTAGCCACACAACCGGCACCGCAACTGTATATCGGCTGCCTGACGACCTCCAGATGTGTAAAGTATATCAAAATATTGTCCTTAATCTGGCGACTATTTTCATATACTTTACAGCCGGGTGGTACACTGGGGCGCGGAGATACAGTAGGTGAGGTACAGCGCGGGGAGGGTACGTAAGACGTATACTCATACTTACATACTCATAACTCATAACTGCACCACTGCTCGGCGCAAAATCATGCGCTTTTTTCGGGCTCTTCTTATACGGAAACTAGCGGCATGAAACTGCCAGAGATAGCTTTGTCTAGACTGGTGCCATCGACATTGATGACGACGACGCTTCGACAACTTCCCCGGGAGATGTCAAGGTAAATCCCAGTACCTTCCAGTAGGCATATGGGTTCTTTAGCATTATCGGGGGGACCGTTATTTGTATAACTCTAGAAACGCGAAATGCCTAGTAACTTCATAGAAAGTACTTTTATGGTGCTTTTCGTAATATACACCTATATTTAAACTAAAAAACTATCTATAAACTTTAAAAACGTTGAAAAAGTTTAGAGCACTTTAGAAGCAATGCCACTATTTATTTTTGAAAAATCAGGTCGTAAGAAAAAAAAGTTGATCCCCCCCCCCGATAATGCGAAAGAACCCGCGCATATGTTTAATTGGTATCTTCTGGTTTGATTTCTAGCTTTCAGAAAACGAAAGCCAAATTCTGGTGGAAACTGGCGCTATGGGCGACCGGGTTGCTATTGGTGGGCTTGGTGCTCGGTGGAATGTTTCTCGTTCTCCTCTTCAGTGGCGATCTCGATTACCGGCAAGGCAATTTCCTAATGCTTTTTCACTTGCGTATACCAGACAGCGTATCAAAGAAATGTACGACTTACACACGCACCGAAATATCACCTTTCTGGACAACTTGTATATTCCATGCGAAGCGCTGATACGTGGCGATCAGACGGCAATCGACTTATACGGGCAACAGGTGAGGTTTGGACACGATTGGGTTCTGGACGGTTAGTGGGCGGACCAAATTTTTTCCGGTGATTCTCTACGACCCTATAACAAAATAGAAATCATTTTCATAGCACTTTACATACTTTTTAGATACAAAAACAATACAAAAAAATATTTCGAAAAATATTTTTGTAACTTTCTAGCAATCAAGAACTACTCAAAACTATAAAAATACACAATATATCATCAACAGGTGGAACAGAACGCGATTCCCCCTGTCAACCCCCCGCCCCCGCTAACAGTCCAGAACGGACGATTGTTGACGAAAAATTCGCAGGTGTACGATAACGGATTCAAGGAGCGAATGTTGCTGGAGGAAAAGGACCTGTAAGTCCAATTCGTTTCACAAACAACCTTTCACTATAGCTGCGCCGCCTTCAAGAACCGCTTCCATTTTCAAGCCTCGCCGTTGAGTGAGGAAGAGGCCGAGTTCCCGCTCGCATATGGATTCGTTGTCTACAAAAATGTTGTTCAGGTAAATTCGAATGCCCGCAAAGTGCGACGGGGGTAAGAGTCGGTACTGGATCATTGCTATATTCAGCAATCAGCAATCAGTGATCATCGACAAGTGATTTATATTGATTTATCTTTTATATCCTATACTATCCTACCTTAAATAATTTTGGAGTGTCTGTGGGTGTGTGTGTGTGCATTTGCATGCAACTTCCGTGAGGTTGTTCCAGTCGTATCTCAAGAAGGAGGGAAGCTACGGGGGTTTTTGGTACGTCATTAGGAGCGTAATGGTCTGGAGATGACTGCACGCATATTTATCGAAATCGCCTATTTTCGACACTAAATTTTAGTTTTTGTTGAAAAATTCCAGAACCTCGTTGTTAGGAATATATTAGCATACGCCGGAAGTAGGGGTAGCCTATATAAAGGAGCAGAGAGCGCCATTTTTCACACTTTTTCAGCGTGTGTCGGGCGAATTATGCAAAGTATAAACTTTCATTGGTCCAGAACGGGGCCAGGGTTGAAAAACGCTTCGCGACTTTTCAACCCTGGTTGAGTCTAATTCTACCAGTAGTCAAACAAAAAAAATCAAGTGGAAGTTGAAATTTACGAAAATTGCTGGTGAATTACGTGACTAATCATTATACCTTACATTAACCAGCGTTAGAAAATGGTGCGTCAAATTCTAGGTGCTACATATGCTCGCCGCCTTTTACCAGCCACAAAACCTCTACTGCATCAATATCGACTCCAAATCGCCGGATGGCTTGAAGAAGTTGCTTCGCGGCGTCGAGTCGTGCTTTCCAAATGTACACGTCGTGGTGGGACCCCGATATCCTACTATATATAAAAAAATAGTGTTTGTGTGTGTGTGTGTGTGCCACTTTGCATCCACTTCCGTCTGTCTGTCCAGACGATATCTCGATAGGGGAGGGATTTTAAGGTACGTTTGATACGTCATTAGGTGCGCAATGGTCTTGAGATGACTGCACACATATCAAATTTTACAAAATCACCTATTTTCGACATTAAATTTAAGTTTTTGTGAAAACTTCTTTGTTAGAAAAAATTAGCATAGACCGGAAGTGGGGATTCGACTATATAAACGGTCAGAAGAGGTTGTTTTCATTTTTGTCATCAAAATGCAGGGTAATTATGCAAATGTTTAGGATCAAATGGGGCCAGACGGGGCCAGGGTTGAAAAGTCGCGAAGCGGCTTTTCTACCCTGGTTACCCCAATAATTACGTGCAAAGATTGGGCCGTCCATCGAATGGGGCAGCTACGAGATCGTCACAGCCGTATGGAATTGTCTGAGCTACGCTGAAAAGTCTGCGCATGCATGGAAATATTATCAGGTTGGGCGTTTTATGAAAGGCTATTGAGTCAGGTAGGCTTAAGCTTTGGCTTAGACTTAGTCTTAGGTCAGCCCTAGGCTTCGGCTTCGGCTTGGGCGTAGGCGACGGCTGGGCTTAGGCTTGGGCTTAAGTTAGGGGTAGGCTTGGGCTGAAGGTCGGCATAGGCATAGGCTTAGGCTGACGCTCGGCCCGCCCCGAAAACCCTGGTAGTGGAAATACTCGTGTTCAGTACCTAACCGGGACCGACGCGCCGCTGAAGACCAACTTGGAGATGGTCCGGATCTTCAAGGCGCTAAATGGGACGATGAACATGAGCTACGATATCTTCAACAAGACCTGGCTGCAAGGGAAGCAGGTACGGCGTCCAATAGAGGGTGCATTTTCACAGGAAGATGGTTCCCCCTTCCTGCCCATCTACAAATCATTCATCCCGGCGCTGATCCCCCGTCCGGCGGCCACGGCCATCGTTGGCAGTTCACAGGTATGCTTAGCTTTAGCCTTAGGCTTAAGCTGAGGAAGGTATTGTTCCGTCATTTGTACAGGTTTTACGTCAAGAAAAGTTGTCTATAGGTGTGTAAAGTAGGTTCCGACCCCCTCGGAAGCTTCATGTATCGCTTTGATCTAGGTGGCTGATTATCTGAAATGGCTGAAGGGGTGCTGGATCCCGGAAGAGCTGATTTGGGCCACGATTGCAGGCCGCCCAGATTGTAGGTATATCGTGTCCGGATCAGGATTTTTCGGCAACTCTCAAAAGTTCGCTGTCGAAAATTTCTGTCCTATCACAAAAGGGAACGCGTTACCCCGCTAAAAGCACCTAGAATTACAGTACTGCCGTGGCCGGGAGCTGTGCCCAACTCTCTGATGTACCAGCTGAAGGGTACGACAGAGCAGATGTTGGCACAACTGATCAAGGGCCGCAACAAGACGCAGAGTACGTGTTGTGATTACAGTCTTGAAAAAACTAAGCATGCTAATCGAAAAAATAGCAAATAGCAACCTCGCTTCCCCTAGCTGGCCGCAGAAGTGCCCGATTTTTACATCTTAGGTATAAAAATATTGTTTTGAATATACAAAATGGTTCTTTCGCATTGCGAGGGGGATCCAACTTTTTTTCTGAGGTTCTCATTTTTCAGATAAAAATAGTGGCAGTGTTTCTAAAGCTTTTTTACGATCCCTAACCGTAAAAACTTTACATTTGTAATTAAAAAAAAACTTCAAAAATCATTTTTAAAGTTTTTGCATAGTTTAAATATAGGTAAATATTATTAAAGGCACTACTAAAACGCTGTCTTTGAACTTACTAGACCTTCTTAGATTTATACAAAAAAAGTTTGGTCCCACCCCCGGAAATGCGAAATAACCAAATAATGTTTCGAAAATACAAAATTTGTCCCCCCGCGTTAAGCTACCTTTGCCGGGACCTCCATCCTTTCAGGGATTACGATCACTGAAGACTTTTACGGGCCGGCCACCTTCGACACCCCCAACCAGAATTGGATCGCCCGATACCAAGGGTGGAATTCTGATGACCTTCTAAAGTGCAACAGTGGGCAGACGCAGCTTTTCTCAGATGAAGCATTGATATTCAGAATTCACGCACACCTCCTGCGTCTTTCGCGTTGCTGAGCTGGCCGCCTTGCGCAATCGGTGGCAGACATGAATTTGCGAGCCGAAAACCCTGTCGCATTTAGGCCGGAGCTGACAGCGCACAAGATCAACTTTGAAGATCAGCCAGTCGCATTCTTTTGTCTCCTCAAAGTTTGGTGCCCAGCAAATTCCAACTCTTCTCCAGGAGCACCTTCGCCGCAGCCTCAACCCCGAGCCGTTCGACGCGCGTAATTACACGCGACTCCCTGAGGTTTGTTGGCAACCTCAGAAGCAAACCGACGGCTAAGGTGGAGCTTTTGCGCGGCGTGCCGCTGGACGAGCTGTCGATGCCGAAAGCTAGCGTTAACAGGCTCCGTCGCGAAACCCGTGGCTGACCAGATGAGGCTGGTGGCGACGCTCCAGTTGCAGTTCCCCGATGACTGAACGATCACCCCTTGCTGTTTGCAGTTCCGGGCCCTATTTCGAGAATAATCGCCAATTAAAAATTCTTACTTTTTGCCCGAACCTCGCTAATTTGCATTCGGCATAAAGAGCACTACTCTTTAGGGGGAGACGGCCGCTGCTCAACCGTTTATCAAAATCAACAATTCCATAATTACAATATGACAAACTCAACAAGAAATTATTTGTGTGTGTGTTAGCGAGGTTAGGGGCGCTTCGGAGGGGGCGTCTTCATTTCCGGTTTCTCGCGTTGCGTCGTGTGACTGAAAATTAAAAAAATGTGATCGTATTTCTATCTACCACGAGTATGGGGGGCCGGTTCCAGAGGAGCTTCCTGGCACTCCGTTGCTGGCACCGCAATTTCAGCGCATTTTGCCACTGGCGCCACAAATGCCCTGCAAATACTAGGATGTTCGCAAATCGAGAATGCCTACTTTCTGGCAGGTCGGCGAATCAGGACTTTTCCGAGGTTTTTGACAGCGACTGGTTGGACCGCTAAAACAGGTTGCAAAATAAACCAAACAGAAAAACCTAGTTTAAGTCCTCCGACGTCTTGGATTTCGACTTTCTTCGGCACCGGGACTTCAGAGACAAGCAGCTCCTCTTTTAGCAAAGACGATGGTTCGCTAAATCCGCAGGGTTTTGAAATTATCTTCCAACTCACGGTTCCGGGACATCGGGGTTATCTGGAGGAGATGATATCGTGGCCGACGCTTCTACAAGAGGAGATGCCGTCTTTAGCAAAGAACTAAAAAGCTCAAAATTTTTATAAACGCCATGTAGTTACCGCTTCGTGGGCCTCCGAACGGGCGAGATAGAGCTTTTGCTCTCCCCTGATACTTCTGCTGGCTGCCCACTTGACTGCGGAAGAGTGTCTAAAACAGCACTGTATACGTTTATTGAAACAACAAAAAGCCCAGTCGAATCAGTGTATCGGATGGATTTCACCTTTTGCAGAGAGTTCGGCTTGCTCCACGTTTGACCCACATCGAATATCCGATTCGACGACTGCTGCCCTTGCTTCTGGCCCGTGCGCAATCTTAGTGGCAGTTAACGGAAAACGTGACGACCATAGACGATCCCGAGACGAAATCTTCTTGCTGACAGCGGCCCTGCAAAACAACACCCCTAAATAATGACAGGCAGAAAACCGTCGTGGTGTATAAAAATTGCCCCCATTCGCGTTTCAGTTCTGCCACTGAACACCACGTCAAACTGAGTTCCTTACAATGTTGCAAAGTAACACTTTGAATTGATACCGTTTGAAAGTACTCGATTTGCCGGTGAAGTTGCCCATCGACATCAATTCTTCAGAATCAAACGATGTACTAGTTGAATTTGTTCCGGAAAGGGCAGCAGCGACCTCCGTTGGAGTAGTTTCGGCGGTTGTCGAAGGCGTCATTACGGGCATCGGTCTAAAAGAAAATCGTTTCCGGGCGCTACAGCGGATCACAGCCACAAGAATGCAATAGTTTGTAAGTCTCACCGTTCCTCAAAAACCAAATAAGTGGTAGTTGTTCCCGCTTTGTCAGCCTGGCTTGGGGCGGAGAACGCCGATGGCCCTTAAACAACCAAGCAATTCGTTTCTTCAGAAACTGAATACCTTCTTCTGATAAGTGCAGTGGGGCAGCGGCGGCCTGTAGTGTAGTAAAAGCACTGGCCGAAGATGTGTCGCCGGAATCCTATAAATGGGTTCAGCACCACGGGAAAAACTTACCTGAAAGTGTGAGATAGGTGGCAACATGTCGGATATTGGTGGGAGGGCGATAAGAGAAGCGGGATCCAACATTGGTCGGATTGCGATCGGCCGCTGCAATACAAACGTCACCATGGGGTAACCAACAATAACCTGTAGCGGGGGCTCTTCTACAACCAGTTCTACTGCGGCGGGTACGTCGGTCACGGATGAGGAGGGAAGCTCCGTCAGGCAGCTGCTCTCTGCTGCGGCAGCCGGTTGCTCTGATCTGCTGCCAAATCCATGGTGATCGCTAAAACGCATACAGCCACTATACGTTTTACTTACGCGCGCACTGCTTTGTAAACCTTCTCCACGGCGGCTTTATCAAACACTTTTTTTGTCTGGATCATCACAGCTTCGCAAACATTTGAAACAGCTTGGTCGGTGGGTCCTAGAGCAATGAGTAAATTTGAGCCCACCGAAGGGCGCCTACCATAACCGATCAACGCAGGGGGCTTCTTGGCTTCGGACGCTTTTTCCAGAACTTGAACAGCATTTTTGGTTTCCATGGCTATCTGGTGGTGCTTGGCTGCTTTTCGCCTAAATCATGAACCGGTTATAATCTCGGCACATCGATTACCCTTCATTAATCAGCTCAAAGTAGTCCGGTTGCTGCTCGAGGCTGTCGATGATTTTCACGGCCTCCGCAACGAGATCCAAATGCGACTCATCCCAGTGCGGTTCGCGATTGCGGATGCGTGCCTCCTCCTAAACAGGATTAGTGAAAGCTGATAGAAGTGAGCCCGTCCTTTTCATGATTTTACAATTGTGCAATATATTAACACACACCATATTAATCTTCCTTTTCCGGATGCGTTTATCATCTTCCTCCTGCTTGATCTCGTTAATGACCTGCTCCGCGTGCTGATACAATTTGTTGTCTAACGTCGCCGGCAACGACAAAGCCTAAAAACCAATTAGGAAAAACAATGACGGGGAGAACCTGATCCACGCGCGCCCAGTTTGTCTTCTCCTCTCGATTGTACTTGCTCTTCAGCTCGTTCCTGGCACGTGTCGGGAAAAATTCGTGCATTAGTCCAAAATCCGGACCAGTATGGCGTAGAATTTCTAGAAATTATCCAAATTCATTATTTCCGGATTCATCGTCGGGAACCACGTTGGTCACCCATGCCAAAGGCTCACCGAAAAAGAGATCCGTTTCCTTGTCACTCCATGCTGCACCTTTTTTCCAATTCCGCGCCCGGAAAGACATTGACGTTGTGTGCCGATGTAGTCGATCCTAAACAATGAAAATAGGCATACACCGCGCAATAATCACCTCGTCGACACTTTCCCACACATCCCTTTGTTCCGTTTCTCGAATCAACAGGCTCGTTTCGTCGAGCACGAGGTTCCCGTCGGGCCCGATTGAGACCTAAAATATATCCACCCTCACGTCAACGCCGGCAAATAAAAAACCTGTGGCGCCATCGGTAGCTTCTTTTCTTCTTTAGGGATAATTTCTCGCGCTAGCGCCTCTTCGGTTATTTTGCGCTCCAGCTTTTGTTCGTTCTTTGGATTCCAGGCGACCAAGTCAGACATTCGCATGTGCTTCGTGTCTAACATTTCCTCCCCGGTAAACTTGCGAAATCTAAAACCCAAGTAAAAAGAGTGCTCGATGACATTACTTTTTCCGTGTAGACGGTCCATCACATAATGACGAAACAGAATTCATGCGATTTCTGCGCGGAGACATCATGGCAAAGCTAAATACACGATGCATAGGATCAGCAACCGCTAACCTGGACAATCGCCCACCCTCGCCTTTTACTTGTGACACAAAAGCAACCTTCCTCGGGGAAATGGCGGGCGCTTCGACTGTTTCACAGGTATTTTCCAAGATCTTGAGCATTACGGGCGACGTTACGTCTAAAAAGATATTAAGGATCTTGCGAGGGCTCACCTTTTTTTTGCACATTTACAACATGAGCCTCGTTTCGGGTTTCGTCTGCACCGATCGGCGGACATTTTGTTTCTAAGTGGTGCTATCAACTATAATAATTTTGCTGTGGTGTCCGTCCGTCTGTCCGTCTGTCTGAAGCCAACTATAACTCGAAGGGGAAAGGAGCTAGAGCTTAGGTCTCTTCGGATTCGGATAGAGCGCGGTCAGAAACCCCTTAAATGATCAAAATATTATAAGAAAGTTTTTGTTTAAATAAAAATAATTAACTTTGAAAGTGGCGCCTTAATAAAACGAGTGGGGGCCCTCTCCCCGGCAGGCCACGCCCCCTTTCCCTTCGCCCCTCTTCCCCCAGGGCCTTCCGTCCCCCCAGATAGCTTTTTTCAGTTATTTTAATTCTTTTTAATACTTTTTATTTATGTTAATTCATTATTTAAATCATTTTAGGTACCTAAAACCATCAGTAAGGTATTTAGGTAGTTTATGAAGAGGATTTCAGCCATGGGGGGTATCTGAAGCCATCAGTACACGGGGTCTTTTTCCGCGCACGGGGGTGCGGGGGGCCTGGCCAAGGCGGCGTCAGGCGGAGGGCCAGGGTTCGATTCCTCTCCTCGCGTAAAATCATCAAATGGTTTTGCTTTTTTTGCAAAATACTCAGAAAAGCGCCGGCAACAAATCTGTGGCGAATCTCAGGCAGAAAATTAGGAAAATGAGGCCCTAACGAGAACATCGTCTTGATAATCGCTTCAAAGCGTTTCAAATCCTTGTTTTTCCTCGCGATCGTTGAGATTCTTTTACCAAAATGTTCCCGAGGGTTTTCTCTACAAATTACCAGGCGGAGAATTTGTCATTTTTTCTAGAAAAAAAGTTATAGCCATTAGAAGGGATTTTCTAATACATTTTGGGGGCGAAAAGGGGGCGTGGCCTCGCCAATTCCCTGTCTCCCTCTCGTGCGCGCCCCAAGTAAGGTTAAAAACCCCGTGAGTAAGGTATTTAGGTAGTTTTTGAAGGGGATTTGGCTCTGTACCGATATAAGGGATTTCTGCCGATAAAAGGGATCACCGCCGATATAAGGGATCACCGCCGATATAAGGGATCGCTGCCGATATAAGGGATCACTGCCGATAAAAGGGATCACCGCCGATATAAGGGATCACCGCCGATATAAGGGATCGGGAAAAAAAAACCCGAAAATGGCGGGTACCGATATAAGGGATCACGAAACCGGATTTTGGCCAAAATGTCGATATAAGGGATCACGAAACCCGATTTCGGCCAAAATGTCGATATAAGGGATCAGAAGAAGGATTTTGCGCGATATATTATTACATTGATGTAAAGAGCTATTTATTTAGGTCGATTTCGAAAGAAATTACAGAGAAGTTAATAAAAACTAGGTTTTACGGAAGTATTATTCGATTTTTGGTAGACTGGTGGGGGCCGGAAGGAAGCTGATTGGAACGCCGAAGAATTGATGGCAGAGGTCGTACTAAAGCAGATAGAGGTAAGGGATCGAAATAGCTGCATCACCGAGTTAGTCCATCGGTTTAAATACCAGTCCAATAAGTCTTGGCAGAGGTTAACGCGGGAGTCGCAGAAAACTAAATAAGGTGGATGAGGGAAAAGGAAAGGCGGAGGCACCACGATCACAAACTGGCAAAGGCATCGGATTGAACAATACTTCCGTAAAACATTAGTTTTTATCAACTTCTCTGTAATTTCTTTCGAAATCGACCTAAATAAATAGCTCTTTACATCAATGTAATAATATATCGCGCAAAATCCTTCTTCTGATCCCTTATATCGACATTTTGGCCGAAATCGGGTTTCGTGATCCCTTATATCGACATTTTGCCCGAAATCGGGTTTCGTGATCCCTTATATCGACATTTTGCCCGAAATCCGGTTTCGTGATCCCTTATATCGGTACCCGCCATTTTCGGGTTTTTTCCCGATCCCTTATATCGGCGGTGATCCCTTATATCGGCGGTGATCCCTTTTATCGGCAGTGATCCCTTATATCGACGATCCGAGGCCCTGATCCCTTATATCGGCGGTGATCCCTTATATCGGCAGAAATCCCTTATATCGGTACAGAGCCGGGGATTTCAGCCATTGGGGGTATCTGAAGCCATCAGTAAGGTATTTAGGTAGTTTTTGAAGGGGATTTCAGCCATGGGGGGTATCTGAAGCCATCAGTAAGGTATTTAGGTAGTTTTTGAAGGGGATTTCAGCCATGGGGGGTATCTGAAGCCATCAGTAAGGTATTTAGGTAGTTTTTGAAGGGGATTTCAGCCATGGGGGTATCTGAAGCCATCAGTAAGGTATTTAGGTAGTTTTTGAAGGGGATTTCAGCCATGGGGGGTATCTGAAGCCATCAGTAAGGTTTTAGGTAGTTTTTGAAGGGGATTTCAGCCATGGGGGGTATCTGAAGCCATCAGTAAGGTATTTAGGTAGTTTTTGAAGGGGATTTCAGCCATGGGGGGTATCTGAAGCCATCAGTAAGGTATTTAGGTAGTTTTTGAAGGGGATTTCAGCCATGAGGGGTATCTGAAGCCATCACTAAGGTATTTAGGTGGTTTTTGAAGGGGATTTCAGCCATGGGGGTATATGAAGCCATCAGGAAGGTATATAAGTCGTTTAGGTATCTAAGGAGGCTGGCTATAGGAGGTATCTGAAGCGATCGACGTAGGTGGTAGTGTAGAATATGCAGGGTAGCCCGAAGGCCAGCCGATTACAGTCGCGAAGCGGCTGTAATCGGCTGGTATTTAATAGTTTTAATGTCTTTACCAAGTAGTTGCTTCTCGCTATTGCAGTGCTCCGCTGATGGTTTGGGCTTTTGTTTAGGAGCTGCTGAGATATTCGGACGAGCGGCTACCCGCGCCCGACGCATCACCCCCTGAAATTGATAGTATAGATTCTGAAACATTTTAAAAATTGCATTTGAGCATATTTTTTGCCATTATTGCCCCGTTTCCAGAGAAGCATTATGGCATTTAATTTAGCCATGCGAGCATAAAGCTTAATCGTCGATAGTCGCTGCCGTTTTCGGCGAATCCACGTGCAACGACGCCTTGCACAGCGCTGCGTTGCGGCCTTTAGCTTTATCGTAAAGCAAAAATCCGGCTTCACCCTATTGGCCCACATCCGCTTTAATTTGAATGTTTAATTTCATGTAATTTAATTGAATTTACTAGGCGCACGTGACGTCCTTTCACTGTTGCCGTCCTTTGCAAAAAGTAGAGTATGGAGTGTAATGGCCGATGGATGCGGCTGTGCGTTCAGCTGGTTTTTTTTTAATCTTTTCGCGCATTCCAGCTTCTATCGACGTCGAACTATCTTCATTGTTTGACAATTCTTTGTTTTTTACGATATTCATTTCTTCAGGTTCGGGTGCAGGGCCCCTACCGGATCACTGCCCCGGCACAGAAGAGCCGTTCTCGGCGAGACGACGGGATGTCGGACACGAATGGCAAGACGGTCCGCCGCCGCAAAAATGTAGACGAAGTATCTAATATTTTGTTCTTTTATTCTATATTTTGTAGAACGGTGGTTCCTCGCGCAACGACACTGAAGATGATGCCCGCGACAGCAACGAAAGCGCTCAAGAAGATGATGATAAGGTAATAGGAAAATTGTGTGGAGGGACAACTTGAATTTAGTCGACACGGCTCACATTGATGGAACAGATCCTGCTGCTCGGGTTAAAGGACCGCGAGGTTTGTTAATTTTGTGGTTTTGTCGACGCGAGAGAATCTACAGAATGCTCAGTTTCAAAATTAGTGTCTATTTGCAGGGATACACGTCGTTCTGGAACGATTGCATTTCTTCGGGTCTGAGGGGATGCGTCCTGATTGAACTGGCACTCCGCGGCCGCATCAGCCTTGAGCCAACCGGCATGCGGAAAAAGGGTCTCCTCTCGAGAAAGGTAAATGAAACAGCAGTTTGGTTTTAGCTCGCATTTAGATTGTTCTTAAAGACAGCGCCCCTACCGGAGATGTTATTCTCGATGAGGCTCTGCGACACATCAAGGTATAAAGGATTTTTCGCTACAAAATATTCTGATTATAGGAAACGACTCCAAATGAGAGCGTGACTAGCTGGGTTGAATACCTTTCTGGGGAGGTAGCGATGCGTTTTTTTCAATCAAAAATATTCTAGACCTGGAATCCCTTGAAGCTTCGCTACCAGCTCCGGAACGTTAGGGAACGTCTTGCCAAAAATTTGGTCGAGAAGGGCGTGCTGACGACGGATAAGCAGGTGCTTACAACCCCCTTGGCTTTGACAGTTTTTTGCCTAGAATTTCCTTCTTTTCGAAATCACCACGCACCCGCTGTCGGATGGCAATATGAAGACCAGGTTGATCAAGGTGTGTCTTTTTGCTCAGCGGGCAGTTACCATCGGCTTTCAGGAAGTGCAAGAAGTTGTGCTCTCGCGCTGGACCAACGACGTTCACCGCATGGACAAGAGGATGCTATCGCTGATCATCCTCGCACATGCCAGTGATGTTCTCGAGAATGCATTTGCACCACTCAATGATCAAGATTACGAGGTTAGTATTGAATATTCTTCTGCGGCCAGCGTCATCCCACGTTGGCCATCAGCGCAATCACCAATTGCTCATTCAAAAGTTGAAAATGAACCCGAGCTCATTTTCTGTTCCAGGTGGCGATGCGGCGGGTGCGGGCTTTGCTTGAGCTGGAATTCGAGGTCGAGGCAGAGAAGAAGGGCAGCGACCTGATGTGGGCCGTTTTCGAAGCGTTCCAGAAATGATTTTCCAGATGTGCCTCCCCGATTGTCCACATTAATCCTGTGATTTTTGACATCCCTTACGGACTTGCTTTATCGTGTAACCCTAGTTCTACGCTTTCCCATACTCGCTAATACAATTTTTCTACTAGGGTTGCGTCATTTTTCTCATTCGCCGAGGCGAACTCGAATTGCGTGATCCACACGTTCTGCAGCTTGGCGAATGAATGGCGCGCTTCCATGTTTCTCCGAATCTGTGATATTGCTTGGGAGGGGATGGGTGGAACGATGAAGAAAAATAACTTCTCTGTTCATGAATTTCATGGTCCGGTTGGCTTATTAATTTCGAAGATCCTGTAGTTGACTCGAAACCCATTTATGCATTCGGTCTATCACCCACATGTGAATAAATGTATGCTCTCAAGAAAAGCGTCGAACCAAGAATATTTTCGGGTTGATATGCGCAACGCACAAGAAATTACTTTATCAGTGCCTTTCAAACTATAATTTGAGGCGCGACAAAACAAAGAGATCTCAACAAATAGCAGGAGTTAAAATAACTCAAACCAACTGAAATTTGACACCAATCACAATCGAATACCCAAAGCCATCCTAACGGGCCAATCAGGGCGACGGAGCTAAGACTTTGTTAGGCCGATTTGTTCACGATGAATGGATGGTTGTTGGCATCGTTGCAAGTGATCCGCTTGGCAGGGTCGAGGATCAGCATCCCTTCCAGGAAGTTCTTGAACTGTTGCACCTAAACAAAGCGGTCAATTAGATAATAACGGGCCGCATACCTGCTGGAGTTGAATTGGATCTAGCTCCTGTTCACCCACGAGTTCGCTCTCAAGGTTTCGCGTCACCTTGATATTACTCAGAACGCTGATCTGAAAACAACCGAGTTAGGATTAAAGACAGTTCGTAAATGTCGCAAGGTTCGCACGCCTGTGTTTCTATGGAGCTACAACCAAATTTTAGACACCGTAAGCGAACGTCTCGCTCAATGAAAGCGTGCGAACCGTGCGAGATTTGCTAATTCCCAGATTAAGCAATCCAGTTTTCTCCGATAGCACAAACCCACCTTATCGCGTTGCGTCACTTTGTCCACTTCATGGAACAGGAAATTGAAATTGCCATCGAAGTGTTGGTCCCGGAATTGAGCGCGTCGCACGATGCGATTCGGATACTTCCCCTTGATCTCGGTGAATAACTAAAAAAATAGTCTTAAAATCCGGCACAATCCAACCTTTAACATATGGTTATTAGAGCGTCCGGGAAACATGATACGGCCGGTGTAGACTTCGAAGAGAGTGACGGCAATCGACCACAAGTCAATGCCGTAGTCGTGTTGAATGCCGAGCACTAAAATTGTGATGAAAATACGTTGGAAAATACTGCCGTGGGGAAAATACACAAATCATTAAAAGGCGCAAAACTTACTGATCTCCGGCGCGCGATAAAAACGTGAAACCAGGTAGGGGGCTATTTCTTGCTCGTTAATTTGGCCCGATGATCCGAAATCGCACAGCTTCAACACCAATTTTGACTCGTTCACCTAGAAGCAGAACATTTAATACGAAGGCATAGGACGCGTTACCAAAATGTTATCCGGCTTGATATCGGCATGAATGATTTCGCATTTCTTTAGCAACCTCAGCGCCGTGATTAACTGATATGCGTAGCTCTAAAGTAATGGCAGGTAAATATCACTTTAGTTACTCACGCGAACGGCCTTCATGTGTAGTCCCACATTGTTCCCGTATTTCTTCAGTAACTCACGGAGGTTCATACTAAAAACTTCTTATTAAAAATGCACCGAGGGGTACCTGAGGTTCTCGAAAACCAGACACAAGTGGTTGTGGTGTTCGAACGTGCAATGTAGCCGCAGAACATGATATCGGTCGCTTTTATCGGCTTCATTGAGTCGGCGGAGCACCGAAAGTTCCCGCAGCCCGGTTTTGCGCCTAAAAACTTCCAATCAATTAGCAAACGCCCACATGATTTCATTGTTGCGGATGATTTTGACGGCCACCGTTGCATTGGCCTTGCTTATATCGCTACAACGAACGACGTTGCCGAAAACGCCGGCACCGGTGTAGCCGAAAACCCGATAGCACCCATTCATCACTTCGCCAATTCGTACGCCTGTAAAAAAGTTAAAGGGCTACGCTCGCAAAGCAGAACATACGGTAATAGCCATCAGTGTCGTCCCAATTATCCTTGAGCGCATTATTTTTTGGATCGCCGTGAGATGTGATGATTGCCGCACCGACATTGTCCAACGGGATCGCGGCGTCATCAGCGAACATGTCGAAGCTGTTTTCCTAAAAATCCTCCGATAAAAAGGGCTAATTGGGTACCTCTTTCTTCTTCTTGCGCTCTTCCGCCTCTTTCAGCAACTTTTTGCGCTTCTCCTCCGCGCTATCAATCTGCAGACGCTTCTCTTCCTCCAGCTCCTCCATTCGTGCCCGTTGGAGGTCATCGTCAATCGAGGTAGCATCACGTCCCCTAAAGAATATCTTAGTGATAGGAGGGAGAAAGGTTTACCTCAGGTGGACCATCTTCTCTTTGAGATTTTGGAAGAAATCGTTGGGAGTGCTCGTCCCTCCCTCACTATCTTGGCGTGGTGACATGCTGCTGGCGCGGGAGCCATCTTGTGAAGTGCTGCGCCCAGATTCCCCGATTAGCGCCTTTGCTTCTCGGAGTAGACGGGCGCGTTCGTCTTCTTCATCATCGTCGTCATCATCACTTTTCGGTGCCTCAGAGCGCACGTTTGCGGAATTTTCTAAGCCCAAACATACAAAAGCTTCAACAAAATTAGATTACCTCGCAGCTTCATCGCGTCAATTGAGGTAGTCACATCTCTGGAAGCGGTCGAAGCCGAATTCTTCATAAGGTCCGCTTGCTCGTAAATCGACATCTTCTAAAAGAAGATCGAAACCAGTAATAAACGCTCACCTTATCCGACACTTGCTCAATCAATTTCTGTCTTTTCTTGCGCAACTCTTCAATTTTTCTAGCTTCATCCTCCGACTCGTCAGAAAGGTTCCATTCGACCTTCGGAATTTCGTCCTCGTCGTCGTCAGCTTTGCGCTTACGATTTTTGTCATGGTGTCTATTACTGCTTCGATGCCCTGCTTGATCGCGAGATCTGAACCGAATGCATTATCAAGCAACACATAGCCGAAAGATAGGTCCAAATTCAGAATCAGGGGAAAATTTACCTTTATGGTCCTCGCCCGAAAAGTGTTTTTTCGGGTCGGAATCGATCTAGAAATGATCAAAATGTAGTTTTCAGTGAAAAAAAATGCGCCGGAAAGAAGTTTTTGAGGGCTAAAAATACCTTTTTTTGCTAAAATTCGGGGACCATAAAAGGGGGTACGGGGGTATGTCGTTTATGGTCCTCGGCTAAAATCCAGTTTTTCTTGTCGGAAACAATCCAGAAATGTTCAAAATGTCATATTCAGTGAAAAAAATGCGCCGGAAAGAAGGATTTAATCACTAAAACGACTTATTTTGCTGAAAATTCGAGGACCATAAAAGGGGGTACGGGGGTATGTCGTTTATGGTCCCCACCTGAAAAGTGTTTTGTCTTTTACCAAATCAATAGATAATTGTTGGAAATTCATAATACTTCGAAAAAAAGTGCCGGAAAGATGTTCGTGGTCGCCTAAGACTTCTGAACAAGGTGCGGCACTAGCATTGTCAGGCAAGGCGGGCCGTCGCTTCGGATGGGCTGCCGCTCCACTCTTCCGAAATGGGGGCGCCCCCGGCCGCTTCGCCGGCCTTGGCGCCCCCATTTCGAAACCCTGTACGAGCTCGCACCCATCCGAAGCGACTAGGCCCCCGGTGGCACGAAGCCTTATTTTTAGGCTAAAACTGGGCTGAATGAATTTTTGTACCAAAATAATTTTTGCAGCTAAAAAGGTCTTTCCGGCGCTTTTTTTGAACTGCAAACGATATTTTGAACATTTCTGGATTGTTTCCGACGAGAAAAACTGGATTTTAGCCGAGGACCATAAACGACATACCCCCGTACCCCTTTTATGGTCCCCGAATTTTAGCAAAAAGGTCTTTTTAGCCCTCAAAAACTTCTTTCCGGCGCATTTTTTCACTGAATATTACATTTTGAACATTTCTGGATTGTTTCCGACGAGAAAAACTGGATTTTAGCCGAGGACCATAAACGACATACCCCCGTACCCCCTTTTATGGTCCCCGAATTTTAGCAAAAAAGGTCTTTTTAGCCCTCAAAAACTTCTTTCCGGCGCATTTTTTTCACTGAATATTACATTTTGAACATTTCTGGATTGTTTCCGACGAGAAAAACTTGATTTTAGCCGAGGACCATAAACGACATACCCCCGTACCCCCTTTTATGGTCCCCGACTTTTAGCAAAAAAGGTCTTTTTAGCCCTCAAAAACTTCTTTCCGGCGCATTTTTTTCACTGAAAACTACATTTTGATCATTTCTAGATCGATTCCGACCCGAAAAACACTTTTCGGGCGAGGACCATAAAGGTAAATCAAGCCAGAATCAGGATCCAACCTGCTTCGCCGTCTGCGTTCGACACTTCGGTGACGGGGATTAGGCGAAGGACGACGACCTCCGGAACGCGACCGTCGTTGACGTGAACTAAAACATCTTAAGTTGAAACCGGAAGGAAAATACCGATCAGGAGACCGACGGCGTTCTGGACCTCGTTTCCGCTCAACTGCCCTCGTGCGGTCTCGCGAACGATCCCGCGATCGACGCCGTTCCACGCTTCGACTCCTACGACGCGTCGGCGATTTTCTGAAAAATGTTTTTAATAGGAAGAGTGACTAAGCGGCTTTATGCTGCGGTGGTCTCGTAAAAAATCCCCCATCAAATAAAATATTTTTGTCAGACGCAGAGATTGTCGCAAGGTTGCTAACCGTTGTGCGGAAAAGGATTTTTTTGAAGCATCTTGTAGCACTGAAATGCCCAACACCTACGAGTCTGTCCGTGAACGGTCCGGCTAACCGCGCACGCCCTTCGAAACGGAAAACTGCGAAGGGTCGCGAAACAAGCCCTATAAGACGAATTGAAGGTAAGGAAACAACCGCAGTCAAAGCCACAGCTGTGATCTTTCGCTAAAGAGAGAAAAAGAACCTCGTAAGATCCGGGTTGCCCGCATTGCCAGGCTTCTCGTTTCTGCTTTCAGGCCGGCGGCTCCTCTCGGTACTTGGATGAAGTCGTTTATTTTCCCTAAGCGTCCGTGCGATGAGAAATATTCAAAGACCCACTGTTTGTCCGGATTCTTGTTCTTCGAATCACTATCCCTTCTGGAAGTAGAATCGGGCCTCACCGGATCCTTGTCACCGCCGTCGTGAGCCCTATACAATTGTATTACACATAAGAAATTATAAGAAACTTACGGCTTCATGGCTTCGTGTTGCTTTGTCGGCTTTTCTGCATCAATGGTTGGAGGCTTTTCGACAGCTTTTTCTTTTTGCCCAATTTCAGTCTTGCCCGTCCCGCCGATCGTAATTGTGAATGAGGGAGAGACGTCTCCGTGATTCTCGTTCTAAATTTGAACATTGAGTTGCGAAATTGGATCACCTTAGACGAACTGGAAGGTTTCTTCAACGATTCATCTTTCCCCAGAGCCTCCGAGGCACTAACACCATCGCCATGGTCGTTGCGTCCTAAAAGAAGGACAAATGGCCCCTGGCTTAGCGTGAATACCTGGAATTTGGCGCTCCTTTTTGTGCTTCTTCTCCTTCTTATGTTTCTTCTCCTTTTTGGCCTTCTTTTCCTTTTTATGCTTCTTAGGCGATTTATCCTCGGTTTCTAGCGAGTGACGCCGCTGCTGGCTTTCGTTCAACTAAAGAATTTCGTTGTGAAACTGTGAGGAAACCAACCTCTCCATCCTCCAATTCATCGCTTGTCGTTGGGTGCGGCTCGCGACTCATCCCCCTGCAAAAAGGTGATACTTGATACGGAAACCAGTCCTGAAAGTGGACATAATGCCTGAAAACTTTATATTTCTAGTCAAAAGTTAAAGTTAGATCTAAGATATTTGTGTATGTGTGTATTTGTGTTTGTACATTAATAATTCGTCTAATCACTAGGAAACAGGCGACGTGCCCACAAACAGATTATAGGAGTCTAGATTAATATAAGCTTATATAAAGGCGACAGTTTTGACACGGGTTTCGTTACCGAGCAACAGTGCTTCGCATTTTGAACGAGGCAACAATCCGTAAATCGGGGGTGCCTGCTGGCACAGAATGCAGGAGGGGTGTGTGTATCGTTGCGGAAAACCCGAGGTGCCGACCGGGAAAAATGGCGGAAGTGGGGTAAATTCGGAAATGCGGTGTTAGATATATTAGCTACCAGCCGATTACAGCCGCTCCGCGACTGTAATCGGCTGGACTTCGGGCTACCCTCCATATTCTACAGGGTGAGGCATATATATCGCTACACCTCTAGGACGCACAAATTTGTCTGCCAGCGGAAAACTGATTATATTTTCGGGGTAATCGATGTTTCCCATCGAAGAACTAGCGTTTCTTTATGCAGGAAATAAATGTAAATGGTTGAAAATTGTTTCGATTTGGGTTTAGCTTACAGGGAAGTTCAGCACTTTTCTCGAAAAAAGTGGTGTGTTGGCACGCTGCTCCTAGAACCCCGTATATTGGTAACTCTGGTTCAGTTTTTTTTTGTATTCTGGTTCAGTCGGATCTTATCTATCTTTTCCAATAGGTTTTTAGTCGGAAACTAGCGAGGTGATTTTACTACATGCAAAAAAGGAGTGATTACACACCCCACCCCACCTTTTGTTGGCCACTAAAAATTAATCAGAAAATCTAAGCCACCGGAATATTTCGATTCGAGCAATTTTTTGAATTCTAGGCATCCGGTACGAGCAATCCCCAATGATAAAAACCAAGAAATTGAACGAGTACAAGCCAAAAAATATATTTTTATGTTTTTTACTATGGTTTTTGCAACCAGCTGAGACAAAGTTTTAACTTGCTGCCGAATGAAAAGAAATAAGTTGGTCTCATTGCTTCTTTAGACAATTTCTAAGTAGTGCAAAGGTTTTTAGGGGTCAATCGGGTCCAAATCAGTGTTTCCGAACCATGTCGAAATCGACCGCCAAGGGGTTCCATGCCAGACCCACCTAAAGACGCCCAGTTTTTGCTTCAGAACAAGTGTTTATAGGGTTGTTGCGTTATAAGATTTTAAGAGCGTCGAAAGGACATATGTAGCTATATCACAGCGAAATATTAAAGCCCGGCTCGCTTTAATACTTTTTTGAGGGACCCGGAATGTGTAGCGATATATATGGCTCACCCTGTACACCACCACATTTCATCCCTACCTTACGCTGATGCCTTCATGGCGGGGATTGATCAGTTGGGTTTTGCTGCCTATGGGAGGGCCAGCTACCAACACTTTCACAAAGGCTACACTGCCAAGAAGATGCACAAGGAGGGTGTGCCAAGAGGACGGAGCTCCTAACTCCACAAACAACTCACTGCGCCTTACAAGACGCTAGGAGAAAGACCAAAAACTTGTTAGAAAGAATAGAATGTAATTAGGAAAACACTAATTTAGTGAGAGAAAGTTTATTGTTACATAATCTGCGCGAGGGAAATTGATGAGAGTGAGAATTTAGAGCGCGAACGATGTTAAAAGAAGTTGCGGGGGCAAATAAAGCGGGGGAAATCTAGGGGATGGGGAGGAGAACTCGGGGACAGGATAACTCGGGGACGGGGTACTCGGGGACAGGGGAAAACTCGGGGACGGGGTACTCGGGGACAGGGGAAAACTCGGGGACGGGGGAACTCGGGGCCGGGGGAATAAAAGGGAAACCGGCGGCAACGGGGTGCGCTATTCCCCAAAAATCCGCGACTGGCTCGGAAGAGGGCTCTCTTCTTTGGGCGGCCTGCGATCCTTGGGCGCGCGCCGTGGCGTCGGCGACGGTATCGCGGTGTACTCTTGCCAAACGGGGCCTCGGGGGAAGGGGAGCAGGGGCTCAACCCAACTCGGCACCCCCCGGAATAAACGTCGTCCGCGACGTTGAAACAGCATCCTTCCTTCACGTAAACGTACTATTGCTTGACTTGACGGGTAGACATCCTTCCTTCATAGAGAACGTACTTGACAGGCTTGGCTTCGTCGTGGGGCTTGACTTGAAGGGCACGTCTTGGCGATTCTTGTCGCATCCTTCCTTCGCCTCCGATCCTTGTTGTAGTTGTCGTTTCACATCCATTCCTTGTGTCGTATCCAATCCTTGTTGGTGGCCCGTGCACCTCCTTGCGTTCCATCGTCTTGCACGGGCGGGCCGAGGCGAGGGGGATACAGAAAAAAAGTGGGGCCGGGGAAAGGAAAGAATACACATGAAAAGGAAATGTGGGGACGAGAATAGCAACATGAAAAGTTGTGAAAATGAACAACGGACACGAGAAATACAACACAGTACGAGGAAAAGATGGTTTACTTTTCGTTGATTCCTTGTTGTGTAGTTGCGCATAGAGTAGTCGGAGACGACGGCGACGTAGAACTTGCGATCTTGACGGCGTAGATGTTGACGACGAGCTTGACCACTTTGTGTCGTTGAACAGCGTGTAGGCGATGAAGATGAAGAGAAGTGCTTGACCATGATGATGGATCCTTGAAGAGCTTGACTCCTTGAACGCGTGTAGAACTTGAACGGGCGAGAACTTGCGAATTCGGGGATCAGCAGCGGGTCCTCCGGATCCGGTGCCAGACGAGACCGAGATGATCAGGTTCTTGACATCGACTCCGTCGAGGGCCTTGGCGAAAAGATCGGGCCCGCAGGGCTCGAAATAAACCTTGGCGGCTTTCAGGGGCGTGGAGATCTTGTCGCTGGTGATCGCGACTTCATCGTCTTGGAGAATCAGGGCAGCGTAAACGCGGGTCCGATCCTCGTTGGAAGCCATCAGCGCAAGGGCGGGCCGGGCTCTTCAGGCCGTGCTACCTGGAAAACGTGAAATGTAGTCAAAATTTGGCGAGGGCAACCAGAACTTTGAGAACAAAAATCAATCAATCAAATCAACTTGAATCACGTGGAAAGCAGAGCAAAAGGCATTGCAATGCGAGAGCGCGGAGGGATCAGCGAGGTTTTGGCGAGTTTTAGGCAACAAAACACGGCAAAAATTTGCAAAAGTGCAAGAATATCGCGGGAAACGTTTTCAATCGTCGAAAATAAAGTCCTCAAAACTTTTGTGCAAAAGAAATGAGTAATTTTGCGGCGGCAATTCAAAAGTATAGCTTTGGGCGGAGCTATAGCATAACGAAAAAGCTTTTCCGCTCGATTTTTGAGGCGAAATCAGTCCTGGAAAAGGAGTGTTTTGCAGGGAAAGCATATTTCGAAATGGAAAACGATTTGAAAAGGCCTTTGACGATGAAAGAAACGTTTGCGACGAAATTTGGAAGCCTTCGAAGCAAAATTTGAGCGCGAGAGCAGGGGAAAACAAGCAAATTTGGGCGTGGCGAAAGAAAACAAAGAATTGCGGGTTCTTGTCAACTTCGTACCAGATAAAACGCTTGGCGAAAGGGATTGCCAGTCCGGGTTTCCAAAGTTATTGCTTTATGAGCGGGTGAGAACGCGGGAAAATTACAAAAACTTCATCCCTAAAAGGCGATGAATCGGGGAAGGGTACGGCGGGGCAAAAATGCAACTCGGGGACAAGAGACGGGAGAAGCGCAACGTAGTTTGAATAGTTTCTTGCTTGTCAGGATCTGCAGGACTTTTCCTAACTGAAAAAACGATTTGAAGAGAGCAATCGGTTCAAGAAGAAGCTGCGAAATGCCATATTATTGTCAACAAGGGGCCACGAAAAACTTTTTCAAATGAAAAGCGCGGGTATTCGAAAGGCGGGAATCATCGAGGTTTCCATCCTTGATACGGCTGATAGCAAAAAGATGAATTCTCAATGCTGGGCACTTGGAAGCGAGAAATCCTGCGAATAGAGTCGAAACAGCTCAACATGGCGAAGCAAAAGCTCATTTTTGCAGGTGCGAAAACAGAAAATTGCGCAGGGCTGATCAATTCCCTTTACAAAACGTGTTTCTTTTGCACTTTTCAAAAGAAGTTGAGTTCTGGGATGAACTTTTGCGCATGGAGCGGGTGCGAGTCGAAAATCAAGCCTAGGCGGGGTTAGAGAAACCGATAAAACCTTGAATACGCCGGTTTGAGATGCTTGAGGCCATTGGGAGCAGATAGAGCCATCTTCACAGAGAACTTCTGGCCATAGTGACGTCCGCAATTCGTCAATCCGGAAAAATTGCATCTGAGAATAGAGCATAATCAACTCACTTTCGGGCAAAAGTTGTTGGCATTTGTGGCGACTTTTTCTCGGTGGCGGCAGCTTTTCTTTGAAGCGATATTGCCGTCCTGGCAAGAATCCAGGCAAACTGCGATGGCGGGGGGAAGCGCAATGGGCATTCGGTAGCCGCAATAACATACCGAATCCACAAAGCTCAAAAAAACCTTAAACGACTCGAGCTGTGCACGCTACGAGACGCCGACTGCGTAAAGGCCAAAAAAATGCACAGGCGGGTTCCCATTTCTGCGACGGGGAAATGGGGGAAAGGCGGCCACGACGCACAGTCGTCACATCGGCTCCGCGATTCGATCCTTAGCCCACTCTGAGAGTCTCATAATGCCGAGATTCCACCGGACCAAAGTGCGCGAGCAACCAGCTGCAGCGATGGAAGCTCTTCGGTCTTTTTCACCCATATACACTTGGTCCGTGTACTCTTCAGCAACATGATCATGTATTCCTCCCCAATACATGTGCTTGCTTTGCTCACCGGTCTCTGCGGTGATAATGGCCACCTTCTTGCGGGTTTCTTGGGTGCTTTTTCAGCCAATTTCTGGCTTTTTCTTCATCTTCGCCTCTACTTCATCAAAGAAGAGCTTTTCGATGGCTGTTCATGCCTGGTTCACGGGCAAAACCAGAGCATGTCGACGTCCGAAATGGCTGGGATGCCAATCGACGGTTAAACTCTTGGCGCAAAAACTCTGGGCGAGTTTGGCCAGGCCATCGAGCGCGTTCTGGGCTGAACGGCTGGGCCAACCTTCGCTTCAGCACATGGGGATGCTTCCGCTAGGGCTTGAGAGGTGGGGAAAGCACGGTTCGGCCCCCAGTTGGGTTTTGCTGCCTATGGGAGGGCCAGCTACCAACACTTTCACAAAGGCTACACT